ACTAGGATTCCCCATCGATACCAAAAAAAAAAAAAAGGGCCGCATCCTTTAAACTGACCTAAAGTTACCCTAAGCCAGGGGTGGCCAACCGATAGATCGTGGCTATTATTTCAGTCTATCGTGGCAAGACAAAAATATATAAATACATAGAACAGACTGCGCAACGTAATCACCAATTGCTGCACGCATCATCTTCATCTTGTATCATTTGTTAATGACCATTACGTCACATTATTTATTTATTTATTTGTGAAAACAACAACCAACAGTACAATACAGACATATAATATTTAAAAAATAGCTAAAACAATAACCAAACATGTTTCCACCATCAAAATCACATATAAGTTGAGTGTGAACAGAGAAGAGAAACTTAGAAGCTTAAGTTTACACCAAAAATAAATGCAGCACAATACGCACATATTATTATCTACATCAACTTACACTAAAAACTAAGTAATACTCATCGGACTAAATCACGTTACAAATATTCCAAAATAAAAGATATTTTACTACAAGTGACAAGCAAAAGATGTCTATGCATTAGAGAACTTAGTATCATATAATATCTGCGCAGTACTGCGCACAAAAGAGTTATTAAGCAAATTTCGTTCGAGCCGTGGATATGTGGAAGGTCTGTTTAGAACGCCCGGAAATATGACTACATTTAAATGAACTTTAATTTATTTTAAAATATTTATTTAAATGAATTTATCCTCTCTTCCACACAACAGTTCTCTTATTATATAATTTGAGGTTTGTTTTTATTTTTTTAATTAAATAAAATATACTACTTATTTGTATACTGAACTACATTGTTTCATTAAATTTCAAGAATGGTCATTGGTAGATCGCAGAGTGTTTCGTCAGTAGACAGTAGATCTTGGTACTAATAAAGTTGGCCACTCCTGCCCTAAACCAACATGTTTCTGTACGTAACGTGCATAGAGTTAGAGGTACTTATTAACTCCATGGTAACATGTGTCTCATTTATTTCACACGCGCAAATGGAAGCTCAAATTAAACTGGTGCTATTTGCTAATGAAAACAGCTTCGGCTCATATCTCTGGCCCGCGTAGCGAGATACAATCAGGTATCCGTTATAATTTCCCTATCCATGGTATGAGTAATGTTGAGCGAAGAAATGGTATATGATAGAAGAGTATGGAAGGAGAAAACATGTTGCGCCGACCCCAGGTGACTGGGAGAAGGGCAGGGTAATGATGAATGATGGTATGAGTAATGTCATATTTTCCTAATTATTTTTTTTATTGCTTAGATGGGTGGACGAACTCACAGCCCACCTGGTGTTAAATGATTACCGGAGCCCATAGATATCTACAACGTAAATGCCGCCACCCGCCTTGATATATGAGTTCTAAGGTCTCAGTATAGTTAAAACAGCTGCCCCACCCTTCAAACGGAAAAGCATTACTGCTTCGCGGCAGAAATAGGCAGGGTGCTGGTACCTGTTCGTGCGGACTCACGAGATTGCCTATTTATCCTGTAGGGGCAACAAACGTTCCTTTTCAAAGTTCTACAACTTTTTACTGACTTAAAAAAAATTTGGAAGTTTTCAATTCGACTGCATTTTGTATATGTGTGTGCTACCTCAGAACTTCTCTCTGACCGATGCGATTTTGAAGACTCTCTTTTTATTTGAAGACCTATTCTCGTGTGATACATTTAGTTTTACCCAAATCCGACCAATTTTTGAGTTATCCTTAATAGTTCATACATATTTCACTCTTGGACTTCTAGCATGACATAATCATTTTACAGAGCTTATCAGCAATGAAAGAAATACACTACACACAATTCAGTAAAAAAGCAAGTAGCTACTCGTACAACTATGCCACAACAATTAGTTCATTTTATTAAACACTAGCTGACCCGGCAGACTTCGTAGTGCCTGAATCTATAAATAAAAGACCTAAACTTCTGTATAAAATAAACTTAAAACAAACAAAAGGAATCCGTCCGACGGGGGACACATCAAAGGAAAAACAAAATTGTTATTTTTATTTAATTCCGAGCATTTTCATATTTATCTACCTTTTAAACCTTCTCTGGACTTCCACAAATAATTCAAGACTAAAATTAGCCAAATCGGTTCAGCCGTTCTCGAGTTTTAGCGAGACTAACGAACAGCAATTCATTTTTATATATAAGTATATAGATAAAGATAATGGGTGGACGAACTCACCCGGTGATGGAGGTTGCGAGAGTCCATAGACGAAAATGCCGCCACCCACCTTGAGACACGAATTCTAAGGTCTCAGTTTTTACAGTACCACGGCTGCCTCGCCCTTCAAACGGAAACGCATTACTGCTTCACGATAGAAATAGGTAGAGTAATAGTACCCATGGGGCCTCACAGAACGTTCTGCCAGCAGTAATGACGCAAATTAAACTTTTTCCGATTTGATTTTTTTATTACAAGATGCTATTCCTTCACAGTGGAAATCAATCGTGAACATTTGTCGAGTACTCGTACGTATTTCATTTAAAAAAATGCTACCTGTCTGCAGTATTCGAACACTGGCACCGTCGCATCGCTCGATACGAATGCACCGCGCGTCTTATCCTTTAGGCCACGACGACAACTGTGGCAATTTACTTTTCTTTTATGAATGACGGATTACTGGTGGCCCAGAGGCCTTTGCAATTTCACCAGGACAGGTGAGCGAGCTAGGGCTCAGCCTGGAGGGGTGGGATTTACTAACAGCTACCCGAGGGCCTCCAAAGGAGACCTAACAACTTAAGAGCTCCTGCTTCGCGAATGAATCTACTGTTCAATTTATTTGTTTTGATTGATATTCAAGCCGTCATACAAGCCGTTTCATTTATTGCTTGGTAGATAACCAATGGATATAAACGTAGATGCCACCTCAAACTTGAGGTCGAAGATCCAATTGTATTGTATTTTCTCTCTTCGCTGTGGAACGCTGTGTCACGGCAGAAGACTTATCGTAAATTCTAAATAGTTAATCGTTTGCATTATAATATTACGGCTGCATCACGGTAGACAGGAAATAATTCACAGCTGATAGCGGTTTTGTCGGTGTTACGGACAGAAACGATAAGTTTGAACCAAGCGTTCCGATTAGAACACATTAGCGTAAACAAAACAGACCTGTTCATTAGTTTGCCTACAGCATTTAATGCGATATTTTGGGCATATTTCCAGTATCAGTATTCGTGACAGAGAAATTGCTATGGAATTGGCCAAGAGGTTGGACGGGTCTTGTAACCAGGCAAATAGATATAATGGAGACATATTGTTGAGAGCGTTCCGGCGTGGCTTTCCCAGCCGTTAGGAAACTGTGAAGAAAAAGAAACAAACAAACAGACGAATCTGACGACGAAGCTTATTTGATTGATCGATCATCGCAATTTTCACATGCGGACTTCCAAGAGGTCCTACCACCAGTAATTACGCAAATTATAATTTCGCGGGTTTGATTTTTATTACATGATGTTATTCCTTCGCCATGAAATTCAATCGTGAGCATTTGTCAAGTACGTATTTCATTAGACAAATTGGTACCCGCCAGCGGGATTCGAACGCCGTTGCATCGCTAGATACGATTACACCGGACATCTTATCCTTTAGGCCACGATGACTTCTTCTATCTTAAGAAAAGGAGCGGCATAGTATCCATTAGCTCCTATAACCGCTAAAGTTCATTTCCGACTTGCCTGTCTATAAGAGCGTATCTATCTTATAGCTCACAAACGTCCACTGCTAGACATAGCTCCCACACAAACCTCGCCACAACATTAACCTTTTATTTTTCAAGTATTAAAAAATTAATTATCAAAGCCAAAAATTTTGTCAACCCTAGTAAGCTGTCATGTCAGGGAACCAGATCATTTAACAGAAAGGCCTACTTACCTATTTTACCTAATAATTGTCAACCTTAATAGATTTTCTATTTTAAAAAAAAATTTAAGTTGGGAAAAACAATGTATGTTGTCAATTTCAAATCTTCTAATCGATATCCTACAACTGCTTAGTTTTTTTTTTTTCAAAAGTAAGTACATTCTGCGTAGCTTACTCTTTAATTTTACTGAAATAGGGTTTGCACATCAGTGAAAATAATAATTTTTATTTTTATTTTTTTAGGGTATGTTTTACTTCGGTTCTTAAATATGGACTCGTTATAAGGCCTTATTTAACCTCCTTTCCGCTTTACAGATAGTTTTGTAACACCCTGTATAGATTAAAATTAGAGCTCATTTTATACTGGATACTTTACGTTACGCAATAAATGTCATTTTCCCAATTATTGTAAAACTCAATCTTTGCTTTTTTTCCTACCTAATCGTTAGTCGCCTAAGGGGCTATCTCAGTCACGGACGGTTTGGTAGGAGAACTGATGAGGCTCAACCTGAGAGAACTTGCTAACACTAACCCTAGCAAGAGCAGTGCTACGCTGAATCTCCCATCGGATCGGAATAGCTGAAACCAGGGGTGATATTTCATAATAATCTTTCTTGTATATATTAGCTTCCAGCTTAACTTGGAATTTCAAATAAAACACGAAATAAGATGACAGCACAAGAAAAGGCGCTCAATTAAATTATACTTTCTTAATTTCTTATTAATACGAATTTTAACTTAAATTCATAAAGCTCAAGCTCAAAATCAGCCCAGTAATTTAATGTCTGCCATTTTTATCGCAATTTGATTTATTTTTACATCAACTATTAATATTCAATGGTACATACCAGTTTATGTTTTTAAATAGTATATACTAATTGTACGGAAGAAAATATACGTTCGGACAGTATTGTCCGCAAAAGACAACGGTGAAGTTTGTTTGAATAAATCATTCCCTACACTGTTCGCACACAAAGAATTTTCTCATGTTCAATGCATTGAGGAAATCTCAAGCAAAAACCGTCCGACGTTTTTACTATTATTAAATATTAAGTCTATTAACACGCAAATAATTTTCCAGTACAATAAAAACAAATATATTACGAAAACTTACCTCAAAAAAATTACCTATTCCTTTTTTCGAACACAATTTCAAACTTGCACTTTGATAATGAATGGAACTAAGGTAACAAAGAAAAAAAGCACAATTTATAATTAAACAAACCGATGTTACACCACACGACACTGTATCACACTTTAGAATGATAAATTAACTTTACGCTTTTCCGAATACCGGTCGCGAAATGTGTCCGCCTTCCACAACAATCCAGAAACGACTGAAGCGCGATTAGTGTTGTAACTGAAATGTTATTCGTTGCTTATTTTAATAACGGTCATGAATATTTAGCGCCTTTTTTATTTATTAAGCGTAATTATAATAATATAAAGCTTACATTAAAATGATTACAGAAAGATCGTTCTTTGTTAGAAGGTTTTTTTTTAATTACTTTGTACCTATTCCCTTTTTAAAACGCTTTTATTAGTTTCAGACGTACGTATGTAACGGAATCTTTGAACATGATTTTGCCTCCCTTTAAAACGTCGGATTAACTCGAAATTTGGTATACTATTAGGGACCGATAACAATTCAATATGATTTTTTTTTTAATTCAACTAAAAAATGAAATATAAATAATAGTTTAAGCTATTATTTATTTTATATCAAAATAATACTATTATTTATTTTTATTATTATTATTTTTTTATCTAACAAAATACGCTTTTATAAAAACTCCAACTAAAAAATAGAAAATAAATTTTAATACAAACAAATATTTCCTCTTTTTAGTATAGATTCTTTGTTCGATTTATTTGTATAATATTATAATACTTAATAATCTTTTTTTTTTCCAAAGCTACGAACAAAGTGGTTTGGAAGAAGCTGGGGGAGGCCTTTACCCGAGAAGGGGTTCCGATCAATGGTGCAGGAGAAGTAACGATAGCGACTAAAAGAAAATTAAAGAAGTTCTAACCTAGTATATATTAAATCGCATGTAATAACGATATTATTATGGATTAGAAATAAACGGCCTTTATTATTATTATTACCGGAATGTATATTGTCATAATATATATATACATAAATTGTCTCTTCTTTACAGTGTCCTGTTTAATTCCTCGTGCCCGCGCTACCTTCAGGAACGTTTTGATTTCCTACATACTGCAAACTCCCATTTACTTAGGTCATCGGAGAATTTAATGCTGAAGTTTCCGGCTCTTATTCCTCTCCCTGCAAGGTTGCTGGAAGAGATCGCTTTGAAAGATAAGATTTTTTGCCAATTTATGTCACCGTCTATTATTTGTTTTTTAAGCTTACTTTGTACATGTGGTGTTAAATAAAGAATTATATTATTATAATTATTACTAGCTGACCCGCCAAATTTCGTAGTGCCTCAATCGATAAATAAAAGAGCTAAACATTTGTATAAAATAAACTTAAAACAAACAAAAGGAATCCGACACATCAAAGGGAAAACAAAATTGTTGTTGTGTTATTGTAATTGTATTGTGAAAACAACTTGTATAAAGATTTTTATTTAATTCCGAGCATTTTCATATTTATCTACCTTTTAAACTTTCTCTGGACTTCCACAAATAATTCAAGACCAAAATTAGCCAAATCGGTCCAGCTGTTTTCGAGTTTTAGCGAGACTAACGAACAGCAATTCATTTTTATATATATAGGTATAGATTACTAGCTGACCCGGCAAACGTTGTTTCGCCATATACTGCAGTGCCCTCTTCCGGGCTGATTTGTGAATAAAAACCATCCAAGGTGCCACCCAACGGATACAAAAAAAAATGATTAAAATCGGTCCAGCCGTCTAGGAGGAGTTCAGTGACAAACACACGCACAGAATAAACATATAAGTATATACATATAAGTATAAAGATTACAATACTCTTTAGATGTTAAGCGTTACGGTCAGTCATTGTCATGGTTTTATTATTTTAAATATATTACTGGCAGTGTCATAGAAAATGCTACACAAACCATACGTGTTTGATTTCAAATCATCAAGCCACATAACACAACCTTATCATCTTATCGTTCATTTTTCGGTAACCACTTAATTACCACGCTAAGAGCAAGCTCATCTGCCAATCTAGATGTAACAAGAAAAATGCTATATAATATTTTTTTTCATTGTTATCGTGTCCGAAATCATTAGAGCCTCGAAACCTTTTTGAACACCCTATAGATACGCGTTTTTGATCAGTCGAGACGAGAACGCCTTATCGAATTTCTTGTAATAAGTTTATGTTCCGCACAAATGGTCCACGTGAGCGCATGACCGCCAAGTGCTGTGGTTAAACCGATTTTCGTTATTTTATTAGGGCCTCTCGGGATATATTTGAGCCCGAACAAAGTTGCGAATTGCCGAAAATAATGCGTAGATGTTACACATTGCACACGCGTTGCAAAGATGTTACGGCAATAGATCTGTCGCATCAAAAAAAAAAAACAGAAGCAACATCTAGTAATAATTACATTGATTGCCTCATTTATCGAACTTAGATGTTACCTTAAAAACAATTTTGTTTCTTAATTAGGCATAATAAAATGTTTGTTTTATTCTTCTTCTTCTTCCTAACGTTTTCCCGGTCAGTCCACTTTCCTACTCCTCCACTTAGCGGAGTTAGGTTGGAAATAGATGAGGCTGACCGATGTAATATAGACCTATTTTTCATTTCATTTTTTTATTGCTTAGATGGGTGAACGAGCTCACAGCCCACCTGATGTTAAGTGGTTGCTGGAGCCCATAGACATCTAAAACGTAAATGCGCCAACCACCTTGAAATAAGTTCTAAGGTCTGAAATATAGTTACAACGGCTGCTCCACCCTTCAAACCCAAACGCATTACTGCCTCACAGTAAAAATAGGCAGGGTGGTGGTACCTACCCACGCGGACTCATAAGAGGTCCTACCACCAGTAATTAAGCAATTTATAATTTTGCAGGTTTGATTTCTATTACACGATGTTATTCCTTCGCCGTGGAAGTCAATCGTGAACTTTAGTTGAGTACGTATTTCATTAGAAAATTTGGTACCCACCTGCGGGATCGAACACCGATGCATCGCTACATACGAATGCACCGGACGTCTTATCCCTTAGGCCACGACGACTTTGTAGGCAGACGAGCGTACTGCCCGATGGTAGGCAGCGGCTTGGCTCTGCCCCTGGCATTGCTGAAGTCCATGGGCGACGGTAACCACTCACCATCAGATGGGCCGTATGCTCGTCTGTCTACAAGGGCAATAAAAAAAAGCATTCACGCAACTGATGCACGTGCCTTCGTTGACTGGGTTTCATTAAATCCGAGATTCTCCAACAACATTGAGACAGTCAGCTTTTTTCAAAATGGAGCGACTGCTAAACTAAAAGTCCTATGCCAATTTTTTTTTTCTTCCTACACAAAATACTAATTTATTAACTTTCCGGTTGGTTAAGGTAACGAGTGTAATAAGAAGCTTTCACTCATTATATATTTCACATCTGGTGGTAGGACCTCTTGTGAGTCCGCGCGGGTAGGTACCACCACCCTGCCTATTTCTGCCGTGAAGCAGTAATGCGTTTCGGTTTGAAGGGTGGGGCAGCCGTTGTAACTATACTGAGACCTTAGAACTTATATCTTAAGGTGGGTGGCGCATTTACGTTGTAGAATGTCTATGAGCTCCAGTAACCACTTAACACCAGGTGGGCCCGTCCACCCATTTAAGCAATAAAAAAAAACTAAGACTTATATATCTCAATGTCTCGCATTCACGATCTGATTTCCGTGAATTCCGATAACTGTTTGACATCAGGCGTGCAGTAAACTCGTTCATCGATCTATACAAAAGCCATTGAGTCAGTTACGAACTCCTTAGGTTTCGATAACAAGAAATCTTCACACGAATACCGATAATTATACTGTAGAGAGAACATTTTTTCTTCTTCCTATTCGTACACTCTTGACAGAGTGTGGTCATGCATCAGTCAGATCCTGCGATACCGATGCTCTCGCGATGCGACGCCATGTGGCACGATGTTTCGCAGAGTCAGAGCAATCATTTATGTTGGAGTGAGTCACAGATTTTATGAGGTCGGTCCATCGTGTTGGAGATCGTCCGCAAGATCTTTTGCCCTCGACTTTCCCTTGCACCACCAACCGCTCAATGGAGTCCTCATTACGAGTAATGTGCCCGAAGAACTTGAGGATTCGTATTTGGACTGTTGACGAAGTCTCTCCTTGATGTTGAGCTTTTTCAAGATCATGGAACATACGCTTAACTGTACTGAGACCTTAGAACTTATATCTCAAAGTGGGTGGCGCATTTGCGTCGTATATGTCTATGGGCTCCAGTAACCACTTAACACCAGGTGGGCTGTGAGCTCGTCCACCCATCTAGCAATAAAAAAAAAAGACGCTTAACCAAATAAAACAAATTTTATATTTGTGTTTTAATTTAAAATAAACAAATTTTAATACAACATATATTTTACAATATGATCATACACTTGGTCATTCAAACAAATATTATGAATGCGTTAGACGCACTAGAAGTTTCACTTCCATTACGAGCTTTTTATAATTAAAATATTAAAAACATATAACAAGTCATCGGTTAGTATTTGTACTTTAATACGTTTAATTTATTGACATTAACATTAACATACCTGTAAATATTTGATTAATAATTAAAATGATTTTTACGGTTTGATCCCGGTTTTTTAATAGTATCATTGTTTCTCACCACGTGAATACTTTACAGTTTTGGGTTTCGTAAGATTAATTACCTATGTTTACGAATCGCCAAAACCAAAAACCAAAAAAATAACAGGATAATGCATTATAAATTTCACGATAATTATGAGCGCTTTTTCCTTCCTAAAACATTCGACTTTGAAATGTCTCTTGCTGTAGGCGATCTATTCAAGGTGGCATTTCAATTCGACCAACAATGTCAATACTTTATAAAAATATTCCAATCGTTAGGCCGACGTTAAATGCAGTTTAGAATGTGAGATAGTTGGCAACATCACCGGTAACCACTTAACGCAATGCACCGCAAGCTGGGCGCCATTAGCATGGGACAGGTGACTTTTTTTCTACCGGATCTCTGGTAGCCTTGAGGGGTCGATTCCAGCTTCTCCAAGCTGTAACACGACGAGCTCACGGCGCTTCGCCTGAGAGACCTTACTAACACTGGTCCTAGCAAGAGCAGTGCTTCGCTGAATCTACTGTTAATTTACTCGCCGAGCCCTTCGTCGCAAGCGACGGGTTAGTCAGTCTATGCAAGTTGAAATCTTCATTGCATCCGACGAGAACTGTAACCACTGCTGGCAGTCCCTAAAAGCACCGAAAGTCTATCGAGAAGATCCAAAATGTGTTTGTTAGTTTGGGCGACATCATCTGTGCGTTACAAGATCGACTGAGCCGGACATATAACTCTAGAAGACAAATCACATCCGCCTTCAATTCAAAACTAAAACAAAATAGCTAATACAAGAATCACTTCCACTGGGCATCACTGGAATTTTCTCCAAAATCGTAAGACGGAAAAAAAAAATTTTTTTATTGCCCTTGTATGCAGACGAGCATACGGCCCACCTGATGGTGAGTGTTTACCGTCGCCCATGGACTTCAGCAATGCCAGGGGCAGAGCCAAGCCGCTGCCTACCGCTTCAAGCCGCTGCCTACCGCTAATTTTTACTGAGGATAATTTCAAATTCATAGAAAATATTATAGAAAATATTTCATTTTCCATACGTGATGTAATGATTGAAGTCGAGGGTAGTTACACGAGTTATAACAACCCCACTTATTGTATCGAGTTGAATAACAAAACACAACAGAACAATGTTTTATTATCTTAGCAATATGCGTTCCTCGTCGATCAACTTCTCCAATTCGCTTCTGAGAAGTTGAGCTTCGCTTCGTCTCTCTTCCAAACTTCGGGCCGGCTTCAACGGGTGACCGCACTTCAATCTTTCAAAATGACAAACATTCTGATTAATATCTCTTAAGGAAATCGCGCTCCTCCGAAAGTCTTTTGAGCCGTAAGCTTTTAAAAAAGCATTCACGATTATGTAATAGAGACGCGTTACACAAAGCTCGACTGAACTCAAGGTGTAAAATGTTGACGTCATGAGAGACCAAACGAATAGCTAACCACATATGACGTCATCCGTTGTGGTACTAAACACCCCAAAACTAAATCATCTGGATTAATCAATCAGTCAGAAAGGGCTAGTATTTATATACATAATATTATTACGTACATAATTTTAAATTTATGTTATTAATAGCAAATCGCGTTAGGAATTCAGGTAACACCAGTTTTCCGATTTCTGCAACTCTCCATCGATGTCCATAGGCCCCAGTGATCACTTACAACCACATCGACCGTGCTGACAACCGACAACCCCTTGTCCTATCAAAAGACGCGTTCTTTTAAACACTCATGTATACTCACTGATCATGCTTCGCCAATTCCAGGTATATTAAATCGTTGTCTATAAAATCTCCCTTCTTCCGCGGCATCACGTGACAATGAAGATGCTGGACAGAAAGAGACGCAAGGGTTTTACTCTGAGACCCTCTACTCGAAGTAAAGCCCCAGCAAGAGGATCATCACAGACGAATATTATTAGTAAAATTCATGAGCATCTTTTTTAAGCTATTGCATAGCCTTTTATCGCGAGCTTTGAGCGCGGCGACCGAATCAAGAAATTTCGTAACGAAAATAAAACCTAACACCCCAACTCCGCCTACCATGTAGCTCGCGTTGCGCTCTTGTAATGTTTGTGAATAAGCGCGCGGCGTGACGTCGCACTGCATGTGTNTCTAAGCAATAAAAAAAAAAAAAAAAAAAACATACCTGTAAATATTTGATTAATAATTAAAATGATTTTTACGGTTTGATCCCGCTTTTTTAATAGTATCATTGTTCCTCACCACGTGAATACTTTACAGTTTTGGGTTTCGTAAGATTAATTATGTTTACGAATCGCCAAAACCAAAAACCAAAAAAATAACAGGATAATGCATTATAAAATTCACGATAATTATGATCGCTTTTTTCTTCCTAAAACATTCGACTTTGAAATGTCTCTTGCTGTGGGCGATCTATGCAAGGTGGCATTTCACTTCGACCAAAAATGTGGACACTTTATAAAAATATTCGAATCGTTAGGCAGACGTTAAATACAGTTTAGAATGTGAGATAGTTGGCAACATCACCGGTAACCACTTAACGCAATGGTCTAGATACCAGGCCATAAACCCAAAAGAAAAAAAAAAAACTTAACGCAATGTACCGCAAGCTGGGCGCCATTAGCATGGGACAGGTGATTTTTTTTCTACCGGATCACTGGTAGCCTTGAGGGGTCTGTTCCAGCTTCTCCAAGCTGTAAGACAACGAGCTCACGGCGCTCCGCCTGAGAGACCTTACTAACACTGGTCCTAGCAAGAGCAGTGCTTCGCTGAATCTACTGTTAATTTACTCGCCGAGCCCTTCGCTGCAAGCGACGGTTTAGTCAATCTATGAGTTAGAATGCAAGTTGAAATCTTCATGGCATCCAACGAGAACTGTAACCACTGCTGGCAGTCCCTAAAAGCACCGAAAGTCTATCGAGAAGATCCAAACTGTGTTAGTTTGGGCGACATCATCTGTGCGTTACAAGATCGACTGAGCCGGACATATAACTCTAGAAGACAAATCACATCCGCCTTCAATTCAAAACTAAAACAAAATAGCTAATACAAGAATCACTTCCACTGGGCATCACTGGAATTTTCTCCAAAATCGTAAGACGGAAAAAAAAATATTTTTTATAGCCCTTGTATGCAGACGAGCATACGGCCCACCTGATGGTGAGTGTTTACCGTCGCCCATGGACTTCAGCAATGCCAGGGGCAGAGCCAAGCCGCTGCCTACCGCTTCAAGCCGCTGCCTACCGCTAATTTTTACTGAGGGTAATTTCAAATTCATAGAAAATATTTCATTTGCCATACGTGATGTAATGATTGAAGTCGAGGGTAGTTATACGAGTTATAACGACCCCACTTATTGAATTGAGTGGAATAACAAAACACAACAGAACAATATTTTATTATCTTAGCAATATGCGTTCCTCGTCGATCAACTTCTCCAATTCGCTTCTGAGAAGTTGAGCTTCGCTTCGTCTCTCTTCCAAACTTCGGGCCGGCTTCAACGGGTGACCGCACTTCAATCTTTCAAAATGACAAACATTCTGATTAATATCTCTTAAGGAAATCGCGCTCCTCCGAAAGTCTTTTGAACCGTAAGCTTTAAAAAAGCATTCACGATTATGTAATAGCGACGCGTATAAAATCTATGTGTTATGCAAAGCTCGACTGAACTCAAAGTGTAAAATGTTGACGTCATGAGAGACCAAACGAATAGCTAACCACATATGACGTCATCCGTTGTGGTACTAAACACCCCAAAACTAAATCATCTGGATTAATCAATCAGTCAGAAAGAGCTAGTATTTATATACGTAATATTATTACGTACATAATTTTAAATTTACGTTATTAATAGCAAATCGCGTTAGGAATTCAGGTGACACCAGTTTTCCGATTTCTGCAACTCTCCATCGATGTCCATGGGCCCCAGTGGCCACTTACAACCACATGGACCGTGCTGACAATCGACAACCCCTTGTCCCAACAAAAGACGCGTTCTTTTAAACACTCATGTATACTCACTGATCATGCTTCGCCAATTCCAGGTATATTAAGTCGTTGTCTATAAAATCTCCTTTCTTCCGCGGCATCACGTGGCAATGAAGATGCTGGACCGACAGAGATGCGAGGGTTTTACTCTGAGAACCTCTACTCGGAGTAAAACCCCAGCAAGAGGATCATCACAGACGATAATTATTAAAATTATTATTAAAATACACGAACATCTTTTTTAAGCTATTGCATAGCTTTTTCGCGGGCTTTGAGCGCGACGACCGAATCAAGAAATTCCGTAACGAAAATAAAACCTAACACCCCCACTCCGCCTACCATGTAGTTTGTGAGTAAGCGCGAGGCGTGACGTCGCACTGCATGCGCATCATGAAAAGTCTACCCATCTCTATCTCGCGTGGTTTAGCTTATGAGTGTGAAGGGGACAGTTAATGTTTTGCTTTTGTTAATGTTTATAAATATAGCGTGGTCTTATTTTATTATTGTTTTAATATTAAATTATTATTGTCTAATTATAATTGAATAAGTTGATAAAAAATGCTATGCAATAGCTTCACCGAGGCAGTCCCGGATGCCACACGTGTTTTTTTTTTATATAAATATCGATGGCTATTTGGTTTTAGCGACATTTCGCTTAACACGCGACATTTATCTTTGTAATTAAAGGTCCGTTTAATTTTGGTATCACAGCATCATTAGATCGATATTTTTAATCGAACTTCAATTAAGTTTAAATAACTAAAGAAGTTTTTTTTTTATTAAGATACGTTTTGCAAATTTTAAACTTGGAATGGTTCTCCTGTGTGTAAAAGTTGCAAAAACGTTGCTTAAACCAAATACCCTTCACCTGTCGATATAATTATATAATATATTTTCATTACATTATCTGAGCTAATAGACCAGTGATTCCCAAAGTGGTCGACTGCTTAGTGACACACGATAACTTAACAGAACGCAAAGTGTTTCTAAATCGTTAAGTTTCTCTATCGATGTGAAAAAGATAGGATAGATATACGATTTTTATGGTGACTAACCTCCATAACCATGGAAGGTCTGTGGTCTATGTCGCCCAAAAGTATCCTTTTTTTATTGCTTAGATGGGTGGACGTTACGTGGTTACTGGAGCCCATAGACATCTACGACGTAAATGCGCCACCGACCTTGAGATATAAGTTTTAAGGTCTCAGTATGGTTACAGGGCTCTCATCCCAATTCACTCCCACTCCACTCGACCCTCGACCTGATCAGAACCTGTAAGGAATCTCCGGTATTCTATTACCTTGACCGTCTGCCCCGCGTCAGGTCCGTCTTGTATCGTTATGGTGCAAGACTCTGCACCATGCACCTTCTCCATCAGCTAGGAACAAGGAAGTCTTAATTATTTACGCTCACCTAAAGCTGATTGGAAATGCCGCCAAAAACTTTGTGACGTTTTTTTTTAACGCTGGGGAATCCAGATTCAATTTCAATCCAGATCAAATCCAAATTCCAATCCAAATCCAAATTCAGAATCCAAAATCCAGACCTTGTGACGTGAGGTGATAAAAAAATCGATAAGCCATAATTTTCTTCCTTTTTTTTTTAATTGCTTAGCCTTTTTTTGAATTTTTTGTTTTTTTTATTCAATTCTGCTGTTAAAATCTTTTTATGTTTATTCTATTTTTATTTATTTTTCTTGAAGCGTGTGCGAATTTTCACGACGACATTTTGACGACATTCGAAGATTCTCTTGCATACAATCAAATGTAAATAAATATTGTTACGCCGGTAAGAGGAACACGATCTATCATCGAATAGTAGAAACGAATATCAAAAGATCTAGTTAAATCGAGAACGTTCGAATAGTTCAACGACATCTATTGTCAGATAGTGCAAACACATATCGAAGCTACTCGACATGTCAAGAATGTTCTCGATAATTGTGGAGATGTCGTATCGACTATAAAAGCGGTGCAGAGGATACGAACTTAGTTATCGAAACTACTCGAAGCGAAACTGCCAACGGGTCACCTGAAGCGAAGCGGAAGAAGTGAATAAGGAGTTATAAAGTGTTCTGTAAGTGTTTTAAGTGTTAAATAGAGTTATAATTTGTACTTCAGTGGGAGAGTTATTTTTTCCGAGCCCCAGCGCGTGACATTATTAAGACTGCCGAATAAGGCACTTGACTGTCGTAGGATTCATTCAAGCTATTTTAGTACCTTTTGGACCAAACGAACGGTTCTGAAGAAATCTTCGGCCTCCTCCTCAGTTAGGTCCTTGTTCCTCTCGGCAGGCCTGATGGGCGCCACCAGGACGTGCCCAGGGATCACACATCTGAAAGGTTTCAATATGACGCACCAATATCGTTCGTACAGAATAGTGTCATTAAATTGTTTTGAAAAGATCTTGTCATTATTTTTTTTTCTACCTAAGCTGATAGTCTTGAGAGACTATTTAAGTGTAACCTTAACAAGTAGGTGAGCTCACCGGGCTCAAACCGACAGTGAAACAGCAATCCGGTCCGGTATGAACAATTGGGCAGCCATACAATAGAAGCTTCTCATAATATACCATAATGAATGGCGAGTTTTTTTCCCTACCTATTCGCTGACAGCCTAAAAGGCTATTCCAGCTACGCCTGGACGGGTAAGTGAACTCACGGACTCAACCTGAGAGAATTTGCTAACACTGGCCCTAACAAAAGCAGTGATTGGCAGAATCTACCACCGGATCGGAATCGCAACATTAAACTAGACTTTGAGCATATTCACGCATCGCCGCAAGAATGTCGATAAAAACGCCTACCATTTTACCTCAAATGACGTCACACATATCCTCACCTCAGATTGACAAAGGCGTAGGCGAATTTGGACTTGAAGAAAATGCAGCTCTCCGGGATCTTGGCGTGACCGAAGACGTTGTACGGCTCCGGGGAGGACGGAGGGGGGTTGGGATCGGTGGGGGAGTGGGATGGCAGCTTCTCTAACGGGAGGGACTTGCGTAAAGACAAAGTGTACAAGGAATACACGTCGGGTCTGGAAACAATGAAACATCCTTACTAATATATAAATGTGAATGTAAGTTTGTTTGTTACGCTTTCACGCGAAAACTACTCAACCGATCATCATGAAACTTTGTACACATATTGTTGGAGGTATTAGAAGAAACATAGGATACTTTTTATTAAGAAAAAAAAATTTTTTTTTTACGAAAAATTAAAAAATTGTTTGTCAAAAAATCTCAAAATCTAGCTTCTTCAACGCCATCTACCTGTTCAGTATTGAAGTTCCAATCCTGAGTGCTGTAAATGAAGTCGCGGGTAAAATTTAGCGTTATGCCAAAGTAACTATTCCACGCGGACGAAGTCGCTGGCAAAGCTAGTCTATATATAATACATAGCAGGCAAAACTTTAAACAATATTTTACCGTGTTTGTCTTGTTTGTTTGTGTTGTGTTTTTGAAGTGAAACTTCTTTAGGCGCTTTGAGTGTAAAATTTAATTCGCGACAGATTCGTTACTGCTAGAAATAAAAGATACAATTTAGAAGGAGCGAGAGTGAGAAAATAGACAGAGCGTCTCGCGAACCACCTTTGAGAGAGGGAAAGGACAAAACGAGCTAGGTTGTTTCTCTTACACAAAGCAAGAGATTACCCTATTACAAGAGAAATTTGATTTAAGTATAAAAAATGAAGAAAACCACAATACTACACACCGCAAAAGAAGTTTCACTTCTTCCACGTGCACCAAGTTGCATGTGCACCATTTATTTATTTAGTTACCTTCTATGCTGAAATACGGGCATGTTACGTCTCACATCATTCAGTTTGTCATGAGATATCTCAACGATTTTATAGCAAGGGGTGGACTCCCCGCAGTCGGCTAGGACTTCGCCCCAGGGGTCGACGCAGAGCGCGTGTCCGTACGAACGCCTCTTCGGGTTGTGAACGCCGGACTGTGCTGCTGCAACCACGTAGCATTGGTTTTCTATCGCCCTTGATCTATGAGAACAATAGTAAACAGATACATAGATGAGTGACGACATCTCTTAACTGACTTCAAACGAAGAGATTCTGTATTGAGGAACTTTTTTTTGTGTAATAAAGTAAAAAACAGCACGCGTGGTTAACACAAGTGGCTACTGGTGACGATAAGCATTGCAGTCTCAATACGGCCCCCTCGATACTTACCCTCAATAGCACTAAACTAGAGCGCATACATTATTGGTAAAATTACAATTCGACTTAGGCAAGTTTTTTTGGTCCACTCGCTTTCCTGGACGCCCTTTGCACCCTGCACGCTTGCTTCCCGTGACACAGGAGAAAATCCTGAATTTTGGAGCGCGAAATTATGACAATTTAATATTTTTTCTTCTAAAATTAAATTTTAAAAAACAACACCCTATATTTTTATAGCCACTGTAGACATATGAGCATACGGGCCAACTAATGGTCGATGTCGGTAGGTACATCAGCAGTGGCAGTGGCAGTGTCAGTGGCACAGGAAAGCCGCTGCCTACTGTTGTTTTATTCATAAACAACGCACTATTACCTGAGTAATATATGCCAGTGAGCCTCCCCCGTTGCTTGAGTGAAAGCCGATGGAAATGTCAAGATGTCGGCGCTCATTATACTCAGGGATGTACTCAGCTCAGGGAAGCGCATATCATAACATATAGCCATACCTGTTGGAGCACAAATTGTTTTTTGTGTGTGCCACATTAAAACATTACATAGAAAGGTTTCCTTTTAGTAAATTTGCTAACGGCATAACTAGTATTAAGTTGTAAGCGAAGCATGGTTTAAAGTGTATTTTATAACAACTTTTTCTTTATTTTAATTCCCTACTTATTCACTGGTAGCCTATGGGGCTATTCCAGCTTCTCACAGACGGTAAGTGAGCTCACAGACTCAAGCTGAGTTGGCCAACACTAGCCCTAGCTCCAGCAGTGCTTCGTTGGATCGCGACCCACTGAGAAGATCCGGCGAGAAACTCTCATAGGGCAGTTTAGTGATGTACTGTGACGTGATGTGTGACAAATGGACAAACATACAAACATACAGCTAGACACCCATCATTTTACCCACCCTGTACTGTCTGTATTACTATTTCTTAGGCAATATGAGTACGCGACTGCAGTCAGATGAATCCAATCAGGTAAATTCTCTCGCCTTAAAAACCATATTCCATATTCTTCCTGTCCCAATCTCACCATCTTTCAACTGACAGCATATAGAACCTCGCGTTTGTAGATACTAGCACTATACCAATTTCTACAGCAAAGCTTTGGTAAGNACCCTGTACTGTCTGTATTACTATTTCTTAGGCAATATGAGTACGCGACTGCAGTCAGATGAATCCAATCAGGTAAATTCTCTCGCCTTAAAAACCATATTCCATATTCTTCCTGTCCCAATCTCACCATCTTTCAACTGACAGCATATAGAACCTCGCGTTTGTAGATACTAGCACTATACCAATTTCTACAGCAAAGCTTTGGTAAGCCCAGTCCAAAAGCACACCTAGTTTTAGTGTCAATCCATGACACTAAATAGGCTGCGAAGGCCAAAATCCCATGAAATTATAAGAGAAATTTCTACTTGACTATAATACACTCTTCAAAACATACTGTTGAAATTCCGTATCCTGCTTACCAATTTTCCCTACAGGAGTATCGACTGGTGCCACAATATGGTCGCCAGCATTCGAGAAGTCACTCTCCTTCAATCTAACGTTTCTCTCCGGTATCTCTACATCGAAAAGATGTAGTTTCCTGTACATTTGTACAAGGGATCCTTTGTCATCTATTATTATGTGCGTGTTGTACATTTTGTTTGGATTTTTTTCATCCTGAAAATTTGTTAAATTATTTATTATTTTAATATGTTTGACGGTGCTTGGTTGTGGTGTATTTTAACATAAAAATCTACAAGATATTGAGAGCTAATAATTAAGCTAGACAATTGTTGTGTTGTTGCATCAAAAGTTTGAGAAGAGATGATCAGGTCCATATTGTAATAGGTCAAATTCAAATGTGGAATTCGTTTTGGTTACTTCATATCTATGTAAATAAAATTGGAGTGTCTGTTTGTAATTTTGAACGCTTTTTACTACATGCATATGAATATATGAGTCGTCTATTATCAAAGCCGGCAATGTGACTTTTGGACAATTATTGGTAAATCAGAAAAACGAATTATTGACTTTGTATTCCATTGGCAGTCACAAAACTCTTCTGAACGACATCTTAGATAAATAACAGGTTAAGTACTAACCTTTATTTAATGCAGGTTTTGAACCGTATTCTTTGAAGGAGACGATTATATTCAATCTGTATTGACATATCAATAACATTTTTTTGTCCAAATGCACAGATTGCCACCTTTGATAATAGACGACTCATATATACGGTACATATACCAAAATAACATTTTCACAATTTTTATCTGTTTGTTTGTTCCAGTTAATCTCTGGAACGGCTGGACCGATTTTGACGAGACTTTCACTGATAGGTAGCTGATGATATAAGGACTAACTTAGGCTACTTTTTTTAGACTAGCTTCGCCACGCAGCGTCACCCGCGGTACGACAATAACCGCAGGTAAAATTGCGGGACTCAGCTATTAATAATAAAATTTAATGTTTTGCTGGTCGCTAGTCTTAAATATAACAAACCCTTTCGTGAACCCCTCCCATAGACAACCAAACTCCATATTTCTCTGCCAATTCTCTATACTTTCCCACAATCTCACCACCAAATATAGGCTCAGAAAAGTTTACTATATCCTTTTTGTTATCACAGATGTAGTCGCATGCTTCTGGAAAGAAAAGCATCTGAAAACATTTCAATGTATTAAAATATGGTTTATTAATAAAAATGTTACTCAAATAAGCCAAACCAAGCCAAGCCAAGCTTAGCTGCCCAATTTATAAGTAAAAAGAATACATAGTTACAAAATGTATAGGTACCTGAACATTTTCTTTGGCAGCACTATCAATGATGCCTTCGACAACTTTTAAATTGGCCGCTTTGTCAGCAACAGAAGTCATTTGACAGACAGCTATCCTTTTACTAGACATGACTGGGGTTTTACAAAAATGCCTTTTGAAATCTAGTCTCAATATGTTTCTAAAGGTATTCAGCGGCCAAAACTGAAAATCAATGCGAACCGAATTCAAATTATCTTTATTAGCAGCTAGTCTGATGCATGCAGTTACTGGTGGTAGGAACTCTTGTGGGTCCGCACGGGTAGGTACCACCACCCCGCCTATTTTCTACCGTGAAGCAATAACGCATTTCAGTTTGAAGGGTGGGGCAGCCATTGTAACTATACTGAGACCTTAGAACCTATATCTCATGGTGGGTAGCGCATTTACGTTGTACATGTCTATGGGCTCCGGTAACCACTTAACACTAGGTGGGCTGTGAGCTCGTCCAACCATCTAATAAAAAAATTTAAAAAATATCTTACAAGAGATCATATTTATTATTGACATTGATTTGGACAAGGTCAGAGGCTCAGTCGAGAGGTTATTTACCTCCTTGCTCTTGAAAATGTTTATAGTTCCCTAAAGCTTATGTTAAATATAACTTTTCACGAGGTTTTAATAACAAAACTGTAGTAAACTCGAATGGTCATAGTTGAAGTATTTGTTACTAGGTACTCATTAAAAAAGTTTTGTTGTACATTCATATACTATTTCCCGTACGCGGTTACCTTCATTGTACGAAGATACTGTAATTTTGATAAATTATTTTTTTATTATCATAGTATTGAATATATAGTGATAATTACATTATATCTTTAATCTTGGTGATCAGATATTTTTCCAAAATTTTAACTTTGCTAGCATTTGACACTGACACTTGACAGCTGAACTGTGGCAGATTAAATTAGATAGTGATGTACAGTTAAATTTTAATGAGAATAGTCGATCAACGAACCGATATCTTAGAGTACCTTGTACCAATCACAATTGCTCTCTCATCATCATCACCATCATTATCCTGCCCTTCTCCCAGTCACCTGGGGTCGGCGCAACATGTTTTCTCCTTCCATACTCTTCTATCATATACCATTTCTTCGCTCACTCCCCTCCTACCCTTTTTTTTTTTTTTTTCCTACCTAAGCTGAGAGCCTTGAGAGGCTATGTCAGCGTAACCCTAACTTTTGTAGGTGAGCTCACGGGGCTCAAACCTGATGACGTTGCTAACACGAACCCTAGCAAGAGCCGTGCTTCGCAGAATCTACCACCGGATCGGAAACGCGACCCACTGAGAAGATCCGGCGAGAAACTCAGTGGGCTGTGTCTGGGAGTTAATTTACTCGTCGAGCCCTTCGTCGCAAGCGACGGGTTCGACGAGAACGGTGACCGGTGCTTGAAGTACCTAGAAGCACCGTTAGTGGATCGGGAGGATCCGAGATGACGTGTTTTGGGCGACGTCGACTGCTTTCCATTCTGTCCGCAGGATCGGGAATGTAGTTACCGGCGGCCACGATGAGAGGGTTCTCGTGTCGTGCCGCTTTATCGAAGTGGCGCATTGACGCCGACTGCATATACTTACTGGTGGACTCTAAGTCCAGGTCGTCATGGAGGTCGACGTTCCTGACGAACCACGGGGCTCCGACGGCTATCCTGCAAAAACGGGATTGAATAATTTGAAAGGATTTTAAGTGTATGCGGGCCGCGTGAGCGAACACTACACTTGCATAGGTCATGACGGGGCGTATGCAAGTTTTGTAGAGTGTCACCTTATTTCTAAGGGACATTTTACTTCGCCTACATATCATCGGGTAGAGACGTCCTAGAATGAAGGCGGCACGGTCGCGTACCGTCTTGATGTGGGGGCGGAATGTCATCCTACTGTCGAGGGTGACGCCTAAATATTTGACCTTCGGGGCCCACGGTATGGGCTGGTCGAACATCGTGATTGGGCGAACGGCGGGGGCGGGGGTATTGACGCGCCTAGTCGGGAGGGGGATGCTCAGCGTGGTGTTCGGAGGGCGACCCCTTTTGAAGAGCACCGCTGTGCTTTTCGTGGGGTTAATGTCGATGCGCCACTTCCGGAACCACTGTCCCATGGTGGTAGCTGCGGTCTGAAGTCGTCGATGAAGCAACGCCTTCTTCCTACACGAGTAGTAGATGGCGGTGTCATCGGCGAAGAGCGCCAGATGGGTCTCCGGAGACCGGGGTATATCGTTGATATACAAACTGAATAGTAACGGGGAGAGGGCGGAGCCTTGCGGGACTCCGGCTGTGACGTGACGGGGCCGGGAACGCGTTCCCTCGACTCGATATCGGAACGAACGGTTCGACAAGTAGTCTCGTATGATGAGCACGAGTCTGTCTGGCACTCCCATGTTATACAGTTTGTATATCAAACCGTTGTGCCAGACTTTGTCGAACGCCTTCGCTATATCGAAGAAGAGGGCTCCTGTCGGAATGGCCTCCTACCCATATCGTCTTTCACACAATCCATCCATTTCTTCTTAGGTCTACCTCTTCCTCTAAATCCTTCCACATTCATAGTTAACACTCTCTTAACAACCTCATTTTCATTTCGTCTCATCACATGTCCATACCATCCCAAACGCACATCACAATTGCTCTCTATCCAATTCAATTTACATCATATTGTGTTAACAATGTGTACATGCTAAGCATGAAACATAATGTATCTTCGTTGCACAATACACCATATATTGGTAGTTTCATTAACTTAATTCGTACTTTCCAATTAACGAATATACTTGTTTGAGGTCGTAAAGGTAAAACATCCAGCTTAATATAAAGAATGTTATGATTTTCTTCAAATCCCGCAGACATGTAAAATTTAGTCATAAAAACTATAAACCGATTTACACTATGAAGGAAAGCGTAGAGTAAAGCAATGAAATCCACAAAATTGTACAGCTACTTGTAAGAGTATGGGTAATTACCACCATCCTATCCATTAGTCTGAAATATTCATGTGGTCTAGCTTAAACGGTAGAACAGTCGTTATACAATAGCAAGTTGCGACCTGGGTGGCTATATTTGCGTTAGAATGTTTACTCCTGTTACGATTTAACGCCACGCCGTGATCCTTTTGAAAACTAAGATTTACATTTTTCAATTATTTCAAAATAGAAGGACTAGTAATTTTTATTTGTGTGTTCATTATCGTATCATATATCATGTGATATCGCGATCGCGAAAATGTCGAGATATTATCCAACGGCGCTTTGATAATCAATCTCTAAATCTGTTCGAATACAAATTTTCCAACAAAACGTTTTTTTATATACAGACTAAAAACTAGCATTTTACTAAAAATAATTATCAACAACAAACATATCACCTTAAAATATTCTAGAATATGAATTGTTTGAAATTCTTGAGCTTGTTTGTTTGTCGTTAACCAACAAATAAGTCCATCAAGAATACATTTGGTTACTATGCTTTAGAACACATTTGACGTCTAGAAAAATCGCTGAGTTGAATTTTCTCGATAGTTAAAGAAGACAAAGTGAAATTATACATAGGTACTCAATTTTAAAGCTAAAGTCGATCTTAGCTGTAAGAAAAGCCATAAATAATGTCTGAAGAACAGAAGAATTCCTGTGTTTCTGAAGTGAGTTCTACATAATGCCATATTTCTTAAACTAATTTTTTTCTTACCTGCAATAAATAATGTATGTACTGACCAAAAAAAACTCATTACAAAAGAAATCAGTGATAGTGAACTTCAGTTTTTTTTNAATTTTAAAGCTAAAGTCGATCTTAGCTGTAAGAAAAGCCATAAATAATGTCTGAAGAACAGAAGAATTCCTGTGTTTCTGAAGTGAGTTCTACATAATGCCATATTTCTTAAACTAATTTTTTTCTTACCTGCAATAAATAATGTATGTACTGACCAAAAAAAACTCATTACAAAAGAAATCAGTGATAGTGAACTTCAGTTTTTTTTTCAAAAAATATTTATTGCTATTAATACATTTAAATATTATAATGAACTTAAGATTCACGTTGAAGATAAATTTTCAAACAGATTTACGAACTTTCTTCTTTAGTGTACATTGAACATATTTTTGTATGTTCGTGTCCAAACATTTACACATTTAGTTGTTATAAAGACATTAATTAAAGCTGAGTGTTAGAACGATTTTAGTAGTATATATTTTTTATAGATTAATATGTCCCTATCACCATTATACTGTATAAATCTTGTTCTCATCAAATCGGCATATTTTTAACCTTATTATGAGGATAGATATAGACTATAAAGAGAGCAGAGATATTGTATTAAAATTATCATATAAATAGCTATTTATGTCTTCAATAAACGTGTTGGGTTTGTGGTTTAGTCCTACAAATTTGTTTATAGTCACCATTTTAAACACCATTTGATAAAAGGTAAATATATCCTCATGAGACAAGTTTTTGACCTCATAATGTGTAAAATATAGAAATAATTATATAAAAAAGGCATTATGTTATTGTATTCAATGACACAGTAATTTTTTTTATTAATAATTAGAGAGAGAGAGAAAGAGCATTCTTTATTGTACAAAAAAAAAAGTGAAACATTAAATACAAAAAAAGTACAATCGCTAAGAGTGATCTCTTCCAGACAACCATCAGGTGGACAAGAATAATTTGGAAACGAATTACATGCATTACGTTACAAATAAAATTAGTTTTGATTAAAAATAAAAAAATATTAGAATTAAAATAATTGCTCTTTAAAGTAATTAAGTTTCTCAAAAAATCAACTTCTGTCTATAAAAATATGTTCATTATAATATAAACATTTCAACAGGAAATTAAGCCGAAGATCAAACATGATTGGTACCAGACGGAGTCACAAGTGGTTGTCACTATATTAATCAAGAATGCCCTAAGTGACCAAGTCAAAGTCCAGTACAATGAACGAAGTGTAAGTATTTCTAGTATCAATGCTAGAAGCTTCTGAAAGTTGATTGTCGTACCTGCCAGAAAGGAGAAATTCAACATTATGGAGCATTATAATAATTGGGAACAGATCACACGGTTATTTGTTCATCACACAAATGTTTGCCCAATTTTGGAATAGAACCCTTGCGCGTGATCCTTGGCGTGATAAAGAAACTTCTCCATTCAACATTATTTACAGAAAAAAACAAACAATTATTCAACAAAACGTAGTGACAACTCTTAGCAATGATAAATATAAATATTTGTTGAAGTTTTACTTGTCATCTTGTGAACTTGTGCACTGATACCCTATCACTTATCATACACATTTTTATTTCTGTGGGTTTCATTTTTATGGAAGTAACCTAAGTCCTTCATCATGGAAGTCACTCTTGCTAAGAATTCTTGTGACGTACATAGTTCTTTAGTGCACTTGTTAAGTATCTGTGAAATTGAAACACTGAGTTGCTTAACATAATTAATGAATATATATACTGAATATATTATCTGTTAGGTTGTCAACAGAACTGAGAATCTCCAATGCTATTTCTACTTTTCAGCTATCCTTTTCCTGTCCGTTACCTAACTCAGACTCCGAGTACAGTTTGGAACTTGAATTAGCACATGAAATAATACCAACAATGTGCAGTTACGTAGTGAGCCCGTCGAAGATAGAGATCAAGCTACGTAAGAAGGAAGGTCTAAGATGGAACCAGCTGGAAGGGGAAGGGACTGAGAAAAAAGTTAAGGCCATTCCTCAGGGTAAATTTAACAAAATATTACTCAACTGTTTATATGTTAAACATAGTTATATATACCAAATATGTTACCAAAATTAATCAAAGAGAATCAGCTAGTATTCTAATATTCAATAATGTCCAATTAATAACAAGCCCACATTGTGAGTGGTTACCATCGCTCATGGATATCAGCAATGCCAAGGGAACAGCTAAGTAGCTGCATACCCCTGAGTACTCTCCTTAAACCTTGTATGAAGCAGGACATGTCATACTACTCGGGAAACACTGTGAGCTCATCCCCATTCAAAGCTGTGAATGCTGATGCGCAGAGCAAACTATACACCACATTGTCATGGAATGCCCACTAACGAAATTTGCAGGCCAAGTGGAAGATCTCAAAAATGTAACAGAAGAAGCTATCGATTATTTCACAAACTGTAAATTTAAATTATAACCACGCAGTGTAAACGAATGCCATACGATAAATAAATAAAATCCCAGATCCAGATGGTACGTGACAGAAAAAATTCTTGACACATACTGTGGATGAATACAGTGGTTCTAGGTAGAGTGGTTGATAGTGGCGGTGCTATGATAAAATCTAGATGATCTCAACAATTCCTCAAAGTACCTAAAGGCATCTTTTTTGTATAAGTAACAATAATTTTCGATATTTAAAAGGAATCCAAGACAAAGCCCTGTAAATCATTACACATCAAAAATATACTTTACTAGCTGTACCCGGTCACTTTGTTGGGCATTAAAAATTAACGTTATTATTTCTCACCCCCACAAAGATTCTCATCATTAACGCCCTCGCAACTGGTGTAGGGAGTCCAACACTCATATAAATATTAGCCTATCCATTAAGTACATGTATTCTCTACGGGGATACCAAGTTTCAAGTCAATCGGATGCACGGTTCAGTAGCTATAACGGAACATCCGTAAAAAGCCCTGTAAATTTATATATTAGTATAGATAGTATCGATTACAAAATTTACTTGATAAATTCCCAAAACTGCAACCAACAATATATATGTTATGCGTTTTGTTATAGCTGTAATCGACGCTTCCGGACCGCAGCAACCGCCTCAACTATTCAGAAAAGACTGGAACAAGATCGAGAAGGATATTAAAAAAATGGTACACATTTTTTTTTATGCCCTTGTAGGCAGACGAGCATACGGCCCACCCAATGGTGAGTGGTTACCTTCGCCCATGGACTTCAGCAATGCCAGGGGCAGAGCCAAGCCGCTGCCTACAAAATCTCTAATCATAATCAAAATCTTATTTCAAAATCATAATTTATTTAGTGGAGTTTGATGTCTTCATTTATTGATTACCAAATTTAAAAAACTAGTGGTCCACCAGTAGTCCAAATTCGACTGTAATTAATTGAAATTTAATTTTGAAAATTATTGGTTCTAATGTCAAAAAGTATTAAACTTCTATAACAGATTTCGCCAAGATTACATTATAGACAAAGGAAAATCAGAGTTTATGTGTGTGTGTCAAATACATGCTAGTGTTTGTAATGTTTTTTTTATTAATTAGATTTTTTTTGGCATACTTTAAAAAAATATTAACATTCTGCACTCCTTCTCTATATTCTCTACAAGTGTGAGATGTTTCCCGTTTTAGTGTATATAGATGTATATATTTGAACCATTCTCTTTAAGTTGGTGTGGTGCAGTCACATTGTGATGTAGAACTCTTAAATAACCACTTAACACTAAATAGGCTGTGGTTTCGTCTCCTCATTTAATGTAAATAAAACAAATAAATGACAAGTGAACTCTCTAGTGGAGTCAGTGTTTATCAATGTAGTAGACAGCTAACAAACAAATATCCACTTCAAAATTCTTCTGCGAAATCATTAAATTTCTCTTGTTCACCAAAAAGTTCTGAAATGCTCGACGCATACATTATTTCCAAGCATATCTCCTTACCCATTATCTGATGACAAATATTATTTTTGCAATGTTCATACTCATCCAACAACCAAATCCCCTATAAAATATGCCATGCATCATCTAAAGTTCTAAAGAAATGCCTAAGCGAGTGTGTGTGTGGAATAAAATGTCGTACGCTTTCATCACACTCTTTTATCCAATAACAACAATTTCTGTTGAAAATAAAAAAAATTGTAACTTTCACACATTATTTAAAAATGCTCATCTCCAATTTGGCCACGCCTCAGTTTTGTGATGTGTTTTGATCTTCAAATGTACATTCCAGGAAGAAGAAGAGAAACCAGAAGGAGATGCTGCACTCAATGCTCTCTTTAGGAAAATATACGGTGAAGGATCTGATGAAGTCCGACGTGCCATGAACAAGAGCTTTGTAAGTTTAATCTTTATTTGATTAATTCTTCTAGTATACTGCGTACAACTTATATTTTATTTTACTGGTGGTAGGACCTCTTGTGAGTCCGCGTGGGTAGCTACCACCACCCTGCCAATTTCTGCCGTGAAGCAGTAATGCGTTTCGGTTTGAAGGGTGGGGCAGCCGTTGTAACTATACTTGAGACCTTAGAACTTATATCTCAAGGTGTGTGGCGCATTTACGTTGTAGATATCTATGGGCTCCAGTAACCATTTAACACCAGGTGGGCTGTGAGCTCGTCCACCAATCTGAGCAATAAAAAAAAAATCACTGACTCAGACTATTTATCCTATAGAAGATACTATTTTTTTAATATTTTCCAGAATTTCTGTAAATCAAACGGTTGTCTGGAAGAGATAGCTTTTAGCGATAAGACCGCCTATTGCACAAATGTATCTGCTTTTAGACTGTTTTTGGAATGTAAATTGAGCTTTGGTGTGCAGTATAAAGTGTATTCTCTCTTCTCTCTCTCTCTCTCTCTCTCTCTCTCTCTCTCTCTCTCTCTCTCTCTCTCTCTCTCTCTCTCTCTCTNAATAGAAAAAAAAAAAAAAAAAAAAAACTATACTTGAGACCTTAGAACTTATATCTCAAGGTGGGTGGCGCATTTACGTTGTAGATATCTATGGGCTCCAGTAACCATTTAAAACCAGGTGGGCTGTGAGCTCGTCCACCAATCTGAGCAATAAAAAAAAAGTACTGACTCAGACTATTTATCCTATAGAAGATACTATTTTTTTAATATTTTCCGGAATTTCTGTAAATCAAACGGTGGTCTGGAAGAGAGCTTTTAGCGATAAGACCGCCTATTGCACAAATGTATCTGCTTTTAGACTGTTTTTGGAATGTAAATTGAGCTTTGGTGTGCAGTATAAAGTGTATTCTCTCTTCTCTCTCTCTCTCTCTCTCTCTCTCTCTCTCTCTCTCTCTAACTATGTGATTTCCTCCCAGGTCGAATCCGGAGGCACTGTGCTCAGCACCAATTGGACCCAAGTGGCTCAAGACAAGGTGGAAGTGAAGCCCCCAGACGGGCTGGAATTCAGGAAGTGGGACTCGTAAACTGCTCAAAAGATATCGGCTAACCATAGACTATTATTACTATCCTATGTTCTCGTTATCTTAGTATTTACAAGTAACCACTGTATTTTGGGCTCGAAGAAAAGTGTCCTTTAAGAATAATAGAAAGAAGAAGCAACCAATTTACAATTGAGATTTTAATGTCAGATGCCATGATCAGTAGTTGCCTTCAAATCAATTTTTTTTTTTTTATACAACATAAATGAAAGTACACACTCGTTGAAAGTCAAAAAGAACTACTGACAATTCACAAAAACAAGGCTTCGTCTTGAGAAGAACTGGCAAGAAACTCAGCGGGCATGCTTTTTTTTTAAAATATTATATTTTTTTCTGGGTGTGATATCAATGAGCTCCACCAGGCTTGATCATGTTATTAATGCGATTTAGGTTATCAGATTTCTTCCAAGCAACGATATTATCGCTTGAAGGTGGAAACTGCTGATGTCCATGGACCACTTATATCAGTATCTTGTTTCCTCATATGTTCGCACAAAATGTATTTTGTTTTAACGACAGAAGAAGGGCCACTTCTAGTCTCTTTTGATGTTAAGTTGTTACCGGTGTAGCTTACACAGTCACCGCGCTGGTGGAACGCCCCGGAAAGAAGCGATAAAATCGACTTACCATCAAGTGGACTCGTATGCTTTTATCCATCATTAAAAAATATATATTCGTTGATTCACAAAACAATCAGTTACAATGTTTCTCTTATCGTGTATCACATTAAACTTAGTTTCGATGTATTCGATTAGATAATATTTAATTAGATTTGATTTTATTTGTAAATGCATTATATAACTTAAGAGTGTATCAGAGCTGTCATCTAAACCATGGCTGGTTTTAAAGTGAGTTTTCAATGTCACATTAGTTTCAATGCAATTTAAAATCAGCTGACATTGGATAGATATTATATTTTTTTGCCACGTACCATCCGGCTATGGAATCAGCTCCCCTCCACGTTGCTTTCCAAGCTCTATGACATGTCCTTCTTCAAACGAGGCTTGCGGAGAGTACTTAATGGTAGGCAACGGTTTGGCTCTGCCCCTGGCATTGTTGACTTCCATGAGCGACGGTGACCACTTACCATCAGGTGGGCCATATGCTCGTCTGCCTACAAAGGCAAAAAAATATATATATGTTTTGGCTTTTGTTGAAGCCTCTAGGAAGTCATGTCGCTCGGGAAACATCGTTGTAGCTCATCCCAAAGCCGCCGGTGGGTAGGCAGCAAAGTGGATCTCTGGAAACGCAGTGAACGCAGCGTCTCCAAGTAATATGGATGAGCTCTGCTCCGATAGTGGTGGGGTGATACTAATAAAGAGATTCCAAAGAGTCTTGGGAACGGGATCATTGATAATGCAAACGGTCCTCTTCTGTATTGAGTCAAATGGAAGAAGGTGGGAACAGCTCTCTAAGCGAGACCGGAGTCTTTGTCCAGTTCTTGAAGCACCGCTTTGCTCTATCGAGGGCTCTCAACTGACTCCAATACTGAACATCGGCCGTACATCAACTTTAAGAATAAACGCGCAAGGTCGCAGGGATAATCCTTGGGAAAACGCCGCTAGGACCAAATGGTTCTTAGCAGTGGACACATAAACCTGCGTCCTCACAATTGAACCAAATTCAATCGGCCCTAAAGAGTTCTCTACTTCAAACAAAAGTTTTGATCATCTTTCCTGTATTACGCTCCAAAAGAAACTCCAATGGTGGCTATATCTATATATGAATCCATTTCGTTAACTGATAACATCTCGTTGATATTCAGAACGAGAACACTGAGCCTTGTATGGCGTCATGATGCGCCATGTGTCCAAAAAGCTAGCAAACCACTTTCAGATCACCTCCGGAATCCGATTATAGAATCCTATCTACAGAAGGGGTCAGAAACTGGGTCTGGAACCCTCATCATCTTGGAAAGAAAGGAAGCTATGTTAGAGGTTAAGAAGTCATGTTATTAAAATTACCCTTTGCCAAAACTTCTTAAAGCCCGTAAACGTAGCATTATAAAAACAATAATTAGAAAGTTGTATAACCAGTTAGCGTATAAGTTTTTTTAACTAAAATAAAGCGTTTTATGTATAAGTTGTTTTTTTAATTAAGTTCTCCCATTTTACGAGTCGTTACACTAAAATTCTACCCTCATACCAACATAATAATATTTTAGACTCAAAAACAATGAGAAAAAAAACACGCTTCTGTAGGTAGCAAAAAGTGGCGGAACACACATTGGCGCGTTGCTCTGGATTTGACGAGCAACGCGCCGCCCTCGTCGCGGTCATTGGAGAGGACCTCTCGCTGCCGCGTGTCGTGGCTACGATGCTCGGCAGCGACGCGTCCTGGAAGGCGATGCTCGACTTCTGCGAGTCCACCATCTCGCAGAAGGAGGCGGCGGAGCGAGAGAGGGAGACCTCTTCCCTTTCCGCACCGATCCGTCGTCGCCGAGCCGGGGGCCGGAGGCGGGAATACGTCCGTACGTCCCGGCCCCTGTAGGTGGCGGCCTCCCCCCGGTGAAGGTCAAGGGGCGACCTGAGGGGATGAGGCCGCGCGGCGCGCTACCAGCACTCTAGCGCGCTGCCGTGGAGTGAATAGAGCGACCGGTCGACGGTGTATCGCGTCCCGACCCGGCAGGCTGGTTCTGTTCCAGCGGGGTATTCCGGGACACCAGCGGCACCGTCTGGGCGGCCCGACGGGCTGCCGTACCGAGACGGCCGACGTTTCAGAGCCTTCGATTCGCCTCGAAGGCTCCGTCGGCTGGGCGTCCTTGGGGTGAGCCGCGCCGTCTGGTTGAAGTGTTGACCGCGGTAGCCCCCCTACCTCATCCGGGTTCTGACCTCGGAGGGGATNTTGTAGTGTTGACCGCGGTAGCCCCCCTACCTCATCCGGGTTCTGACCTCGGAGGGGATCGGACGTCGGGTGTAAGAGTGCAGGGGAGTCGTTTAGTGGGTGGGTCCTAAAATCCTTGGGCCCGCGGTCTGCTCACAACACCATGCAGATCGTTGAGTCTCACATACCCCGCGCGCCCCTTTTGCGCGGTGACCTCGTAGGAGGTTCGGCCCTCTACCCGAAAAAAAAAAAAAGGGTAGCAAAAAGTGAAAAATACATTTTTATATACCGTAGGATATAATATTAGATTATATTAGGATTATAATATTAGGATATAGAATATTTCAAAAGCATTATGATTGATAAAGGAAATACCTAATAATTTTGAAATAATAAATCAAGAAAATTTCATTGTAATTAATTAGGGAGCTAAACTTTAATACGAATTATGACGACGATGATAATTGTTTCTTGATTGGCATCGTTAATGAAATTTACATAATAAAACAATTTATATAATGTACTAATCATATATTTTACGAGTATTTAAACGACTAGAATAATATCACACTGAAAATTGCAAAAATGACTAGTAAATCGCTATCAATTACATTTACAGAACTTATTTTTATACTGTAAATATAAATGCTAAGTGCAGGGAAACCCTTTCAAAAAACAGGTGAACTGCACACGGATTGATGTTATTTGAGCACGCAATGTACTACAAGGTCAATGGCGCGCGGGGTCGACGCCATCACGGGCCTTTGCTATACATTGCGGTTTTACAAATATTTGCGCTCACGTAAAGCATCATTGAGTTGGGTTACACTGTACAACTTATCGATTAAATCTAACCATTACACACGAATATCATAAGTAGTTTTAGGAATTTTGAAGTTATTTAAAAAGAACCGATATAATATTCAAAGATTTTCAGATTTGATGATTGCATTCAAACCTCCCAGGAGAATTATCGGTTGCTTCATATCTTCAAAACTACATATCAGAGCATTCACAAAATCAATTTAAAATATATCTAAATGCACACTCAATCCTTATTACTATTAGCATTAAAGAGATCCATGGTAGCTTTACTGACAATGTTTTGGTAGCTTTGCACGTGACCCTCGTGTATGGTAGAAATTTCGCCCGAACTCGGCAACCCATTCCGCACTGTTGGTACTTTCTTACCGTTCGTTACGCCATTGAGTTCTATTGAATCTGAAAATTTTAGAGATCAATGTACATAAATTGGAACGTTTTTATATAAATATTATTTACTTTTATATATTCCCTTTTGGATTCCCTGTATGAAATCGTAGTGAAGAAATGGGTTGAATCCTTTTCAGAATCGTTGTTGAAGAAGTAAATGACAAAAAATTTTGATGCGATTAAACTTTTTTGTTGATGAATTGTCCAGTCGGTATATAAGATGTTCCCAAGACAATGAAAAATAGCCTTACTATTAATAATTATACTAATTGATGTAGAGTAACTTATATTAGATATCACAATAAATGGATGAGCATGAGACTTCTTTATCCCACTGAGTTTCTCGCCGGGTCTTTTCAGTGGTTCGCGATTCCGATCCGGTGCTAGATTCCGCGAAGCACTGCTCTTGCTAGAGTTAGTGTTAGCCAATTCAGGTTGAAACCGTGAGCTGATCTATCTGCCCACGCGTAGCTAAAATAGACCCTTAGGCTACCAGCGAATAAGTACGGAAAAAAGGCTTATTTAATGGCAATTGTTCGCCACCATAAAATATTTTACTTAAGTGAAGTGGATGGAGGCGATATTTACAAACGTCAAAACTGTTTCTATTCAAAAGAGGTTTGTTTTGGTACTCTGCGGTCGGTATCGGATTGGCTGTGCCCCTGACATTGCTGACGACCATGAGCTGCAGTAACCATTCCATAAGATGCCCCGTATGCTCGCCTGGCTACAAAAGCAGCAAAAATAGGGGAGCATAACGGCGAATTCTCATTAATAATTCCTATTATTTGCTAGATATAACTTACCATCTCTTTCAATACTTTTTTTCTTCTGCATTGCAACAACACAAGGTCCTTTAGCCAACGACCAAGACGGTACTGATGGATCTTCTCTTTTGATGGGCTCTAAAATATTCCTCCTAGACCTCGTGATGCTTGGCAAATCACCCCTAGATTGATCATTATTCGAATTTATTGAAAGGCTTTCTATCGATTTAGTCGAATTAAGAACAGCCGTCGTTCCAATTTTATTTTCATCTTCATGAATTAAACCGTCAGTTTTATTACTTTGCAATTTTTGTAACGAAACAGTAGAATTGTTTTCGATTGGCAACACAGCCGGTTCCATTCTCGAAATTTGACTTTCAACAGTGAATATTCCTTTGGAGACAAAAGGTCGTATGTCATCTGAAGAGTTGGTCTCTGTGCTCTCTTGGGGTAGCAATGTTTTCGCTTCGACGGTTTTCGAAAAACCGTTAATCTTCGGAGGGTCGTGCTCGAGGGACAACGGTGGCGCTGATGCCACGTACTGACTGTACATACTTCCTATTAGTTCTTCAGTTCTTCTGGAAATGTTTAAAGAGTGAATTTAATTTGCCCTATCGGGAAACACCAGATGTTTTTTAAGACCAAACATAAGCAGAATTTATCAGTCTACTTTTTGTATTGTGAAATCGTTACTGAAGTCAATGACTAGACAAGAATAATAATACCCTTCTCTTTTTTTATGATTGAAAGATTACTGGTGGCCCAGAGGCCTTTCCAGTTTCACCAGAACAGGTGGGCGAGCAAAAGCTCAGCCAGAAGGGGTACAATACCCTTCTCATCTTGATATAGAAGGTGGAAGATTCTATGCTGTTGTCTATAATCAAAGACGTGATCTAAAGGATAAGACGCCCATTGTACTAGTCTGTATGACTATACCAGTGCCCAATTCCCGCAGGCTGACTTTTAAAATCATAAATGTAACTAAACATATATTATGTTGAAATGACTTCCCACCCTGTCTGTTTCGCGTAGTGATAGCTGTTACGATCTGATAGATGAGACGGTTGCGATTTAATTAAGGCTTAGACCTCTTGTCTCAAGATGTGTAGTGACATTCATGTTGTGTATGGACAATAAGCACTTAACACCAGACGAAAAGTTGTTCACCAGTAATGCTGATTTTTTTTGATACAACTGTTTACCCCGCCCTGTTTGCCAAATATATGTATGTATTGACAATACAATAATATTGGTATAAAATGAATAATTTGGCCTTTTGTGAAATAGTTACTGGTGGTAGGACGTGTTGTGAGTCCGCACGGGTAGGTAACATCACCCTGCCTATTTCTGCCATGAAGCAGCAATGCGTTTCGGTTTCGGGCGGGGCAGCCGTTGTAACTATACTGAGGCCTTAGAACTCATATCTCAAGGTGGGTGGCGGCATTTACGTTGTAGATGTCTATGGACTCCGGTAACCACTTAACACCAGGTGGGCCGTGAGCTCTTCCATCCACCTAAGCTATAAAAAAATAAAGAATTAATTTTAGGTAACAATTAGCAACACCAAAGAAAATGGTAATTTGGTATGACCTGGTCAGCGGAATGATCACGGTTTGCGGCGCTCCGTTCGGCTCGTAAGGATTCCTCCCGAAGCTGTCTAAAGCTGAGCTTCTAGTTACCTGTACAAAATAGCGTTTTTTAAAATTTCGAGTAGAATGTTCTTCATTGCACATGGCAACACTATTGAGATTGAGATACATTAATGCCGTACTAGCTGCGTGATAACGTAATACGTCCAAATTTATAGATTCTTCTTCTTAGTCGCATACTTCATTGCTGAAGGTCATGTCCATGAAAGCCTTCGTGGATCTTTGTACCATCAGCTTCCATTTCGTTCGGTTTTCGGCTTCTCTCAGGGCGGTCGCAATAGAGAGTCCGGTGAGCGCGGTTACCTGATTTGACCAACGGTTTAGCGGCCGGCGGGTCTTTTCCCTTATACCTTGCTCACCACAGCCAATTTTTCAAGGTTGTCATTGTGGCTGCTGAGCAGTGTGACCAAAATAACCAAGAACCTTTTGGTAGAAAATCGTAGACAGTCTCGATTCTACGCGAAGTTGCTCGAGGACAGATTGGTTTGGTCTCTTGGCGATCCAATTTATAGATTACGCAAATTGAATTTCAATTACACGTAACGTTATTCCTTCAACGCTGAGGTAGGTGCGTGTGTGTTAGGTACGTATATTTTATTATATTTAAAAAAAAAGTGAATGCCTACGATATTTGAACACTGCTTAGTTGTTTTTTATTATGATCGAAGTATTACTGGTGAGACCTGGTGGTACCCTAAGACCTTTCCAATTTCACCAGAACAGGCGTGACTTGCATCGTCTTAACCACAAGGCCTTAAACACACACCTACAACAACACAGGCATAAAACTTACCTCCATAACTCCGATTTGCGTCGTTCGAACGTGATATGGAAAGTTTTTGTTGGCGAATACCGGTAACGTGAGTAACTGGAATGACCAAAATAATTAATTGACAAGTTGTTCTCCCGGTTAGGCTTAATCAAGATATTACATGTCCTTCTTCAAACGAGGCTTGTGGTGAGAATTAAACGGTAGGCAGCGGCTTGGCTCTGCCCCAGGCATTGCTGACGTCCATGAGCGATAGTAAACACTTACCGTCAGGTGGGCTGTATGCTCGTCTACTTAGAAGAGGATTAAAGTTGCTATTTAAACATGAATGGAATTCGTCTTCTTGCTTCTAACTGCGTAAGAGCGACGACCAAATATTCCTTACCAAAAACATGATGTGTCCACTGAAGGTTATGAAGAGCAGTACGGCGATCACTACACTCTCGCGCACCCATTTATCTGGGGATGTTCGGAAATGAATTTTAAAGTGAAACTTTTATTACATCGTCTCAAACTTTTTCGTCTGTGTGTTGCATGTAGCGTGACGGTCAGCCGCGGAGTAGGGATAAAGTGAAAGGCGCTCGTCAGAGCAGCTAAGGCCAATATGGCAGCGCCTCTATTACTCATTTGCCAGACTATTATTATTTATTATTATTAATGCTTTATTTCAGTTTTTTTTTTAAAACCATAACATTTTGTTAGTAATAATTACTTATAATCTATGTTAGTAACTTAAAAAAAAACTAACACATAACTATCATTATATACATTTTATACCATTATATATAATTTTATCTCCTTCCAAGTGCCTACTGCAAAGGCTATTGATCATATATTACTTATTTTTGCCAGTGCTCCACGTTATTTTGTTTTTGTCAGTGTTTAAGTAAGTGTTGTTTGTCAGAGTTAAATGTGTATAATGTGAAAAAAGTTTCACTTTTACCGTGGTTTCATAAAACCACACAATCCTTTTTAATCGTAGGATTCAAATTTATTAAATTTACTGTCGCACATTCAAAATTATTTACGTCTTGTATTGTAAAACGGCCGTTCCAATCTCAAATCTCAGTATAGTTACAACGGCGCAGAAATAGGCAAGGCGGTAGTACCTACCCGTGCAGACTCACAAGAGGTCCTACCACCAGTGGCATAGCATGAGCACGAGCGTTAAAGTTTCTCAATTTTAATGAAATATTTTCAACGTCCTTAACTTTAATATTTACCAATATAAGAATTCGCAGTGAGAATAAATAAGGGGCCAGCGTAAAACCAGAGTGTCCCGCATATGAAGAACGGACAGTAGAACATGTTCTGTAAAAAACAGACAAAAAAAAAACAAAATCAGCATGAGCCTTCAAATTTCTACCAGTTTAGTAGAATTTTTATTACGTCGCGACACGAATAGTTTTACTAGAATACTAGAATTATTTTCGCAGAATTTCATCACTGATTTCAAATTCAATTACATAGGCGAAGGAAAGCAATGACTCGTTCAAATATTTTAAAATCAAAGCTAATGGGGCGACTAAAAAAGCCCCTATCACATCTTTCGATCTATTTGGAAGAAGTTGAAAAGAAAAGGAAGATTGACAGAAAACAGAGAAGAAGAAAAGAAATGTAAAAGGCTTTTATAAAAATATATTTACTATTTTAAGTAGGTAAATACTAATAGATAAGCGTGTTTCATTAGAAAGATCTTACATGATAAGTCTTTAATACTGTAGTCTCTATGTATAAGATATCAAGTAAACAGGATCGTTGGAACTCAAGTTACAGTTTTACAAGCTGTTTTTTTTTATTGCTTAGATGGCTGGATGAACTCAGGGCTCTACGACGTAAATGTCACCATCCAGCTTGAGACACGAATACTAAAGTCAATCTTACCGTACAATGTCTGCTCCATCCTTCAAACCAAAACGCATTACTGCTTTACGACAGATATGGGTAGGGCGGTGGTACCTACCTGCGCGGACTCACAAGACGTCATTAAAACAGGTTATTGTATTTAAATAGTTATTCTTATAAAATTAGTATCTTACCTTTTCTGGATATTTCTTGACCGTGAAGAATGTTGAATAAGCGAAAACGCACCATCCAATTACACGCAAAACGATAACGCCATAGCCAGCCGGACTCTCGTATAAGTACAGGACTTGGCCAGGATCGAATGCCTGCGTAGAAAGTTGAATAAGTTTAGTCTGATGAAGGATAGTGTCCACCCAATTCCACTGCTAAGTCGCGTTGGAATAGCCATAATAATTATAGTTCATACAGTTGAGATTCCAAGCGCATGGGTCGAACTAGCTACCTACATTCAAGGTCCTGATGTTTATATATATATATATATAATGTGTATATAAATGTGATTTCCTATCAATTCTAGTAATCTCGAGGGAATTCGCGGCCCACCTGATGTTAAGTGCCCACCGGAACTCATAGACATCTACAACGTAAATGCCGCTACCTATCTTCATAAATGGGTTCTTAGTACAACGGCTGCCCCACCCTTAAAATCGAAACACATTACTGCTTCACGGTTGAAATAGGCAGGGTGGTGGTACCTACTCGTGCGGACTCATAAGACGTCCTACCACCAGTAAATGTATCTGCTTGTTGACTGATTTCTAGTTATAATTGTATTTTGGTATGCAATAAAGTATCTTCTCTCTCTCGCTCTCTCAACTCACCTTGGCTTGATAAACGAACAGAACGACGTATGTGACCAGATAGCAACACATAAAGACGGTCAGTTTAACGGTGAAGCCGACTTTGAGTCGCCCCCTCGTTATCGTGTAGCCCTTGGCCAACAACACGAGCAGCAATAAAAAGGACATCTCCGCTAGGCCGCAGAGGAATTTCCCTGAAATACGAAATGGCCAGATGAGCTCGATATCAACTTAACTTAACACTTATCAATGTTCACCGCGGCAAACCCCCTACTCTAATCGGGTTCTGACCCCAGGCGGAGATCAGACCTTAGGTGCGAGAGTGCTAAGTAGTCTCTTGGTGCAATAGGGCCCTAAAAATATATATATATATATATATTTTTTTTTTTTTCGGATAGGTTGCCGAACCTCCTACGAGGTCCCCGCGCAAAAGGGGCGCGCGGGGTATGTGAGACTCAACGATCTGCATGGTGTTGTGAGCAGACCGCGGGCCCAAGGATTTTAGGGCCCACCAAACGACTCCCCTGCACTCTTGGGTCCGCGATCTGCTCCCAACATCTTCTAGACTAGATCTAGACCTTCAAATCCTACACACACCACGTCCCCGCTCTGTGCAGATACCCAGTAGGAAGTTCATCCTACTGCCCGAACAAAAAAGCCCCTATCAATATTAAAGTGGGTCCTGTCTCCTCGCGAAGGCAATAAAAAAATTCACTACATAAAGGTTAACTCACACCAAAATTCATGATTGCTTCAAGTTTGTAAAGTATTCTTGATTTAGCGAAAGAGGGTAGTTATTAAATTCAAAAATAAGGCAACACTAAATAATTATTACTGCGACACATTCCTAAATTTACTTTCATTATGACAATGATTGTCAAATTGTAACAAAATAAATGCCGCCACTGGTTCAAATGACATGAATTCTTCTAAAGTCTCAGTTTCAGTTCGACTGCTTTACCCTTCAAACTGAAATAGGCAGGGCGGTGGTACCTACCCGTGCGGACTCACAAGAGGTCCTACCCCCAGTAAGACAGGTTCCGAAGATACTGAATAGCTAAACTAATTCTTTGTCCGAGATAGCTCCCAGCTCTTCGGTCTCCTGTGACGTTGACTAACCTCTTTGATATTTCCTTAAAAAGGCTTAATTTTGTTTATCGAAGTACTCACCGATCGTCACGGTGGAAGGACTGCCAACGCCGTTCCCAGCGTACCGTATATAAGCTAAGCACTGCATCATTATGCCGCAGTGCTGAACCACGATCGAAAACAAGAATAGCTTGTACGTTGAGTGCAGGAGATGTCGGGTTTTAAGTTCCACGCTACACATAACCGCCGCTATCACGACCAGGACGTAGGAAATCGCGTACGCTAACAGTACCGGTAAGACATCTGTAAGTTTGTAAACGTATTAATCGTCAAGCCAATTTTGTATGCAATTGGAGCAACGCCCCTAGCGGCAAACGTACGCAAAAGATCCCATTCCATACAAATATGAGCTAACTTTTACGCTATCGAGAACGTTAAAAAACTCGCACTAAACACACTGGTTTGTGTACTCTTTGTATATATGTATATATTTAAACGTACTTAAGTATGTATGTGAGTCTCTGGTGCCCATAACACAGGGAATCCTAAATTAGGGGCGGACGACTGTGCATGATTTGTTCCCAGTTATTATTTGCTTATTACTATTAGTTATTACTCATTATTCACTTACAAAATTCATCGGCAGAGAAATGTTCGTGCCAAAAATCACCGGACGCTCCGTTCGTCATCAGAAACTTGTAACTCACGTCCAAGCCCTGCAATTGAAGTAACAAATCACTGACTGCCCAAATCGTGGGTATGGCATACAATAACTAAATGTAAAGCCCCACGCGAGCTTCGAACTAAATCGATGCGATGCGACGGTATAAATATCCTCGCGTCGTTTCCTCACTTTTGAGGGTCGTGACCATCATATTTCGACAGGATTTTACTTCTTGTAATGTCCCTCCAGTGCCTTCGATCATTGGCCTCATGAAGGACTTCGTGGAATGGGACCTCTAAGGTGGTGTGGATTTGATCAAACCACCTTGTCGGACTGTGCCCGCGCGGTCTCTTTCCCTTGATCTTCCCTGTCACGAATAGTCTCTTTAAACTATCTCTAGAGCTATCTCTCAAGCTCTAAGACCGTAGTACTCGAGTGCGCGGCGAAGGCAGAGTGTAGACAGTCTTATCTTGATCTGCAGTTGTTCTAAGAAAGACACATTGGTTCTCTTAGCTGTCCAAGGCATCCGGAGCATCCACGCATTTGCGATCAGCCGCTTTAAGGGTCCGGCTCTCCGTTACGTATAGAAAAATGAAAAAGACCAGACCAGACCAGACTAGACCAGAGACCAGCGATAAATATAGTAAATAGCTAAAAGTAGTAGTATATGTAACATATATTTTATCGGTACAGGAAATCAGTGATTTTTTACTTCCACGGTCAAGCTGCTCGATAAATTACTGTCAAGTTTCGTGGAGAATTTAAACAGAAAAAAACTGCAAGATCCTAAGACATATTTGCTTCTTCGGTCCCGTAGCCATAGAGAGCAAACAAAAGCAGTATTAAAATATACAAGTTGGCGGGTAGTAGTACTACCTATTTTTCATACAGAGCAACCTTGCGTTTCGGTTCGAAGGACGGGAAGGTCATCATGCAATTAAGGCTGCGATCTTTTGCCTCAAAGTGTGCGACGGCATTAAGATGTTCATGAGTGTCAGTGACCAGTTCATATCATGTGGTCAAGAACCACTGCCCGTCGCTCCATCTACATAAATATCAATTTCTTTTGAGCTATTTGATATCCATATGATAACCATAAAGCCATAATTCGAATTTTCATTCGTCTTAAATTAAATTGTATTTATTCGCAATTTATAGCTTCTTATCGCTTCAGGTAGGACTACACGATCTATAAATATCTATAAGCACATATTAAAATCAGTCGGACCTTTGAAGAATCACAGTTACTAATCGCTATGAACCACCATCTCTCTCTGGCGGATCGGAACCTTCGAGAATTGTGGCAGGACACGATCAGCTTCTCCATTCTATCACCGTTGCTGGCAAGGCTGCCGCCGGCTTCGGAGTGCAAGCGCCTACGGCGGTAGCGTTCGTAAATTCCGATAGTTGACCTTTTGATTTTGCGCTGAAATGTTTTGGAATTACGACAATATGGCTTTTTTTCCTACCTAAGCTGATTACGACCTCCACTCACCTTGAGATATAAGGTTCTAAGGTCTCGGTATAGTTACAACGGCTGCCCCACCCTTCAAACCGAAACGCATTACTGCTTCACGGCAGAAATAAGCAGGATAGTGGGTACCTACCCGTGCGGACTCACAAGGGGCTCTACCACCAGTAATTATGCAAATTATAATTNTTTTTTTTTGTTTTCCTACCTAAGCTGATTACGACCTCCACTCACCTTGAGATATAAGGTTCTAAGGTCTCGGTATAGTTACAACGGCTGCCCCACCCTTCAAACCGAAACGCATTACTGCTTCACGGCAGAAATAAGCAGGATAGTGGGTACCTACCCGTGCGGACTCACAAGGGGCTCTACCACCAGTAATTATGCAAATTATAATTTTGCGGGTTTGATTTTTTTACACGATGTGAACATTTGCTAAGTACGTATTTCATTAGAAAAATTGGTACCCGCTTGCGGGATTCGAGTACCGTTGCATCACTAGATACGAATGCACCGGATGTCTTATCCTTTAGGCCACAACGACTTCATTAGCGTGAAAAAGAAAAAGTATGACTTACTGTGCTTTTATATCGGTCGTCAAACAGTATTTCGACATCTTGAAGATTCCCTAAAGCACTTTCGTTCGCGTTTGGTCCGATGCTCTCCCACAGATCGTCTTCAGGGAATGCCGTGGTAAAATTTAAATTGTCGGCTGGCAACAATTCGTACCAAGTAGTAGAATTCGTATGAGAAACGGTAGATTGTTGGTTCAGAGGTGTGGTGGCTGCGGCCGTAGTCGTTTTTAAAAACTGATCGTAATATGAGGGATCTTTTGGTTCGCTGTTTGTTGTGTTTTTTTGTTTGTAAAATGGATTCACCGTTATCGAAGTAGGTTTTATGGAGCTGCGGACAGAGTGAATATTGTTTTTTATATCGAGCCAGTGGTCTTCTGTTTATTCCACAATGCAATCACAAGTAGGTATGTCGTATAATCGATTTCAATAATCGATTCCTAAATTTTAATAAATCGATTAAGTTACTTAATCTTCTTTTTTTAAGTAAAAAGTATAAGATATTCGTTGTTTAATTCAACCAATGTAACCAAACTACTAAAAAAAGATGGTTTGTTTTACAGTTTTAAAACCAACTTATTGTTTTTTTAGTTATTATAGACTTAGTAATTGTATGTACATAATATAACAAATATGTAAAGAAAATGGAAATTTTCGAAGAGTTACAAAAAAAAAATTGATTATATTTATAGTTAATGGATTTTTTACAAATCGATTTGTTAACAGAGATAAATCGATAGATTACTCAGTAATCATTTTTCCCTGCCCATTACAAGTTCTGAGTTAGAGGGCGGCATAATCGTCATCAATATACCTGAGACTTAGACAGACATCGGAGCTTTCATCTGCCGTTGAGAATTCACATAACAATCTAAAGCAGTAAAAAAAACTACCAAAATATTTTTTGTGTACCTTTTGGACGCTGGCAACTCTTTATTGGCTTTAGTGACGATACACCCGGAGTATTCCGTATCCGGGTACCAATGGGACAATTTTATTATTTGATTCTGTCCGGCCTTGTTTAAAATCGCCTCTCGCTCTTTGCAGGTCTGTAATTTAAACATAATTCGTCTTCTCGCATTAAAACTGTATTATCTCAAAACTTACTAATTTTACAGGAGAGTGTTTTAAATGTTTAACTATGTTTAAGGTACTATGACCGACCTTGGTGCTGTGGTAAACGGAAGGCCATTGGTTCTGGTCATCGTAGTAAAGCAGCAGATTGGGTATACCCATGTCCTTGTTGTATTCGATCAGATATTCGAACTGCCCGTCCAGTGATAGGAAGCAGAAACGCGAAAGGAACGCCCAGTTCTGAAACAGAAGAAAAACGTTTGTTTGATTTGGGACGTAGGTCGTTGCGTGCAGGATTTTAGTGTACCAAGATTTTAACACCAGAAACGCTGCGAGGTCTATTCATTTAATTAATTTAATTTATTTTAGTTACTTAATTATTATTATTTTATTTAAGGTTTTTTTATTGCTCTGATGGGTGGTTAAGTGGTTACTGGAGCTCATAGACATCTACAACGTAAATGCGCCACCCACCTTGAGATATAAGTTCTAAGATCTCAGTATAGTTACAACGGCTGCCCCACCCTTCAAACCGAAACGCATTACTGCTTCACGGCAGAAATAGGCAGGGTGGTGGTACCTACCCGCGTGGACTTACAAGAGGTCCTACCACCAGTAATTACGCAAATTATAATTTTGCGTTTTTGATTTTTATTACACGATGTTATTAATTCATCATGGAAGTCAATCGTGAATTAGTTTTAGATTCATTGTTAGAGTTGATTGTCTCTTAAATAGTTATTATATTATAACATAAAAAAAATGTTACTATTATATAAATATAATAATATAAATATTCTTTATATGTGCATTTAAATATCTAAATGATTTAATTATATCTAACCATAATGTCCAATATTAATTTAATAGTTAACACTTTGACTGTCACGTAGGTCACCGGTGTCCTACGCGGCGCACTGAAATAATTATGTCGATTTCTGTTACTAAGGCGCCAGGATTGCCTAACTTTGTCTTATTTTGTATATTAATGTGTGTTTTAGTGTTTTAGGTCTCTTAGAAATACGATTCATTCTCAGTATCGTTCGGATTCATCTTTCCCAGAGTCTACTAGACATTCCGGCGCCTTAGTAAGAAAATTGAAAAGAGAAATCGACACAATTATTTCAGTGCGCCACGCAGAGCACCAGTGACCTATTAAATCAGATTATTTATAAACAAATGATGCTTGATATAAAATAACACTTTACCAAAACTTGAGTCCTTGCACAAAATGTATGCCAGGTAATATCCTTACTTCTTTCGTATCGATCCTTCCTTCCACCCACTTCGTGAGAGCGCCCGGCAACCTCACCAGCACGCATACAACTAAACAGGAACTCAACAACGACCTCATAATAACGATGTTGTACACATTTGAATACGGTTTATCTAGAAAAAGAAAACGGTATGACTTTTTAATTGCACATGGCCAAGCGATCTGAAGTCAAAATTTCAATATTTCCATTTTGAAATTTAAAAGATCCTGTTATTTTTATAAATTTTCATTGCATTATTATTATTATTCACATTTTTGTAATATTTTTTATTTTACTTTTATTTTGTGACTTTTACCACATACCTTCTTGTCAATTCGTCGATTCTTCAATTTTAACTAGGTCTCTTTTTATGGCTGAGATAAATGGACGAGCTCACGGTTCACCTAATGTTAGTGGTTACCGGAGCCCATAAACAACTACAACGTCAATGCCGCCACCCACATTCAGACTGTGAATTCTAAATCTCAATTTTTACTGTACAACGGCTGGCCTTCGAACCGAAATGCATTACTGCTTCACGGCAGAAATAGGCAAGATGGTGGTACTTACCCGTACGGACTCATAAGACACCTCACTAGTAAGAGGTCTTTAGTTCAATGTCCCACTTTACACAGTACAATTTTGTAGATTCAATTATCTTCATACGTCGTTCCCATACATTACTAAATCGGTCACGAATTCTTATTAAATAACTAAGGACTTATGGTGATTGGTGTTTTGAGTAACATTAATTAGTTGTGTTAATGCAACGATTGCTTATACGTCTCCCTATGAATATAAGCAGTAATTAATGGAATAATTTATCGTATTTTTAGAACTCGCTAATATTAATATTTATTTTAGAATTGTCTATAAAATTGACGAACCGAAACTCTTAGTCATTTGTTTTTTTTTTAGCACTGAACTCTTAAATACACTATTCATATTTCGTTACTTCAAGGACCCCGATTGTTCTTTTAGTTAATGAAAAACTTACCAAACCGCGGGTACTCCTAATTTTATTTGCGGCCTTCTATTGTCCACGTCTACGATTGTTTTGATAATTTAGGGTCGCCAGTCGTCATGACAACGGAGCTTGTACCACGCGGTGCGCGTTCAAAAATCATTTTACACAAGACCAAAGTTCTGGTCAATTCATCGAAGTCGTCGTGGCCTAAAGGATAAGAAGTCCGGTGCATTCGTATCGAGCGATGCAACGGTGTTCGAATCCCGCAGGCGGGTACAAATTATTCTAATCTTCACGATTGACTTCCACGCTCAAGGAATAACATACCATACAACAAAAATGAAACACGTAAAATTATAATTTGCGTAATTACTGATGGTAGAACGTTTTGTGAGTCCGCACGGGTAGGTACCACCACTCTGCCTATTTCTGCTGTGAAGCAGTAATGCGTTTCGGTTTGAGGGGCGGGGCAGCCGTTGTAACTATACTGAGACCTTAGAACTTAATAATATGTCTCAAGGTGGGTGGCGCATTTACGCTGTAAATGTCTATGGGCTCCAGTATCCACTTAAACACCAAGTGGGCTGTGAGCTCGTCCACCCAAATAAGCAATAAAAAAAAGTACCAACACCCTGCCTATTTCTACCGTGAAGCAGTAATGCGTTTCGGTTTGAAGGTTGGGGCATTAGGGGCGGAGAAGCGCGTCGCCCTCGTCGCGGTCATAGGAGAGGACCTGTAGCTGTCAACCGTCATGGTTACGATGCTCGGCAGTGACGCGTCCTGGAAGGCGATGCTCGACTTCTGCGAGTCGACCATCTCGCGGAACGAGAGAGCTTTTCCCTCCCCGCAATGATCCGATGCTGTTCGCACCAGGATCCAGTGGAAACAGTACACAGAACACATGTGGAGGTCAAGGCCGCGCGGCGTGCTAGCAGCAATCTAGCGCGTCGATCAGGAGTGACGTCATAAGAGCGACCAGTTGGTGGTGTAACGCGTCCCGACCCAGCTGGTTCCGGCCCGCCCAGCAAGGTATTTTTTTTTATTGCTTAGATGGGTGGACGATCTCACAGCCCATCTGATGTTAAGTGGTTACAGAAGCCCATAGACATCTACAACGTAAATGTGCCACACACCTTGAGATATAAGTTACAAGGTTTCAGTTTGGTTACAACGGCTGCCCCACCCTTCAAACCGAAACGCATTACTGCTTCACGGCAGAAATAGGCGGGGTGGTGGTACCTACCCGTGCGGACTCACAAGAGGTCCTACCACCAGTCAATTCTTGGGGAGTGGCAGTAACACCTTTGCCCTATCTTGGTTCTGACCTCGAGCAGATCAGACGCTTGGGCGACTGTGCAAGGAAGTCGTTTAGTTGGTAGAGCTTCAAATACCATTCTTGGGCCCGCGGTCTGTTCCCAAAAGCTGTAGACCATCCAGTACCAAATAACCGCATGCCCAAGACGCTGGGACCTCTTAAGAGGTTCGGCCCTCGGACAAGAATAACAAAAAAGGTCAAACTGTAAGCCCACAGAGGTAGACATAAAACAAACAAATTATATTTGATCATATATTTATATATAACACTTAGATCTTACTTACATTTTAAATGCATAGCCAAAACGAGTGATAACCAAACTATCTTAAACAAAAGCACGATTATACAAATCTAAAACATTACATCCAGAAATGTAATTTAAACAAAAAAAGGAATCTGGCAACACTTCCACTATAAAAAGTATTGCCAACTTTAAAACCCAGTCCTTTCTTATTAAGTTTAACTAGGAATAGATGTGCTTCGAAGTATGTAGAAGGTAATTTGAGGCACTAAAAATTATTCAACGCAGAGAATTGAACTATCCCCTTTTGACATAAGACATATTTTTGCATGTAGGTTTTTTTGTTGTTGATTGATAAACACTAATGGAATCTCGACTTATAGACTATAATTTTTTATCCATTATTAAAATTTAATGAAAGGTGAAATCGTTTTCACCGATAACCCATTTTACGATGTCTTTTTTGGGAAATATATAAAAAAATGTTTTTAAAATGCTCAATATTAAAACTTTAACCAATGTTGTATCTCCTACAATTTTTTTATATACTATATATTGTATAGTATATACATATTTCGTAAATCTTTATCATCGAAGTTACCAACATCATGGCCTTTCTGATGACTACAGTTACAATTATACAGGGTGCTCCTATAAAAATATAAAATAAATGGTGATAATTATACTAAACAAGAGGAATTTATAACAATATTATTATAATAATGAGCCTGAACATGTCTTATCATCTTAAGATCTGAACCTGCAATGAATGACATCCAAAACGGAATGACCTACGTATTTTGACTTCATTACTGTGTGCTTAGTGCGAGGTTTTTAACGTTTTCGATAGCGTAAAAATTAACGCCAGGGGGGCACTGTTCCAACTGCATACAAATTTGCGTTAACTTTTACGTTATCGAGAACGTTAAAAACACTGAGCACACAGAATCCATTAACGCTTCATGAAATAAAATTACCTTATCACATCCGAGACATACGATTTGAAACATAAACTTTACAGGCAAAGAGATAAGGGCTATTATTGCCTGCTTCGAATTGGACTTTCCGATATTGTCGTTCCAAGCCGCATTCAGTTCACTGACACTCCCTAAGCACTTGAAGTGATTTCCTAAACAACTCCTGCTGTGACCTCGCGTGCTTTATCTCCAATTCCGCTAGTTCTATAAGGCTGAAACAATTAAAGTAAAAATGAAAAAAATAAAAAATTTAATGCCCTTGTAGGCAGACGAGCATACGGCCCACCTGATGGTGAGTAGTAACCGTCGCCCATGGACTTCAGCAATGCCAGAGGCAGAGCCGAGCCGCTGCCTACCGTTAAGCAATCTCCACAAGCCTCGTTTGAAGAAGGACATGTCGTAACACTCGGGAAAACCGTGAAGCTCATTTCAATTCCGGATCCGAAATTCAAGCCTACAAATCGCGGGAGATTTTTAAAATTTAATTCAATAAACACAATCTCACTGCCCATCTATCTGACGTGAAGTGGCAGAGCCAGTAGACATCCGTACATAACCCAATCACCACCTTGATATATGAGGTAAATTGTTTAATACGACCCCCCTCCCAACCCCCCTTTGAAACCGGAACGCAAGTTTCTCAGCAGTAATAGACTGAATAGAATTACCTGTGCGGGCTCACAAGTGAAGCGAGCGAGAAAGAGAGAGATAAAGAGAGGGACCTATACATTATTGTACACCAAAACATAACTAACATCTAGAATCAGTCAACAGGTAAGTCCAATTCGGGCAACTGGCAATCTCTTCCGAACGAACTATACTGAGACCTTAGAACTTATATCTCAAGGTGGGTGGCGCATTTACGTTGTAGATGTCCATGGGCTCCAGTAACCGCTTAACACACCAGGTGGGCTGTGAGCTCGTCCACCCATCGAAGCAATAAAAAAAAACAAGAGGCCATTACCACAAGCAGCTCCGAATGTTATAAACAAACCTTTTCCTGAAGGCGGCCACCCGTCTGGTCCTGAAGTCGATGAGCTCCTCCCTGGCTCTCGCGGACAGCTGCTCGAATTTAGCGCACGCCTCCGCCTGACCTTGTTCGGCCTGGAAGCAGATAATACGACAAGTGGATCAGGCCGAATTTTCGAGTAATCAAGTCTATCCTCCTCATACGATTTGATCACGCGTTTGTAATTCTTGCCTATTGAAGATATAAAGAGGAGAATATACCGTTAACGTGGTTTTGAAAGGAAGACGATCACCTCACGGCACAGGGTCACCGAGGCTCACGGACACCGACAGCAAAAATCGGTCTTTTATAAGGTGGGATGTTTCAATTCAATCCGACGTTTTGGAATGGATTTAAATCACGTTTAAAAACACCCAAAACGTTTTTAAAGGTGTCATAAAAGTGTCCGCATCTGTGCTTTAAATCATTTATTGAAAAACATAGTAAATTTTGTTCCTTTGAGCAACATTCTTAAAATAATACACAGATCTGTATGTATCTTTTAAATATATACTAGAATGTCTTAATATGTTTTTTTTTTGCCCGAGTAGCCAGACGAGCATACGGCCCACCTGATGGTAAGTGGTTATCGTCGCTCATGGACTTCAGCACGTCACATGAATTTGCAATAGTGGGGTGCCAGTGATTTTGGTGGAAATTCGATAGAGAAACGAACACTAGAGATGAGTCGACTATTATCAAAGCCGGCAATGTGACTTTTGGACAATTATTGGTAAATCAGAAACACGAATTATTGACTTTGTATTCCATTGGCAGTCACAAAACTCTTCTGAACGACATCTTATATAAATAACAGGTTTAGTATTAACCTTTATTTAATGCAGGTTTTGAACCGTATTCTTTGAAGGAGACGATTATATTCAAATCAATCTGTATTGACATATCAATAACATTTTTTTGTCCAAATGCACAGATTGCCAACTTTGATAATAGACGACTCAGATATAGATATTAAAAACAAACCTGTTCATAACACGAATGTTTGCTAAATACGGGAATCGAACCCACGACCCTCGGCGCAACAATCAGAGCTGCACCACCCGAGCCAGTCAAATTGACACTGCTATTGTAATTTATTTTCAGTTGGGTTCACAAGTGTCACACTAGGTTCACACTATACCAGAAATAATCTAGGTTTTTGTGGGATATTCCATTTTTAAATGGAATTACCGATGATGAAAGCGAATGGAGATCGGATTTGAAATCGTTTAAATATACTTAACAATTTAGAGGGACTCATAATGATGGGAAGAATGGAAGACGATCCAGAGGTCGGAGCCAAAAAAGATGAAGTGGTCAAGAATCCGTGCATTTGGACAAGAGACTGAGTGAGGGACTTCACTGTGCCACTGACCGAGATAAGTGGCTACAGATCACAAACAAAGATCTCAGACGGGAGCACCACGATGCTCAGCTATGAGCGATTGATTGGACGAGGCGAAGGAAAGTAAACTTTATAATAATAATTTTTTTTTTTTTTTTTTTTATTGCTGAGGTGGGTGGACGAGCTCACGGCCCACCTGATTGATGTTATGTGTGTGGCGGTAGCCCTCATATAACAAAAAAAAATTGACAATGCCAATTTCAAGATAAGCTCACATAAATCAAGTTCCGAACAACACTTGGACCGTCGGTCTACCGAGCAATATCACCCGCTCGGTGGGAGATCTTCCTTTCGTCATTATACATACAAGCGGTTACCGGAGCCCATAGACATCTACAACATTCTACCGCCATTTACCTTGAGATATGAGTTCTAAGGTCTCAGTTTTAACAGTTTATTTAAATGTATTTTACAAATCAAATTTTATTCTTAAGAGTGTTTATAACATGTTTCTATTAGCTTGTGTATGTAACGGAATGTTTGAACGTGATGTCCACGGACTTCAAGTCGTTCGATTGACTTGAAAATTCGCGCGCGCGTCAGGACCAACATCTATACAATAATTCTATAACTTCACTCTAATATCCTGACAAATATCGACAGGATAAAGATAAAATTAATTATTAGTTCGATTTGCTGTTTAAGTTTTTGTGTTTTATCTTTAAACTACCCACATTATTTTATATGTCATTTATCGCTATAGTGCGCTAACGATTTCATATCTCATCAAGTGTTAAGTGAAGTAGACTTAATTCATATTATTGTAAACAGATAGAACATATTTACCTCTTGCACCTCCAGCGGCTATGTCGCATGAACAAAATAGCGGTGTTTTAAATATAATATATTATGTATATATATAAAAAAATGGTGCGCGTGCAACTTGATGCACGTGAAAGAATTGAAACTTCTTTTGCGATGTGCAGTATTATGATTTTCTGCATTTTTCATCCTTAAATCAAATTTCTCTTGTAATAGGGAATGCTGTGTATAAGAGTAACGACCTAGTTCGCTTTGTCCTTTCCCTCTCTCCCCGGTCAAATGGTTCGCGAGACGCTCTGTCTATTTTCTCACTCTCGCTCTTCCTAAATCGTATATTTTCTCTCTAGCCGTAACGAATCTGTCGCGAATTAAATTTTACTCTCAACGCGCATAAAGAAGTTTCACTTCAAAAAGTGCGTGTATTAATGTTTTTGAAATCAAAACTAAAGAAACCGGTGTAGGAAGCTTGAAAGGAAGGTGTCCAGAAAAAAAAGTGATAATTGCAATCCTTACACACAATGTAATAACCGTTTCAAACTCAAACAAAATAAAAAATTTTTTTTTTAAACTTTTTAGTGTTTCCTTTGAGCTCTTCCTTTTGTAATAAAATATTTATATGTCATTGTGACAGCTGTCATAAAACCATGGAAGGTAGAAGTAAGGGGCATTATCTCAGTGTATAAAAAATATTATTCGAGTAGAATACTAAATTAAGATTGGAAAGAAACATTTCCTATCTAAATTTTATTCCTGCACCATGACAGATGTCACCTCAAAATACTAGTTATTATTGTCAGCTTAATTAAACTCTTTCGACAACTTGCTGTTTAAAAGTGGACAGTTTTTCAACTTGTCCCCCTCTTCCTAATGCGGTACTCCTTACTTCTACCCTCCATAGACAGAAATAAAATCATGAGACCATATTGTGAACTGCTTAATGAAATTTACAAGATAAGTTTGCATACAAGAGTCCCGAGCAACATTTCGACAGTTGACACTGATATTGACACCATCCCTTCCCCCCCCCCCCTCCCATCCCCTTATCGTACATCAATATTACACTTACAGCGTGAACATCTTTATTCTTCGCTCTCGCCTTCTCCAAGTTCCTGTTGGCCGCTTCGTAGGCAGCTAAGCATCTGAACGAGGTAATATTCGGCCTTAGGTCATCTTCAGTTTTATACTGACGTCACCACTTTGTGACCCACCTTGAGACATGAGGTCGACATCTCAGTTGTATCGAATAACGATCCACTCGAAGACAACGAGTGAAGTCGTCGTGGCTTAAAGGATAAGACGACCGGTGCATTCGTATGTAGCGATGCACCGGTCTTCGACTCCGGCAGGCGGGTATTTGACTTCCACGGTGAAGGAATAGCATCGTGTAAAAAAATCAAACCCGCAAAATTACAAATTGCGTAATTACTGGTGGCAGGTTCTTGTGAGTCCGCACGGGTAGATACCACCACCCTGCCTATTTCTGCAGTGAAGCAGTAATGCCTTTTGAAGGGTGGGGCAGCCGTTGCACTGCTAAAGACCTAAGAACTTATATCTCAAGGTAGGTGGCGACATTTACGTTGTAGATGTCTATGGACTCTACATAAGCAGCAAAACAAACTACGAAGAACATATTTAAATCGCGCGACTGCTTCGCCGCAGAAGCAGGCAGTACGGTGATCCCCACCCGGGCGTGCTTCCAACACCCCCAGTATCCACATCCAACTCCTGCGACCTCTTCACCGGAAGCACGAGATCATTCTCCCACATAATGAAGCAAAAAACAGCTGTCTACCTGAGTCTCCTCACGAGCACCGCTTTCGCTGCGTGAGCGTCTCTCATGTAGTACCGGAGAGTGTCCGCCAGCTTCAGATCCTGGTCGGACGCCATGCGACCCTCGATTTTCTGATAACACAAATGGTTCATCAACATACGTGCACTAGATGGAAGAAGGAGTGACTTACGTAATCACTCCGAGTGACAGGCAGTGGTTTGTGGACATCAATGACAAATACAGTTCAACCTTGTTTGAATAAAAACATGATAATGCAGTGGAAAATTCCCTTCAGGACCATATTTTATTGCTCAGGTGGACGGACGAGCTCACAGCCCACCTGGTGTTAAGTTACTGAAGCTCATAGACATCTACAACGTAAATGCGCCACCCACCTACCTTGAAATATAAGTTCTAAGATCTCAAGTATAGTTAAAACGGCTGCCCCACCCTTCAAACCGAAACGCATTACTTATGGTGCAGGGAATCAACTTATGATTGAGTACAATCAAATCGTCCTTGGTATTTTGGTCAATGAATATCAGAAGGGACATGTGTAGCTTCAACATAAACTTCTATTCAACTAACGTCGTAAGGGTGATAAAATATTACTTTAAGAGATTTGGTCCGGGACGAGGTAATAAAAATGTGTTAAAAGAAAATCTTACCCGGCACTTGTCAAATGTCTCGGAGGCCTTCGTGAGGAACCTCTCCATGGGAGGCTGCTCTCTGGTCGCGAGCTGAGTTATGCAAGACGACAGCTTGATGTGAGCGTCCGCCACTTCTGCGTAGCGGAACAGAGACGAGTGGAGTGGAATGTTTAATAAATATTAAACTTTTGTTACTTTAAATATTGTTTGTTTTGATTAATGCGGTCCTTGTAATAATATTGGGTATAGCTCACTGTCTTGCCATTTAAATATTAAACTTTATATTGAATTTGGGCCCAGACAAGGATACTTTAAAATTTTTAGTACTCACAATAGCTCCATATGGAGTTTTAGTCTCACTTCTTTATAGCCTGTGTGTCCAGTACAATTAAACCTTCGAGGACTTTTTGGCGGGAACGCGAGGAGGAAGTTGTGTGATTTGTTTTATTTTGTCTATTTAGTGTTTCTTCAGGTTTAAATGTGTAATAACGGTGGTTTATTAACTGTTTAATATCTGTGAAAGTGTACAAATGTGGGGAAAACGAAACAAAGCCGCTGGACGTAACTTTTCGTGATCCTCCAAAAAGTCCACTGAAAAAGTCTCAGTAAATGACCACCATTTTACTGATGATGTCATCCCATATCATCTCATCTAATTTCATTTAATTTCATCCCAGTTGATTATTGTCTCAAATTAACCATCTTCATTTCATTTCATTTCACTTCATATTAGCATTTTTCGTAAAAGTAAGAATATAAATTAAAATTAGACATGAGTTAAAGGTCTTAGTTACCAGGTCATAAAATCCCTTAAAAAAAACACCTTCGATGGTGCGGATGTGACGTCAGGCTTTCATCATGAACGTATTTAATATCAACAGTAGATAACAGTATATTTTTATTATAAGTAATAATTGTTGTGCACGCGATTATCACCTTTGTGCTTCGACGTCATACGGTCGACTTTAGCGACTGCCTCCTTGAGGTGCGAGTAGTATTCTTGAAGAAACGACGTCTCCTGCTCGAAGAAGTCGTTCACGTCTCGCACGGTCGCCCCGAGGTATATCTCATCAGTGGTTGTTGTCATTGACCGAACCTAAAAATTTAGAATCTAATAAGTCCAGTCATTTATATATAAGGTTAAACATTGTATATATCAAAAGTGACTTTGACGAGCTTTTTTGACAGATAAGCATATAACGCAGGATGGCAGGTAGCCCTCACTCCCTGTATAGCAGCAGCATAGCATCTAGCTCTAACCTTATTTGAAGAAGGACATGTCATTCCAAAATCCTTATTCCTACATAGAAATAGCGTTCTTGAAAATTTTGTCTTTCCAGTAGTAGGATGAGATGAGAGCCTACACGAGTTGGTAGCAGTCTCTTATTGTGAACCAATCATGAATTCCAGTTTAACAATATTGATTATTCCAATGCTATTGCTTTTTGGATATAATATTTCAAGATATTTCATACTTCAGATAACTTAATATAGTCTTCTCGCATTAAAACTGTATAATCTCAAAACATACTAATTTTACAGGAGAGTGTTTTAAAGGTTTAACATGATATTTTTTATTTTTTACCAGTTACATTATCTGTCTTTTAAAGTAAGATAAAATTATGTATTAATTTTGTTAATAGTAGTCAAAATACAGGGAAACTAAAAAAAAAAGACTAAAACTAAACTACGCTCTTTTGACAGTATTTATGAGAAAAATACTGGTGATACCAAATGATTCCACATATTAATTAACTCAATTTCGAATATTTTTGGAAATTGTACACTTTCAATGCGAAAAGATGATATTTCTTTACTCACCAGTCCACCAATGAGGTCCATCTTGCCTCTTGGCTTGGCACAGAGATCCTGTTCGTACTCCAGGAATACCCTGAGATGAGAATCCCTGCGGAAGACAGGATGAGCAGCCAGGCGCTGGAGGAATACTTCGTGCATCGCCACTGTCTTCTTAAAGGTCGCCAGGTACTCGCTGGTAGAAGCAAGAATAGTGCACTGTTAATATTTTGAAGTCATTATAGAATTCTGGCACCATTGTCCTCAATAAATATGTCATTGAAATGTTTATTCATAGGCCTCAGCATAATTATATGAAATGAAATGTGTCCCCGTCGGATGGATTCCTTTTGTTTGTTTTAAGTTAATTTTATACAAAAGTTTAGGTCTTTTATTTCACGATTGAGGCACTACGAAGTCTGCCGGGTCAACTAGTAAGAAATAAAACCGACCCTCCAAAAAGTCTTATAAATTATTTCTTTGAACAAAATCGCACATTTTTACGTTCAAATTCTTCACTTACTCTTCCAACTCCTCCTTCATCTTAAGGAACTCTTCTCTAGTGAGGGCTCCTTCCCCCTCGCCCAGTCGCTGTAGCTTCTCGCGGGAGGCATCGAAATCAGGACGAGGAGGTGCTGGAGGGATCTGTACAAAAAATATTTGCATCACAATATACTCCTTTACTGAGACTATTTGCTAAACCAGTACCAATACATATAACAAACAAGTAGTGCCCAGTGTCTGTACATTGAAGAAAAGTAATAAAAGTAGATATCGGTACTCCTCTAAAGGAGTAGTAGAATATAAACCAGAGTTTTATTTGTCTGTTTGTTTGTTGGTACACACCTTCACAACAACGGAACACATTTACATTTACTATGATGATAGAATTATCAAATAAAGTTTACTATAGATATGTTATAAGACAAGTTTAATGTCAAACAAAATTTTTAAAAATTAAAAATTTATTTTAGTCAATGAATAGAAATATATTTTTGCCTAACAGAAATGTATTGTATAAATATGGTAAGTTATGTTAAAGAAATTTGATAACAAAATAATTGAGAGTTTTGCAAAACATTTTGTTGGCAAAAGTAGCTCAAGGTGGGCACATAGGTACAGGCTTTGCAATTAATTAATTTTAAACAAAAATATTACTATAATTTGCATTCCAAAGAGTGTTATTTAATAACAAAAATATCTTACTATATAACCAGCATATTCCTCATTCTCTTCATAACGGTCATGTAGCCAGACAAACTCTTCATGCTGACGTACTACTATGAACTCTGATTTTTGGAACTCCGGTAAAGTTGTTTTGGTGTGAACAGTGAACTTGACTTTTTCTTTTTCGCTTAGAGCATCTGATATGTCTACCTATTAGAAAGATTAATTTACTTTATTTTTTTTTGTTACTATTTAAAGACTGACACCTCAGAACTTAACCGTGTAAGGCCCGAATTAACAAAATTCAGAGACATTCAAGACAACAAGTCTCTATTGTACTGCCCATTCCAACTGCAACTTGTTATTAATTCATGGTCAAAACAAGCAAAAGCATAATACTTTTACATGATAACAAACCACGGTAACACCATTTTATCACCAATTGTGGATCATAAAGCTTGACCTTAGAGATATAGTGTCTGTGCATGTCAGCAATACCAAGAGGCTTCATTGAGACCTCAATAATAAAAGCAATAAATAAATTATTACTACTAATCTATAGTGAAGGGTGAAGTGAAGAGAACTTATGAGGACCCTGTGTACTAATGAGGTACTCTAGGAACATAGTGAAAGCCACCAAGTCCTCTTTTTTTATTGTCCTTGTAGGCTGAGGAGCTTACAGCCCACCTGATGGTAAGTGGTTACTGTCACCCATGGACTTCAGCAATGCCAGGTGCAGAACCAAGCCGCCGTCTACCATTAAGCCATTTTGTATTTTTAGCCTTCAATTTCGAACTGATTATTGTATTACAGTAGAAACAATCAAGATATGAGTCACTTACCAGAAGACTATTATCAGCTAAAGAGACATTCTCATTTGGCTTCTTTTTCTCAACTTTTGTTTCCATGGTAGCTGGAGCTGGGTCAGCGATCGGAACAGTTGACAAAGGGTCCTGCGATGAATCTTCGACACAGTCCTGCTGAAGAAAAATAAGTCGTATTTACAAAAAAATAATTAAAAATAATAAGTTTATTAACGTTTGTTGCCATGTCATGTACACTTGTCTTTAAAACAATTCGTATTACCGGCTCCATACCACTAAGGATGAATAGATCTGCTGTGTAAATTATTATCTGATATTTCCGTTTTATGTGGGTGTACCTATTCAAGTTTTTTTATTGACCTTGTAGGCAGACGAGCACAGCCCACCTGATGGTGAGTGGTTATCGTCACCCATGGACGTCAGCATCCGATCTGCCTACCGTTAACTAGACAAGCCTCGTTTGAATTACATATCATAAAATTCATGTACTTAATAGAGGTACAGGATTGACGGTAAGATATATTACAAGCTCTCAAAGGTACATAAAATCATCTATCCTATTTCCGTTGCGATGTTTATATGGGGAAAAAAACAAAATTATACCCGTATTGAATATTGATTAAAACATCATTTATATTCTGTTCCAGGAGTATTCTCAGTATGTTAAAATCGTTTTTTTTTTAATGGCATCTGCTAATCTGCCGATACTTTCAGCAATTTCTGCCAGTGTCGTGTTATGGCTACACATGGAACATTGTCGAGCTATTTAAACACACTTTATATTATGAAAAGTATCCAATTTTGGCAATAATAATGGTGCCTGGGACTACTCGTTATTTGACGTTATTACGAAACCTGTTTGTTATTTAAAATTCAACTTCGACCAAAGAAAACAAGAATCAATTTGTAATATAATTACAATCCACGTCACATCTAAATTACCGTTTAAAATACACGTTAATGGCGGAGAAAACTAAGTGTTTTAGATAATTTAACACTTTAACAGCATAAAAATTGGATATGAGTAATAATAACCGAGATATACACGGATTTTTATTATCTTTTTACTATTATCAACGGCAACGCCCCCTGTGCGAATATTTTTTTAGAATACATCGTTTAAAATCTCCTTTACCAATAATACAGATGAAACTCACCATCATATTGTAAAAGAAAGGGATTGTACGGTTTAAAATTAGAATATTGAAGGGATTTTCGTAATTTAAGCACTAAACAAGGAAAAGCGAGTCTACCGAACGAAACAAATTGTTGATTTTAATTTAATCATTTAGTGATTGTCAAAAGTCGATTTCAAAACACCTCAGTGACAGTAGGTAATTGATTTTTTTAGTGCTATCTACGGCCATGGTTGTTTATTTTTTTAGGCTCTCGAAACTATTCCTGATTTTTTTTTGTTTTCAAGGAAATCGGCTGCGGATAATATCTGCGAATGCGAATAATGTCTACGAACTCTCCGATGACTCTCAGACGAACAATACAATATTAAACAAAACAATATTAAAAGTTAAAGGACGAAATTGTTGATGATATTGATGACAATCATAGCGGAGAGAGTTTTTAATCAATGCTGCATTTGAAAAGGACAGCTGAACACACAGTTTTTTGTTTTATCACTCTCGCCTTAGAAACTTCGCATAAAAATAAGCCACGAACCAGTTAACGAATGATGTCACTAGCAACTTCATACTATACTGAATACCTTAGAGCTCATATCTCAAGGTGAGTGGCAGCGTTTACCTTGTACATGTCTACAGGCTCCCGTAACCACTTAGCATCAGGTGGGCCGTGACCTCGTTCACCCATCAAATGCAATTAAATAAACAATAGTCTTGTTTAATTGAGTTTCCTCAATTATTTAGAAAACCTCTATCAATATGTAGTGCTTGGAATACTTTGGACTAGGTTGAATTAATTTATTGATTGGAGATTAAAAGCATGCGTGAAAAAATGGAACAGAGCTTATGATAAACTACTAAAAAAGTAGAATGTCTAAGAATTTCACCCCGAACCGTTAAGAAACCATTAAGCAACTGTTATTTGTAGGCGGCTTGGCTCTGCCCCTGGGATTACTGACGTCCATGAGCGACGGTAATCACTCACCGTCAGGTGGGCCGTATGATCGTCTGCCTACAAGGACAATAAAAAATCTAGATCATGTAAAACTCAGGGAATCTTTCGCTTCGTGAAGCGAAATCAATAACGCAAAATTTACAAAGTAGAGTTTAATAAATGAGATTTTTTTTCCTAAATTCGGTTTTACCGTATTAATATTTTACAAATATTTACTACTGGTAAAGAAGTTGACGGAAGAGTCTATTTCAATCCTGTTGGGCGTTTCGATAGTACACTATGGGTTCATAGAATATCTGACGATCAACACTGATGTATTTCGGCAATACTTGAATTATATCAAAAGTCTATTCCCGCCACCTACTATATTATCGAAAATAAAAGTTTTGAAGTAATTATCAAATATTTCTAAGTAACATATAAAATCAAAACCATAACAATAACGATGAAGTCAAAAGATTTGAAGTGAATGGCGCTACCAAGTTAAACAGTACTTCATAAGTTAAAATTATCACTTCCACGGCGTGTAGGTACACGTGTTTTCATTTGGCCTGAGCTTAAATCTCCGTTTCATTACCTGTTCTTATTTTTTACTGTTCGCTCCTACAGAAGATCATAACTATTTATGATTTTCCTTCATGGTGTTCAGTCATGGGATATATTGTTCTCGTGGTATAGACTACTACTAGCCGCTTTCTCTACCTATTTGATCTGAACATCTCGGTGACTGGTGTTTTGCCTATAGCACGAATGCCTTCAAAATTATGAGCTTTCATAATACGCTATGTTATTGATTTATTACTCAGTTTTATTACGCAGTTTTGTGGCTGCAGAAGCTAAACGCACGAAGCAGGGGTTACATCTCGCGTTCAATTTCTAACGCTTAACTCATTTGATCGATGAAGTGACCTCACCAGAAGCCAAAAACAGTAAGGGCAGTGGTAGTTATGAGTAAATTGATAGTCGCCCCATGGGACATAAGACAATTTGTCACACGATCGACACCGATTGACATCCAAAATTTGCCTAAGCCTGCCATTAACATGTATGACTCCTTACATATTACATCTTGAAATGCTCGCTGGAAATGTCAAGGTAATATTTTATAAACTAAACATTAAGGGATGTGAGTTCTTCAGCTAGCTTTATGTTTGGTAGGAAATAGTCACAGTTATGGCAGCACCGTATTATTAAAAGCAAAGGAGGACTTTTTGGCGGGATCGCAAGGAGTGAAGTTGTGTGATTTGTTTTATTTTGTCTATTTAGAGTTTCTTCAGGTTTAAATGTGTAATAACGGTGGTTTATTAACTGTTTAATATCTGTGNTCGACGTTCCTGACGAACCACGGGGCTCCGACGGCTATCCTGCAAAAACGGGATTGAATAATTTGAAATGTTTTTAGGTGTATGCGGGCCGCGTGAGCGAACACTACACTTGCATAGGTCATGACGGGGCGTATGCAAGTTTTGTAGAGTGTCACCTTATTTCTAAGGGACATTTTACTTCGCCTACATATCATCGGGTAGGATTTATCTCCATATTATCATTTTTCATAAAAATAAGAATATAAGTTAGAATAAGACATGACCTAAAGGTCTTAGTTACCAGGTCATAAAATCCCTTAAAAAAAAAAGCAAAGGAACCGAACCGATGAATGAAAGGAAGTTTAGTAATAAATATCTAAAATGTACTAAATTATTTTTCAAATTTTTATGAGAAAAACATTGTTATTTATGAAAAATGGGAACGCAGAAACCTGGAGAATGGGCTAATTCGTTGATAGCGCGTTTCGAAGAACAGGTATCGTACGAACTAATAATAATAAAAAATTACAAAAGGGTGGGTCCTTTTGGTGTATTTACAAGATATTTAAATTTTGGCTTCTAGAGTACAATATTTTTAGCACAACATCTTGATTTAAGAAAAATTACATCTCAGTCACATTTAATACTACGTTTTCCGTAAAATAGTAATTCGGAACGCCCACACACTGCGCACCTAGTCAAATAAAATCAATATAAATCTTTGTTTATATATGTATTTCGAGCCGAAATCGCGGCTTACATTCTATTACATTATTGATTTTAAATTTAATCGTTTGAAAAAAACCTTGTTTGAAGAAGACAAAAATTTAATTCACTATTTAGATCAGCACTGATAATGGTCAAGCTTACAGCCCACATTGTAGTTAGTGTTGAGAATGTATAAAGGTACCTTAATGTATTAAAGAGCTGGTTAGTGGTGCATTGACAGTCTCTCTGAAGAGTCATGCAGTCAGAATTGCATGGTGCAGATATAGGCAGGACTCTGTCACCAAATTGTTTATACTCACAACATATTCAACCAGAAGTATTTAAATTTTTTTAAGTTGATGTAAGTCCAAATAGATGACCAACTAGAGTATCGTTGTGGTGAATGGGGAAGCTGCTGTAGCTGGAAGGGGAAGCTCATGAAAACTTACCTGCTGTTAGCATTATGTTCCTCTGACTCCAATTAGAGGGTGTCCCTAAAGGAAACCTTTTGAAGCACTTATTCCAAATGTTGTAATCACAGAATGGAACAGACACCCGAAATATGTTCTTTTAGCACCAATTCTAAACTGCCTTTCATAGACACAACCCACTAATTTCTTGCCAGATCTTCTCGGTAGGTCACAATTCTGATCTAGTGATACATTCTGCAAGCACTGCTCTTCCGAGGACCAGTGTTAGGAGACTCTCTCAGCTTGAGCATATGAGCTTGCCTACAGGTCCACGTGCAGTATAGTTATAACTTTACAACTTATAGCTTCCCCTCCTTTCAAACCAAAACATGTTACTGCTTCTTCTTCTTCTTTTAGATAATTTGGCTCCAACGCCTTTGGCATTGATTTTGCCAATGTCAAAGTATTTACAAAAATGACAGGTGCTTAGAGAGGGAAAAAATTACTAAATCTAAATACAAATAAATTTGGTCGGTTTTTCCATACGCGAATCTGTGGTTTTAAGAACAACACAAACAAATATATGTTAGACTAACTACTTTAGAGATAAATATTATTAGCAGATAAAAATTTACACAGAATATTTACATGTTTAGAATAGACTAAAGTTAATAAACAATTAATATTAATAGGCCGGGGAATGTCATTGGGAAGGATATCATAAAGAGGGGATACAATATTGGGGCAGTCGAACGTTACTGCTTCACAGCAAAAATAATGGTGATACTGACCCATGCGGACTCACAAGACGTCCTACATCAAAGTGTTCAACGTTGGTAGCAACAAATGCATTTCTATTACTCATGGCAATTATGAATCATTGATATATTAAGCAGTAAAATGTTTTTAATGTATGTTTCTCCTCTCAGCTCCCTTATAGGACGGGAGCACAGAACCTGCACTCGAGGATCAATGAGGAACAATGTAAGGCATGCCTCGTCCAGATAAGCAGATACCGGTTCTCATTAGTCATTTCAGGGCTGACGAAGATACTGCAGAGAGTAAATGAACTGGTTAGTTCTGATTGGCTTTTCTAAATGACAGTAAACTCTTAGTGTTACTATTGCATAAGTTCAGTCGTTGCCCTAATAATGATTCACATCTGTTTTGCATTTCATTGTATTTCTATTTATCTATTTTAATTATTTATGTGTTTTAATCTCTTAGTATCAGCCAACATTCACAAGCAGCATCAATAGACCTCAAACAGAGCTGGAGAAGGGATACCATGATAGTCTTGTGATAGTCCTGGATACACTTGAGATATGCCTCAGCTCACAGCCCAAGGATACTGCCAAATATGATGAAGCAATGAATGTGAAAATTCTGCTTCGGGAAGTCTGTCAGTTTATGGGTGAGTGAATGATATTTTAATTATGACTTGTAAGATAATATTTTTTTTCTAGCTGTTTACCAAGATTTTTATTAACCGTCCGATGTTTAATATTCTGATGGGATTTAAATTTTTGGAGTACTATTACTTCACTCATATTTTAGCATCTATTCTGAAAATTTACATCTTGAAAAAAAAAAGAGATTAATAAATTGTTATTCTTTTTTTTTTTTTTATTGCTTAGATGGATGGACGAGCTCACAGCCCACCTGGTGTTAAGTGGTTACTGGAGCCCATAGACATTTACAACGTAAATGCGCCACCCACCTTGAGATATAAGTTCTAAGATCTCAGTATAGTTACAACGGCTGCCCTACCCTTCAAACCGAAACGCATTACTGCTTCACGGCAGAAATAGGCCGGGCGGTGGTACCTACCCGTGCGGACTCCCAAGAGGTCCTACCACCAGTGATTACGCAAATTATAATTTTGCGGGTTTGATTTTTATTACACGATGTTATTCCTTCAACGTGGAAGTCAATCGTGAACATTTGTTGAGTACGTATTTCATTAGAAAAATTGGTACCCGCCTACGTACGAATACACCGGACGTCTTATCCTTTAGGCCACAACGACTTCAGATTCAGATTAGATGCACAATAATGTTTGTGTAATATATCAAAAACACAATAATGATTGTTTTATATATTAGAAACACAATAATGATTTTGTAATTTTAGATTCACGTAACGAGAATGTGGTGAACAACAATTTATTGAGGCAATTGGCTAGTAAGGTTCTGTTTGCGCTCAGCCTAAACTTCTTCAATGCAGTGTTCAACCGGATCAGTGCTAGACTTCAGGTATGATTGTTAAGTCATAAGCACTAGCCTGCTTTATTTGTCTGTAAAGCGAAAATTAAGATCTGCAAACCAGAGTATGAAATAGAGTGACTAAACTGCTTAGCAATTTGTCGGACAGGAAAGAACGTCATTCAGTTTCTCACTGTTAAAATTGAGGCCATCAGCATAAAAGTGACCTAAGCTTACCATAGTTAGTATGGAGATAATGAGGCATGAATTTACTTTTACGTGGCTTCGTAGCCAAAAACAATCAGCACAAAAATAATGTTTACAAAGCCATCTGTTATCTATGTGTGAAACTAGGGATAAACCGTTTTGCATCAAAATTTATTATGTTCTAAATAAATTGCAATATATAAGCACGAATATGAAAAATTGTGAGTTAGGCCACTTTACGCTGATGGCCTCAAATAATGTTGACCGAAATTGCTGCTACCAATATACTGTATATTTTTTTTGTAAATATAATCTATATACGTAAATACTCAAAGTGATTACATTTAAGTACCATTTTATTTTAAACAAATCGATGTAATCTGTTTTATTTTCTACAAAACTTCAATGATGGACTTTTTGGCGGGAACGCGAGGAGTGAAGTTGTGTGATTTCTTTTATTTTGTCTATTTAGTGCTTCTTCAGGTTTAAATGTGTAGTAACGGTGGTTTATTAACTGTTTAATATCTGTGAAAGTGCACAAATGTGGGAAAATGAAACAAAGCCGCTGGACGTAACTTCTCGGGATCCTCCAAAAAGTCCACTGAAAAAATCTTAGTAAATGACCACCATTTTACTGAGATTATATTTCATCCCATATCATCTCATTTCATATCATTTAATGTCATCCCAGTTGATTAATGTCTCAAATTAATCATCTTCATTTCATTTCACTCCATAATATCATTTTTCATAAAAATATGAATATAAATTAAAATAAGACATGACTTAAAGGTCTCAGTTACCAGGTCATAAAATCCCATAAAAAAAACTTCAGTGATGTAACAAATGAAAAATTTCGAAATATTTAATGAATTTAAACCTTGCAATGCCTGTAATTACGGTAGAATTTACGCTGAATCGTAGGCCGTTGAGAGTTCACTTTGTACCGACTGCATCTGTATCTATGTACATTATCTGACGTATATACTGCTACTGCGTCAGGGCTATGACCACGATGTGGGTTTTGACCTTCGATAATAAACGCTGCTATTCTTCCCGGGCTGCGCAACATCTTGCTAGTCTGGGACTTGGAGTGTAGATCCTCTTTCACAGCGTCAGACCAGCGGTACTTAGGTGTCTCTACTGGACGCCGTTCCTCCCGCTCACCGGATCCTGGTCCATCCGGAATACATGCTCGAACCACTTGAGAGCCTCCTATGTTCGCGCGAAAAACCTTAGACCCCAATAAATAATTTTATATTTTTTACCTATGAGTAACGTCATGGAGTCACTGTCTTAAAAACTTTTTATGAAAAACGCAAGCGCATTTTAATTTACTCGACTCATTCAAGAAAATCAATAAGGAAATGAAGCCCATTTGCCGAAACGCTTTCATCTCCCTCAACTACCGTCATCCCTTTGAACTGGCCCTAGCATCTCTCCCAGTATCTTTTGCTCAGTTATGATGAATTTTGCCTCTTCTTTCGCATGCATACAAAAAGACCATGTTCTTGATGTACCTGCCCTAGGAGTTTCTCTATCTCTCTCTAACACGAGAAATAGAGCCAGGTCAAGTTATTATTCATCCTCCAGCCTTCGTAAATTGACAGACGTAACCGGATAACGTGCGGTCAGGTTAATATAAAACTTTATTTAAATTTACCCGCAGGAGCTGTCTTCAAGCTCAGAAGAAAATCCTGATTATACAGACCTAGAATTAATTCAACATATTAACGTCGATATATTAAGATTGATACGATTGTTGCAAGGTATGTAAATATTGCATAAAACATACACGGGCTTCTTTAAGGGCTCCTACGGGTGAAGGGATTTCCGGTACACTTGATATTAAGTGGTTACCGGAGCTGTAGCTGTTTGTACACATCAACAACATAATTGACTTGAGATATAGTCTCAATTTCTAGTACAAGGGCTGCTCCAATTTTCAAATCAGTGCAGTAAGCTCACTGAAAATATTGGCAGGGTGGTGATATTTTTTGTTTATTACTTAGGTGGTTGGACGAGCTCACGGCCCACTTGGTGTTGAGTGGTTACCGGAGCCCATTGACATCTACAACGTAAATGCCGCCACCCACCTTGAGACATGAGTTGTAAGGTCTCACTTTTAACAGTACAACGGCTGCCCCGCCCTTCAAACCGAAACCCATTACTGCTTCACGGCAGAAATAGGCAGGGTGGTGGTACCTACCCGCGCTGACTCACAAGAGGTCCTACCACCAGTACTTATGCAAAATATAATTTTGCGGGTTTGATTTTTATTACACGATGTTACTCCTTCACCGTGGAAGTCAATCGTGAACATTTGTAAAGTACGTATTTCATTGGAAAAATTGGTACACGCCGGCGGGATTCGAACACCGGTGCATCGCAACAAACGAATGCACCGGACGTCTTATCCTTTAGGCCACGACGACTTTATAGTATCTACCCGTGCGGCTTCCCAAGACGTCCTATCATCAGTGAATTTACAATACAATTGTTGTGTGTTTGGTTTTTATTACCCGGTGCTATTCCTTCACGTGGTAGTCATTCTTGAGCACGTGTCAAATACGTATTTCATTAGACAAAATTGGTAGCTGCATGCGGGGTTCGAACATCGACACAGTCGCATCACTCGATACGAATTTTTACTGGTGGTAGGACCTCGAGTCCGCATGGGTAGATACGACCGCCCTCCCTATTTCTGCCGTGAAGCAGTAATGCGTTTCGGTTTGAAGGGTAGGGCAGCCGTTGTAACTATACTGATACTTTAGAACTTATATCTCAAGGTGGGTGGCGGCATTTACGTTGTAGATGTCTATGGGCTCCGATAACCACTTAACACCAGGTGGGCTGTGAGCTCATCCACCCAACTAAGCAATAATAAAAAAAACCTTATCCTTTAGGCCGCAAAAGCTTGTAGGCACCCTCTTAGCTGTGTCCTTGCCATTGCTGACGTCCATGGACGACGGTAACCACTCATCAACAGGTGGGCTGTATGCTCGTCTGCCTACAAGGGCAGTAAAAAGAACGGGCTGACGGCGTACGAGGTGTTAATTGGTCTCCAGAAGCCATAGAAGGCCTAAACCAATCCTGAAAATGATAATAATATAATTACAATTATATACATTACAGAGTCGATACAAAAATTTAGATTATTAAGAAAATCCGCGCACATAGTACTGGTCGTGTCTCTGGAGAAAGCTATATGGAACTGGATGGACACTTATCCGCAGGTGTGTATCGTACTACCGTCGGATTAGCGACCCATCTTCTTTTATATTAAAAAAAGAAAGAAGAAGCAAGGAGCATCCTCTTGTTTAGGGGACAAGTTGAAAAAGTAATCGCCTGTAAACAGCGAGTTATTGTTGAAAGACTCACCGAAATAGCGCTAGTGTAGGAAGTGGAATTTATATGAATATAGCAGTTTTAAACAGAATCAAGTGTGCTGGGTTGATAAATTTAATATTTATCATTTCTTGTGTAGTTATAAAATAGACTGTTTTTAAATCTGAAGTATTTATTTTTACTACTGTAACACGTGTTTCTTTTTCTTCTTAACTTAGTATCCTACTCGAATAGTTTATGGCGTTGTTTTCAAAAACTTTCCACTTGCTACTGTGGCGCTATCTTAATCGGGTCTCTTTCAGCCGACACTTTTTAATACACTGAGATTGTGCTCCTTACTTCTATCTTGTAATGTAAGGCTGTAAGAAAAAGTATTATTATAATCCAACATTCGAATTTAGTGCTAACTACCGTGAGTTGTTCTTTAAAAAAATTGACTTTTTTCCTCTACCGATTCACTGATAGTCTAAGAGGCTATTCCAGCTACGCCCGGAAACGCGACTCACTGAGAAGATCCGGAGAGAAACTCAGTGGGTTAAGAACGAGCTAATAGCATCATCTTGACATATTTAAGAACCAGTGAATCAATAATATTACCCAGTTTTTAATTGGGAGACACGATGCGACTGGTGAGTCCATCTCTGCTGCTGAGGGTCTAGGAAAAGGAATTACAATTCCGAGAGTAACTCTCGATACAAATACTGTTTTTTATTCCCTACTTAAGCTGATAGCCTTGGGAGGCTATATCAGCGTCGCCTTAACTAGTAGGTGAGCTCATGGGGCTCAAACCTGATGACGTAAATCCTGTGTCATTCGCTCCAGGAGTTCTCCGACGTGCAGTGCACGCCCAACGACGAGCTCGGCAAGTGCTGCGACACCCTGTTCGACATGCTGCAGGACAGCTTCGCCGAGAACAAGAAGTCCAGGGCGGCGATGTGGCCCCTTCAGATCATGCTCCTAGTTCTGAATCCGGTGAGTGCTCGACAACCCTAACGGCTCGAACTGTTATGCGGTATCGAGATACTTTATGTCAGAGCACTAAGGTATGTTTTGTTTGTTGTCAGTTAAGTGACAAATATGTGAACAAAGTATGACGTGTCACCGATTAGCGGTAATAATTGTGCGCTTTCGGAGATCTTTTCTGGCGTCTACCCCCCGGCTCTGGGTGGAGTTTGCCGATGCTCACCACCTTTTTTTTTTATTGCTTAGATGGGTGGACGAGCTCACAGCCCACCTGGTGTTAAGTGGTTACTGGAGCCCATAGACATTCACAACGTAAATGCGCCACCCACTCTGAGATATAAGTTCTAAGATCTCAGTATAGTTACAATGGCTGCCCCACCCTTCAAACCGAAACGCATTACTGCTTCACGGCAGAAATAGGCAGGGCGGTGGTGCCTACCCGCGCGGACTCACAAGGGGTCCTACCACCAGTAAACATGAAACTGTCTTTCTGTAAACTCGAAAAGTGTCTCCAGTAACCTTCAGCTTGGTCGTACTGACATTGCTGACGTCCATGAGCAATAATGGCCACGTACCAACCGCTGGGTTTGATAGCGTGTGGTCTCAAAAATACCGGCTTACCGCGTATGCTAAGTCCAGGGGGGCGCGCAAGTGGCTTCAGGATATGAACGTTCTTGGTGTACTAAGAGTCGGTCTCGATGCAACTGGACCTGGACGCGTCAGTAACGTACGATTCTTCATCAGAAAGTCCTGGAGGAAATCGTGAACGCCGACAGCGGAGCGCCGTGCAGCCCCCGACATACGAAGAAGAAGCACTTCATAGATTCAGTCAAGAGAGGACTCCGTAAGTTTATTAGCTTCAGACGTTTGTATGTTAGTATGTAACGGAATCTTTGAACATGATTTTGACCCCCTTCAAAACGTCGGATTAACTCGAAATTTGGTATACTTATTAAGGAGCGATGAAAATTCAATATAAAAAAAAATGAAAAAATTGAAATCCTACTAAAAAAAAATGTTTAAAAAAAAAAAAAACGCTTTATAGAAAATTGAACTAAAAAATGAAAAATAAATAATAGCCTTAAAAAAAAACAAAAAAAAAACGCTTTTATAAAAATACTTACTAAAAAATAGAAAATAAACCTTAATAAACTTAGATTAAAAATAGTGCTTTTCAGGATATTATCAAGATAACCCTTCTACTCATATCTGTTCATAAAATATTTATAACTACTGATACCATGCACCCCACGCTTTTTTTTTTAGAATAAAATCATTTTTTCTTACTCTACTTTTTAATTCAAATTTATTAAGATTTATTTTCTATAAATTAGTGGAATTTTCTATAAAAGTGTATTTTTTTGTTTTTTTTCAACGATTTTCATTTTTATATGCTCTTATTAGCGGTACGTATGTTTGTATGCAATAATGAAATCTTCGAATGTCATTTCGACCGACATAAAGACGTCTCCATACCCTGACGGGGTCACAAAGCTTTAACCATATACGGGGATCAAGTAAAAACGGTCCCCCCACCATTTTCCACTGGTGGTAGGCTTATTTCTGTCGCGAAACAGTAACGCGTTTCGGTTTGAAGGGTGGGGCAGCCGTTGTAATTACATAATATACTGAAACCTTAGAATTTTATCTCAAGGTGGGTGGCGCATTTACGTTGTAGATGTCTATGGGCTCCAGTAACCACTTAACACCAGGTGGGCTGTGAGCTCGTCCACCCATGTAAGCCATAAAAAAAAAAAACAGACCCGCAGAATAACTCGAAGCAGCTGATAGAGGCGGCCGTGGTGACCAGCGTGAAGCTCTGCAAGGCCTCCACGTACCTGAAGACGGCCGACTCCGGGAACGTGACCTTCGTACTCGTCAAGTCTGTCATTAACGACCTCAAGGTGAGCGGGGGGCGGGGGGAGGAGAGCTAATGTATTAGCCATAGCTACGTCCATATTTTTATAAAACGAATGTTTATTTATTTATTTATTATATTTGCACACACAGCTGTTAGAAGAAACACGACAATAAGGATACAGAGTACAAGGGCACTACTTATAGCATGTTGAAATCTCTTCCAGTAGGCCCGCAGAAGGAAAGAAGAATTAGGACCACAAACCTAGTGCATACAGTAAACATTACATATCTATATCTATACTAATATATAAATGTAGTGGTTTTTACGGATGTTCCGTTATAACTACTGAACCATGCATCCGATTGACTTGAAACTTGGTATCCATGTAGAAGATACATATACTTAATGGATAGGCTAATATTTATATGAGTGTCGGACTCCCTACACCAGTTGCGGGGGCGTTAATCATGATAATCTGGGGGGGAGGGGACAGAAATAATAATGTTAATTTTAAATGCACAGTGAAGCGGACGGGTACAGCTAGTGTAATATATACATACATACATACATACATATTTGTTTGTTTGTTTGTGTGTCTGTCCTATATTCATCTCCAAGTGGGGCAGCGTATTAACATTGATTTTGATCCCCATTTTCTTTCGAAACAACCCTGGAAACCTTCTTCCCTACCACACATACAAGCGCTACTGCCCGAGCAGCGCCCCCCCCCAACCCCCCCTGCCGTCACCCCCTAACGCCCCCCTCGTTCCAGTCACTGCTGTTCAACCCCTCGAAGTCGTACATACGTGGCAGCGTGCTGTCCGGCTACTCGGACCTGGACCTCATGACCGACTGCTTCGTGTCCCTGTTCCGCATCATGCCCCACAACAACGACGCCCTGAAGGTCTGCCTGAACCTCAACGCTCACATCTCCTACCACTACGTCATTGTGAACGCCTTGAACAGGTAAGATAACCTTTCAATTTCCCATTCTCAATCGCGTTACTCTTGACAAAGTGGTCGTGATCGTCATGTCGTCTTTTCGCATTAAAAGTGTAATATTTCCAAAAATATTCGAAATTGAGTTAATATGCGTTAATATGATGTCATTTAGTATCACCAGTATTTTTCTCATAAATACTGTCAAATGAGCGTAGTATAGTTTTAGTTTTTTTAGTTTACCTATATTTTGACTACTATTAACAAAATTAATACATAATTTTATCTTACTTTAAAAGACAGATAGTTAATGTAACTGGTAAAAAATAAAAAATAAATGTTGCAAACATGATCAATATTAAAAATATCACATGTTAACCCTTAAAGCACTCCTGTAAAATTAGTGAGTTTTGAAATTATACAGTTTTAATGCGAGAAGACGATGTAGTGTTGGAAGGGGCAGACTTGATGCGTCTCACGATGTCGCGCCATCTCTCCCTGCTCGAGGCCATTCTACTGCACTCATTTAGGGGACCTCCCACTGCAGTTTTAATCAATAAAAAATCAAAAAAAATTATTCAACATAAATGAAAGTACATACTTGTTGAACGTTGTGAAGTCGTCGTGGCCGACGTGGATAAGACGTCCGGTGCATTCGTATGTAGCGGTGTTCGAATCCCGCAGGCGGGTACCAATTTTTCTAATGAAATACGTACTTAACAAATGTTCATGATTGACTTCCACGGTGAAGGAATAACATCGTGTAATAAAAATCAAACCCGCAAAACTATAATTTGCGTAATCACTGGTGGTAGGACCACTTGTGAGTCCGCACGGGTAGGTACCATCACCCGGCCTATTTCTGCCGTGAAGCAGTAATGCGTTTCGGTTTGAAGGGTGGGGCCGCCGTTGTAACTATACTGTACCTTACTATACCTTAGAACTTATATCTCAAGGTGGGTGGCGCATTTACATTGTAGATGTCTATGGGCTCCAGTAACCACTTAACATCAGGTGGGCTGTGAGCTCGTCCACACATCTAAGCAATAAAAAAAAAAAAAATTTTTGTAATTCACACGTGGTAGAAGTGAAACTTTCCAAAATTAAAATACAATTATCCTAAACGTCTTAAGTATATGTAAAATTTTGTCATTAGTAAATAATTGTAAGGTAGCGCCCTCTGTGAATTGATATTTTAATTTCACGTATAATCCTAAATTAAAATTCACTACAAGAGCTTTCATACACACGTTAGTTTTAAAAAATCTCACAGATGGCGCTGTATTAAATAGTATGTATATTTCTGTCTCGTTCTTTGCTGGCTTCATCCTACACATTTTTGTATTTGTGTCTCTTACCTGTCGTTTTTTCCGTTACATCCGGTTTGAAATCACAACGATTCTAAAGAAGTTTTCACTTCAAAAAAAAAACGTCAAAAAGAACTACCGCCAATTCACAAAAACCAGCCTCCCTCTTGGGAAGAACTGGCAAGAAACTCAGCTGGCATGTCTTTTTTTTAAATATTAGTTTTTTTTTAAATATTCATTTTTATAATGAGTATTATAACGTAACAATTATTGCAATATTGAATTCCCCGGAGCGAGCAACTCATCTTAATTTGGTCGGTCCACCGCATTGGTTTTATTTCCAACCTTTCAATAGGAATGTTTTATTTTAAGCTAGTAGCTATATGCGTGCCAAGATGACGTATGATAGGTCTGGATGGAGAAAGAGGAATTGCAGTACCGACTCCACGCTGTGAGTGAAGGGCAAGAATATGAATAAGAAGTCCTCTGGAAACTGACCTTGAAAGCTTGAGGTTGAAGAACCAGAACCCACGACTGCATAGCGGTATAAACAGGCGGAATTTTTGTACCTACCCGCGCAGGTTACCAAAATACAACACTACCTCTGATAGTTTTTTTACTAAACATTTTTTTGAAGTGAAAACTTCTTTAGAATCGTTGTGATTTCAAACCGGATGCAACGGAAAAAACGACAGGTAAGAGACACAAATACAAAAATGTGTAGGATGAAGCCAGCAAAGAATGAGACAGAAATATACATACTATTTAATATAGCGCCATCTGTGAAATTTTTTAATACTAACGTGTGTATGAAAGCTCTTGTAGTGAATTTTAATTTAGGATTATACGTGAAATTAAAATATCAATTCACAGAGGGCGCTACCTTACAATTATTTACTAATGACTAAATTTTACATATACTTAAGACGTTTAGGATAATTGTATTTTAATTTTGGAAGGTTTCACTTCTACCACGTGTGAATTGCACACATATTGTATTTTTTTATTGCCCTTATAGACAAACGAGCATACGGCCCCCGTGATGGTGAGTGGTTACCATCGCCCATAGACTTCAGTAATGTCAGGGGCAGAGCCGAGCTGCAGCCTACCGTAAAATTTATTTATTTATTTCCAGGATAATAAAACAACCCCGACTGCCTTGGTGGCCGCAGATCGACCTCCTGTACCCGAGGGCCGCCGAACTCCGGGCAATGTTCACGGATACGTCGAACAAAGCTACACAGGTATACAGCTCTGTCTGATGATAAACGACTCCTCGCGTCGACCGTCCTTGACCTTGAAGGGTCATTTAATCAAAGTCATTTAAAAATGTACATTTTGTATGCATCGAAGATAACGTAGTTGCTCTACCAATTCCAAATGAGACTCCGCGCTTATGTAGTTCTAGGAAGTGACATTGACAGTTGACATGTCTATGGCTACCGGTAACCACTTAGCAGCACCTGTATAAGCAATGTACTATATATGTGGTGGGCGAGTAGTCTTTACAATTTTTTTTTTGACATTGGCAGACGCCCTCACGTCCCGTCTGATGGTAAGCAGTTGCCGTCGCCCATGGATATCAGTAATGCCAAACCGCCACCTACTACTGTATTTCTAACACAAGCACTTTTGACACGCTATGTCAAAGACTCAATAGTAAATCACGATTAATTGGTTAATAATATTTTTGTCTCGCTCTCGCCAATGAAGAGGATAATGGATGTGAAGGAGACGAAAGAGGTACGCAAGAGTGTTAACAAAATTCAGTTATTTTAATAGTATAGCTTTTTAGAACAAACCTAACCTATGTAGACCTCGTAATGTCTAGAAGTGAAAAAAAATCATGCTAGTACAGAGTTTCTATGCCATAGTACAACCAACGGGCTAGAGGTGGCGTTAGTTGTAACAGCAACTTTACATTTATTCATGGCCAAATATATATTATATTGTTCTTCGGTTTTCGTAAGGCGTCTTTTTTTTTATTGCTCAGATGACTGGACGTGCTCACAGCCCATCTGGTGTTAAGTGGTTACTGGAGCCTATGGACATCTACAATGTAAATGCGCCACCTAGCTTGAGATATCAGTTCTAAGGTTTCAGTATAGTTAAATCGCTGTCCCACCCTTTAAACCGAAACACATTACTGCTTCACGGCAGAAATAGGCAAGGCGGTGGTACCTACCCGTGCGAACCCACAAGAGGTCCTACCACCAGTAATTACGCAAATTATAATTTTTCGGGTTTGATTTTTATTACACGATGTTATTCCTTCACCGTGGAAGTCAATCGTGAACATTTGTTGAGTACGTATTTCATTAGAAAAATTGGTACCCGCCTGAAATTCGAACACCGTTGCATCGCTCAACACGAACGCACCGGACGTCTTATCCTTTAGGCCACTTTAGATATTATTGCACCCATATTATTTCCGGAGCTTCGAATAGTTGGCAGTGGTTTTAATGACGGATGCTACTCATCAACTCCCAGGGTTACGTGGCGCACACGCCGCTCCGGATGATCTCCCTGTCGCTCAAGTCGAAGGAGGTCCAGTCCAAGTTCAACCGGGCCGAGGAGATGCCCGCCTACAGACACCTGCTGCTGTGCATGGTCAAGTTGATTCATGCCGACCCCATGCTGATGCTGAGCGTGAGTCTGTCTGAACCTTCAGTAATAACTGTATTTTTTTTCTACCTAAGCTAATGGCACTAGAGGCCCCATTTCAGCGTAACCCTAACAAGTATGTGAGCTCACGGTGCTTAAACCTGACGACGTTGCTAACAGTAATGCTAGCAAGGGAAGTGCTTCGCAGAATCTACCACCGGATCGGAAACGCGACCCACTGAGAAGACCCGGCGAGAAACTTGGTGCACTGTGTAATTAATGTTTTTTTTTCCTACCTATGCTGATAGCCTTGAGAGACTATGTCAGCGTAATCTTAACGAGTATGTTAGTACACTGGGCTCAAACCTGATGACGTTGCTAACACGAACCCTAGCAAGAGCCGTGCTTCGCAGAATCTACCAGCGGATCGGAAACGCGACTCACTGAGAAGATCCGGCGAGAAACTCAGTGGGCTGTGTAATTACTATGGTTTTTCTTGTGTGCGTATATACTCTGTGGCAGCGACTGACAGCGCCATCTAGTCACCATATTACTTAAACTATATTGAGGAGTGAAAGGCTAATTGGTTTAAGCGATTTTTTTACAACATTACAGGAGAGCCATTCAAAGTTTAAAATTTGGTAACTTCTTCAGCTATTCGAATGGAGTAAACTCAATTGAAACTCAATTCGAACTGTGATGCTGATATCAAATAAAACGCACCTTTAATTACAAAGATAAATGTCACGTGCTAAGCGAAATGCTGCTTGTACCAAATAGCGTCAGGAAGGTTTGTAGTGAGAGGGCGTTCGTGTCGCAGAACCCTGGCCGCTCCAACCTAGAGATGCAGTCGTCGACGACGGAGCTGATGAACGGGCTGGTGTCGCTGGTGCACCAGGGTGGGCTGGGCGAGGTGTCCGGCGCCGCCATGGACGCGCTGCTGGCGCTGCACCGCCCCGACCGCGTCCTCAACTGGAACCCGGACGCGCCGCTGCTTACCTTCTGGGACCACAGGTTCGCATGACAACTTTTTTTTTTAATGCTTGTGTCACTGGTGGTAAGACCTCTTGTGAGTCCGCACGGGTAGGTACCACCACCCTGCCTATTTCTGCCTTGAAGCAGCAATGCGTTTCGGTTTGAAGGGCGGCGCAGCCGTTGTAACTTACTGAGACCTTAGAACTTATGTCTCAAGGTGGGTAGCGCATTTACGTTGTACATGTCTATGGGCTCCGGTAACGACTTAACACCAGGTGGGCTGTGAGCTTGTCCACCCATCTGAGCTCTATAAAAACGGATCCTTTGCCGTAAACGACCGTGACGTCGGCAGCTCCCAGGTGCTGTACAACATTAGCCAGAAGCTGGTCCAGCGTCAGATCGGCAACTACCGCGAGGTGCTGCGCTGGCTGCGCGACATACTGACCTACCGCAACGAGTTCCTGTCCGCGCACAAGGAGTACGCCAACGTCGGCTCGCACATACCGATATGCAAGCAGGCGCACATCAAACTCGAGGTCAGTACGTGTGGCGCCATCTATCCGCCGCGTTCGTAAACTGTTTTTTATTTTCGAATTTTACGACCCGGTAACCGGACCTTTAAGCCAAGTCTTGTTCACTTATGTATCTGGTATAGTATGTAAAAATGATAGAAACGAGATGAAGTTGATTAATTTAACATCTTAATCGATTGGATTAGAAATGAGATTAAATGAAAATTGACTTAATTTATTATTTATGTTGGTAGCAATGTTGTAAACATTGGTTAAGTTAAGGAAGAAAGCTTTTCGTCTCGATCAAGTTTGTTTGAAAACGTAATGTAATGTAATGTAATTTATATTGAATTACTAAGATCGATGAACGACCTTACAACCCATCGGTCTTTAAGTTTATCGGAGCTCTCAGACACAACTACGTGAATGTCCCTAAAATCTTTAAGAGATGAGGTGAAAGTTTCAGCTATAATGCTGTTCTGCTTTACTGCTTCGGGGCCGTGATGCCCAGGGACAGCTGTAACCGCTTTGTTACGAACAGACCGTGGATTAGTCTGCCAAGAGACGGAACAAAAATAATTAACACAACATATGTACCATAACGGGTTAAATGACCCATTTTGAACTTTTACATTGAAAATGCACGTATCGTCTTATTGCTTTTGCACATTTGACTTCATGACTTTTTCTTGTCAATTAATCTTTTTTTTTTATTGCTTAGATGGGTGGACGAGCTCACAGCCCACCTGGTCTTAAGTGGTTACTGCAGCCCATATACATCTACAACGTAAATGCGCCACTCACCTTGAGATAAGTTCTAAGGTCTCAGTATAATTCAACGGCTGCCCCGCCCTTCAAACCGAAACGCATTACTGCTTCACGGCAGAAATAGGTAGGGCGGTGGTACCTACCCGTGCGGTACTAACTTATGAGCTCGTCCACCCATCTATGCAATAAAAAAAATATATATATATACCCAAGAGAGCGATATCCAGGTGGTGTTCTTCATGTGCCTGTGGTCGATCGACACGGACGTGGTGCTGGTGGCCATGTCGTGCTTCGCGCTGCTGTGCCAGGAGGCGGACATCCGCTGCGGGGCCGACGAGCTGACGGCGCACTCGCTGCTGCCCAACTACTCCGTGTTCCAGGAGATAGCGCACACCTCCTCCGTCCTCACCACCGGTACGGAGAACCTTGAGAGTTACCACAAACAGCCCATTTTCCACTTCATCGTTCCATCACTACTGAAGATCGCGACCACATGTGACTTTCCTCCATAGTGTTCGGTCATGGATGGCACGGATTACATGCCACCAACCGCTCCCTTGACCAGATCTGACCATCCGGCTGGTGTTCTGCCCACGGCGCGCTTGCCTTCTATGCGACCCGAAATTATGAGCTTCCCTAATTCATGTCTGGGAGAGCGCGTTATCTGTCCGAAGAAGCTCATAACACGTTCTTGGCAGATGGCAAATAACCTTTTTTCGGATGTTTAGAGAGAGAGAGAGAGAGAGAGAGTATTCTTTATTGTACACCAAAAATCAAATAAACAGTGCGATACATTAAAAACAAAAAAGTACAATTGGCGGTCTTATCGCTAGGAGCGATCTCTTCCAGACAACCATCAGGTGGACAAGAATCATTTGGAAACGAACTACGCGCGGTGTACCATTCCAGTGAAATACATATATGTACACATACACATACATATACATATACACATACATATCTCCGTAAATATACATACAATTAATACAAAGTATTATAATATAATAATAATTATTAATTTAGCTCTATTAAAATGGACTCGTTAGTTCTCATGGCAGTCCAGAGTATTGAGAACGTCCTCTGCCACATCCATATTTTAAACTCATCCATCTTTTTGCCATTGCGTCTTTTCTGGCACTGTCTCTGATCCGTAGAGGAATCTGAATAATAACAGACCATTTCAATCTGCCTAACAAGACAGCTGTCGTTATTGTTGTGGCTACACCGAGAATGAGGTCTCTGAACACTTGAGGTTATGCTCGCGCGGAGCAGCCCGCGCTGCTGTCCGCGGACTCTAGCGCGCTTGTCTAGTGATGCTCTGACGTGAGGTCAAGAACGACTCTCATGGTAAAGGTATACCGTCGTTGTAATGAAAAGCAAATCGACAGAAAAGAACCCGCCGGCAATCGACAGAAAAACAGTCACCCAAAACGTTCACTCATTGACCTCAAACTAATATAATCCTTGAAAATTGCAACAATATTTTTTAATTTAACTTTAATGTTACGAACACACGCAGCCAATCAGGATATAGGAAAAGGATGTTACTATAAAAACATACACAGTAAGTATTATTCGATATCTTGTTCAGCTATTACAATAATGCACCGACCACACCCAGGCTCCGGTCCCCGGGGACCGAAGTCTAGTCTAGCTGAGGAGGGCGGATTGTGCAGTCTCTATAACGAACTCTATGTCATAGACAACTGTATAGGACACGACATAGAATCCTCCCCCCTTCCGCCGGGTCGGTGTCATCACTCGTTCGACGGACTGTACTAACGTTGTCCAGAGTCCTTCCCCCTTTCACCGTGCTGGTGTCATCACTCATCGGACGGACTGTACTAACGTTGTCCAGAGTCCTTCCCCCTTTCACCGTGCTGGTGTCATCACTCATCGGACGGACTGTACTAACGTTGTAGATTGTTGTAAACAGGGTTTGAGTGTAACAAGCTTTTAATTCGTGGAACGCCGTGAGGTCATTTAAATCTATCGCCGAATATCTGAAACGATCATATCAAAGGATCTAGTAACATCTGGAACATTCGAGAAGTACAACGCCATCTATTGTCAGATAGCGGAAACACACATCGAAAACTTGTGACAAATGTTCTCGATAATTCTAGGGATGTCGTTTGAAAACGTTTCAGAGATGGCACGCGGTCAGTCAGTAATCGGAACTACTCGAAGCGAAACAGCGAACGGATCGCCTGAAGCGAAGCGGAAGAAGTGAATTAAGAATTTTAAAGTGTTCTAAGTGCTAATACAGTTTTAATTGGCATTCGGTAGAATTTTTATTTATCCCGAACCACAGCGCGTAATAATAGTTAACACGTTGACTCCCTTGTAGGTCACCGGTGCCCTACACGGCGAACTGAAGTAATTATGTCGATTTCTGTTACTAAAACGCCTGGATTGCCTAACTTTGTCTTTTTTTGTTTGTTAATGTACGTTTTAGTCTTTTAGAAATAGATTCGTTTCCAATATCTTCGGATTCGTCTTTCCCGGAGCCTTTTAGATATTTGACTTAGTAAGATGATCGAAGAGAGAAATCGACACAATTACTTCTTCAGTGAGCCGTGTAGGGCACCGATGATCTACATGCCAGTTAAAATCTACATTACGTAAAATTTATACGTGGTTGCGAGGCTAAGGAGAATCCTAATGCGTGTGCTGTCGGTCTATATCTTGTATATGTACGCGACAGGTTCGGCGGCTCTGCAGAAGCGCATAATGGCATTGCTGAGGAAAATCGAGCACTGCGTCAACGGGGTCCAGCCGGTCTGGGAGGAGACCTTCAGATGTTGGTACGTAGAATAACTCAGTGACGTGTGAAACGCAATAATTCACTTTTCACACCACCTGAGCTGAAAGCGACAGAGCTCTAAATCTCAGCCTTATGCTTTTAAAATTCGATTAAAATCTATACCGCTAAAGATGCTTCGCATTCCGGTCTTTTCGTTGTCGGTCTGATGCGTGGCATAACATGGACAATTCTAGTATAGTATATATTTCTTCTTCTCAGTCGTACACTCCTGGCGGAGTAGCCGTGGTTACGTATGTCTTAATGCTTGGTTGCGGCTTTTGAGAGACTTCTCCATTTCTCTATTTGTGGCGTTCCGTGCATATTCAGTAAGGGAACACTTCGTAGATGACTTAATCAAGTCTGTCCACCTTGTGGATGATCGGCCGGGAGAGCGTTGACCGTCTACTCTTCCTTATAGTATATATAATGCCTTTCAAATAAGAATGTGCGTGGACCTGCGCCATATTGTGACGTCATAGCTGTCAAATCGAAAAATATAGGTAAAGTCAGTAAAAAAAAGTAGTCCAATCCAAATCTTGGAGTTTACCGATTCCACTCATCCCACTGCTTAAGTAATCATCATGATCGTCGCCCATCCATAAATTGTGAGCCCGACACTGTTGCAGCCTTGATATTATTATTTTTTATATAATCTAAATTCATGTTTAGTTTACCCCGACCAGTATTCATCATATCAAGAAAATTATATAGGTGTATGGTTCATTAAAACAAACATATTAATAGTCTTCATAATTAGGCAAAAATACATTAAACAGTAAATGTTTTTTTTTTGCTGTCCATACTTTTTTATCGAACTTTGACAGATCAAAGTCATTGACGTGCACATTCTTATTTGAAAAGCACACATACCTCGTCTATCAGACACACGTGTAAACTCTTCCGCCCAATAATATTCAATCCTAATTATCCTGTCGCAGGGACTCCCTCTGTAAGCTCTTGCAGAAGTTCCCCAAAGGTCAAGGCGAGAAGCTGGACGACTGTCAGATGGAGGCCCTCCACAGGACGGCCGTGAAGCGAAGGGTCTCCAATCACAGCAGCAGCGAACATGACTTCGAGGTAATTTATTTAAGGCTTCAAATATATTAATCAGATCTCGACCCTACCTTGAGACATAAGTTGAACGTCGGCCCCACCCTTCAAACTGGATCGTGCGACTTCGCAGCAGAAGTGCCAGCCAATGAATAGTTGAAGAGATTAATTATGAAATTAGTATAAAAGAACAGGTCTTATGAATGGTGCTTGCCCAGTTACGCTGACATAACCCTCTAAGGTTACCCGGATTAGTTAGGGCTTTTCAAACGAGGCATGTGGGGAGTATTCGACGGCAGACAGCGGCTTGGCTCTGTCCCTGTCATTGCTGACGCCCATGGGCGACGGTAACCACTTACCATCAGGCGGGCCGTATGCTCGTGTGCCTGTAAAGGCAATAAAAAATCTCGCAATCTGTATTCAAAAACATTTTTTTTCATAACCTTTTTTCTGAATTTTCCAATACGTTATTTATGTAAACTGTTAATTAATTCTCCGACTCACAATGGGTTCTGGTAACCAATTAACATCAGATGAGCCGTGAGCTCGTCTACCCATCAATGCAATGAAAATAAAATAAAAATAATGACTCCGAAAATAGATCAATGGTAATGTTACGCGCTGGTGTTCGGGATAAATAAAAATACTACCGACTTGCAAATTAAAAGTGTATTAACACTTAGAACATTCAAAGAACACTTTAAAATTCTTGATTCACTTCTCCCGCTTCGCTTCAGGTGATTCGTTCGTTGTTTCGCTCCGAATAAAACCAATTAGTAACTAACTGCGTGCCATCCCTGCAACGCTTTTACAGTCGATACGACATCCCTAGAATTATCGAGAACATTCCTCACTAGTCTAGTATTTTCGATGTGTGTATCCGCTATCTGACAATAGATGGGGTTGTACTTCTCGAGCGTTCTAGATGTCACTAGATCCTTCGATATTCGTTTCGGCTATTCGGCGATAGATGGCGTTACTCTTACCGGCGGCGTAACAGTAATATTGAACTTCCATACGATAAGTTGTTGTTTGCTCGTCCCAGATGCAGATACAGGAGTGGGCGAACATAACGTCGTTCCTGTGCGCGCTGGGCGGTGTCTGTCTGCAGAAGAGGCCAGCGCCCCCCACCTGGTCCATCGTGCACGGCCACGGTGAGGTCCAGGGACCATTCCACTCCAACGTGGACTCGCTAGTNGCGCTGGGCGGTGTCTGTCTGCAGAAGAGGCCAGCGCCCCCCACCTGGTCCATCGTGCACGGCCACGGTGAGGTCCAGGGACCATTCCACTCCAACGTGGACTCGCTAGTAGACTGTTTTTTATTGATGTGCAGAACACTACCTTCAATCTCTAATACCTTTCAGATTCAAGGAAATACACAGTGCTCGCCAACAGCTCACAGGAAGTCCAGTACTGTCCCGTGACACAGTAAGTGTTCATACAGCTTCCAGTCTACTCTAAGTATCTATATATCTGTATAGATAAAAATGAATTGCTGTTCGTTAGGCTCGCTAAAACTCAATAACGGCTGGACCGATTTGGCTAATTTTGGTCTTGAATTATTTGTTCAAGTCCAGAGAAGGTTTAAAAGGTAGATAAATATGAAAATGCTCGGAATTAAATAAAAATAATAATTTTGTTTGTCCTTCGGACGGATTCCTTTTGTTTGTTTTAAGTTTATTTTATACAAATAGGTCTTTTATTTATCGATTGAGGCACTACGGGGTCTGCCGGGTCAACTAGTTATATAATATAAGTAAAATATTATTAATAAATGATAGTAAACCGCAACGTATGTACCTGCTATATTTTTGTCAAACGGTTGTCTGGAGGAGATCGCTTTTAGCGATAAAACCGCCTATTCTACAATTATACAGTATGTTGAATGTTTTTGAATATGAGTTGAGTTTTAATGTGCAATAATGTATATTCTGTCTCTTTCTCTCTCTGCCTAAATATGTATATATATTTTTTTTATTGCTTAGGTGGGTGGACGAGCTCACAGTCCATCTGGTGTTAAGTGGTTACTGGAGCACATAAACATCTACGACGTAAATGCCGCCACTCACTACGGCTTCACGGCAGAAATAGACAGGGTGGTGGTACTTACCCGTGCGGACTCACAATACGTCTTACCACCATTAAAAAAGTTATCTTCGCCGTTTCCCCCAAAATTTCTTTTGCATAACACAACTTATAATTATGGACGCATTAAGTCCTCTCGCCTTTACCATGTCTTTTTTTCTCACCTATGCTGATGGTCTTGAGAGACCATTTCAGCGTAGCCTTAACTAGTAACTGAGCTCATGGGGCTCAAACCTGACGTCATTGCTAACACTGGCTCTAGCAAGAGCCGTGCTTCGCAGAATCTACCACCGGATCGGAAACGCGACTCACTGAGAAGATCCGGCGAGAAACTCAGTGGGCTGTGTCTATGGGTTAATCCGCTCGTCGAGCCCTTCGTCGCAAGCGACGGGTTCGACGAGGACGGTGACCGGTGCTTATGGTACCTAAAAGCACTGTTAATGGATCGGAAGGATCCGTAATGACGTGTTTAGGGCGACGTCGACTGTTTACCATTCGGTCTACAGCATCGGGTATGTAGTTTCCAGCGGCCACGACAAGAGGGTTCTCATGTCGTGCCGCCTTCTCAAAGCGGCGCAATGATGCCGACTGTAGATACTTACTGACAGAGTCGAGCTCCAGGTCATCGTGGAGATCCGCTTTCCTCTGGAACCATGGTGCTCCGACAGCTATCCTGTAGAATCGGTATTGAATAACCGGAAGGGGCTACATGTTGGTGCGGGCCGCGTGAGCGAACACTACGGTTGCACACGTCATGACGGGGCGTAGCCAAGCACCGTTAAACTTACCATGCATTCCACACATCCCAGGTTTATAGGGCAGCTTCTGCGCTTGCTGCTCTGCGGTAACGATCGCTTCGGGCAGCAGATCCAGAACCACGTGAAGGAGGTGGTCGGCAGGGAGATGTCGCCGCAGCTCTACCCCATACTCTTCGATCAGATCAAGGCCATCATCGACAAGTTCTTCGATCAGTACCAACAGGTCGGTCTATATAAACTTCTAAACGTACTTATCGTTATCCATACTAATATTATAAAGAGGAAAGATTTATTTGTTTGATTGTATTGAATAGGCTCCGAAACTACTGAATCGATTTGAAAAATTCTTTCACTGTTTGGAATCTGGTTTACTGGTGGTAGGACCTCTTGGGAGTTTGCACGGCTAGGTACCACTACCCCGCCTATTTCCGCCGTGAAGCAGTAATGCGTTTCGGTTCGAAGGGTGGGGTAGCCGTTGTAACTATACTGAGATCTTAGAACTTATATCTCGAGGTGGGTGGCGCATTTACGTTGTAGATGTCTATGGGCTCCAGTAACCACTTAACACCAGGTGGGCTGTGAGCTCGTCCATCCATCTAAGCAATAAAAAAAAAAAACTATTCCCGAGTGACATAGGCTATAATCTTTTTTTGAAAAAATTAGGAATCCTCAATAAATTCCAATAATGTAACCCTAGGTGTAAAAAAAATTACCTAAAATATTGTTTACGTCGCGTGCCCTGCGAAGACTATTGATGGTAGAATAAAATAATGTACTACGACTTTGTAGAACAGATTATTATTTACAAAAAGTGTCGAGACAGCATATGTCTCACTATTATAGTGATGCCGCAATAAGTGTTCTTTTCTTTAAAAAAATAAAACAACGTGAAATACTTGAAAAAATAATTTGAAAAATACAAAATTCAAAATCATTTATTTCAACTTAGATGTCAGTGTAACACACTTGTTGAATGTCAAAATATAAATAACAATGTTAACTCTACCACCGGTTCCAAAAAAAAAACCACAGTCCTGAGAAGAACCGGCGAAACAAACTCAGCGGGCTTTTTTTTGTTTTTTTTCTCAAAAATTTTCTTATTTTTTTAAAAAGTAAAAATATTTACATTAAACGAAAAAACAAGTCAAAAAATACAATTTAAAAAAAAAAAAAAATTAAAAGGCCAGGAGCGAACGCCTCATTCCCACGTAGTGCCATCTAGTAAATAATCCTTAACTTTATAATGTGCCTTGTTGCACAAACGTTCCTTAACAGTTTTCTTAAATCTATGAACAGGTAGTAATTGAACGTTTTGTGGGATCTTGTTGAAAAGTTGTACGCCCCTAAAAGAGTTGCTTATTTTCTTAATTCGAGCTGCCGGCAACGCAAGCCTATGTTTGTTCCTAGTGTTCACATTATGCAAATCGCAGACTCTGGGGAATTCTTCCATGTTTTTACGCACGTGTAATAAATTTTCAAAAATGTATTGGGACCCTAAAGTTAAGAATTTTGATTTCCTTAAACTTGTCCCTCAAGGATTCCCTCGGGTGCATATTAGAAATAGCACGAATAGCCCTTTTCTGCAGGATGAAAATCGTTTCGACATCGGCAGCATTGCCCCATAGCAAAATGCCATAGGACATAACACTATGAAAATAACTAAAATAAACCAGGCGTGCCGTATCTTCATTAGTATACGTTCGTATTTTTTTTACCGCAAACGCTGCAGAACTAAGTCTACTCGCTAACTTGCATATGTGAGGACCCCACTGCAGCTTGGAATCAACTGTTATACCAAGAAAAACTGTCGAATCAACAAGCTCCAGTGACTCTCCACTTACAGTAATATAAGTGTCTACTTGTCTAACATTAGGTGTGGTAAATTTTATACATTTTGTTTTTTTGTTATTTAATAACAGATTATTAACACTAAACCAATGTACCACGCGCGAGATAGCATCATTCACATCGTCATAATTTTCCAATTGTCGTTTAATTTTAAACAATAATGATGTATCATCAGCGAATAATACGACCTCGTGACGGGTTTCAATAAACTTAGGTAAATCATTGATATATACAAGAAATAGGAAGGGACCCAATATGGAACCCTGAGGAACACCCATATTAAGTAAGTCACCGGAAGATCTCGTTCCTTTAACGGAGTTTAACGTCTACCTTTTGGATTCTTCCGGATAAATAAGATTTAATAAGTTCTAATGAAACGCCTCTAGTACCATAATGGTGTAATTTCCTCAACAATGTATTATGCTCAACACAATCAAAAGCTTTAGATAAGTCGCAGAAAACCCCAAGGGCATTATGCAACTCTTCCCAAGCCTGAAAAATATTTTTAATGAGATCTACACCTGGAGTGAAATGAAATGAAATGAAATGAAGATGATTAATTTGAGACATTAATTAACTGGGATGAAACTAAAGGAAAATGGATGATATTGGATGAAAAATAATATCAGTAAAATGGTGGTCATTTAGTAAATGCGTAAGTATGTATACCACAGTATATATACCAAAATATTTTTAATTTTGTATGTCTGTGGGCTGTCTGTTTGTTTGTTTCGGCTAATCTCTGGAACGACTGGACCGATTTTGATGAGACTTTCACTGATGGGTAGCTGATGATATAAGGAGTAACTTTGGCTTGGTACTTTTATTAGACTAGCCTTGTCCCGCGGCGTCACCCGCGGTACGTCAATAACCGCGGGTAACATCGCGGGACTCAGTTATCAATAATAAAATTTAATGTGTCCAAAGCGAAGCGAGGGCGGGTCGCTAGTTTTAAATAAGACTTTTAATATTGGTAAAACTTTCACCGAAGTACAAATTATAACTCTATTAAACATTTTCTCAAGGTACACTTCACAATTCGCTTCTTCAGTTTCGCTTCGAGTAGAATCGATTACTGCCTGCTTTCATGTCGTCTCTGCAACGCATTTACAGTCGACACAATTATCGAGAACGTTCCCGATAGTACTAGTTGTTTCGATAAACGTTTTAGCTCTTCGATGACAGATGGCGTTACTCGTACTGGCATATGTTTGGCTATACACTATAAATTCATGGCGTTTCACTTTTCTCTTTGTATCTTATTGTTTGTTTAATTCGGAACGAATCCAGACAAGCTCGTTACACCATAGATAACCACATTTTTTTATTAATTGGACGAGTGCACGAGCTATCAGCCCACCTGATCTCAACTGGTTATCAGTCCCCATAGACATAACGCACGGTCCACCTTGAGACGTGAGGTCTGAATTTTGATTGCATAACTAATTGTCCCACCCTTCGAATTGGAACGCGGAGCTAATTCGCGCCAGAAATAAGCTTATGAGGCCTATTCATGCTTAGTGCATACTAACAACTGATATATGAATTAGATTTACTACAAGTTAAAGAGTTGCCTTTTAAGTATATATCTTAGTATTTTGATATATTTTGTAGGCAGCGGCTTGCCTCTGCCTCGGCATTGCTGAAGTCCATGGGCGACGATAAACACTCACCATCAGGTGGGCCGTACGCTCGTCTGCCTATTAGGGCAATAAAAAGAAAGTTCTGTCCTCTGCAGCCAATTTCGATTGACCGGCATCATTCGTTTCACGCAGGTCATGCTCACGGATATCAACACGCAATTCGTGGAGCACACTATATTCATAATGAAAAGTATATTGGACAACAAGAGGAGCGGTCAGCCAACGGAGCACCTCAGCACTACGTCCATCGAAGGCCTGATGCTGGCCATCGTTCGGTGAGAGCTCAGGACGCGTCGTCACAATTTTACACAACAGCCTCCAAACCCAAATCCCTGTTCACCTGTCTATAGAATAAAAAATAAAATAACATTGCTTGTTTCTTACAATTTTTTTTATGGCTTAGATGAGTGATCTCACGGCCTGCCTGGTGTTAAGTCGTTACTGGAGCCCATAGACATCTACAACGTAAATTCCGCCACCCACATGAGTTCGAAAGTCTCACTTTAACAGTACAACGGCTGCCCCAACATTCAAACCGAAACCCCTTTGCTGCTTCACGACAGAAATAGGCAAGGTTGTGGTGGTACCTACCCGTGCGGACTCACAAGACGCCTTACCACCAGATTAGATGTTTAATAATAGTTTCCTAATTTGGTCTATATATTCTAAAAAGAAATGTTGCACGTGTAATTTGGTGCACGTGAAAGAAGTGAAACTTCTTTTGCGGCGTGTAGTATTGCGATTTACTTAATTTTTCATCCTTGAATCTCAATTCTCTTTTATTAGGGAATGCTGTGTATAAGAGAAACTACCTAGCTCGCTTTGCCCTTTCCTTTTTCCTCTCTATTTTCTCATTTTTGCTCTTCCTAAATTGTATCTTCTCTCTCTCTCTAGCCGTATCGAATCTGTCGCGAGTTAAAGCTTACTCTCGACCCGCCTAAAGAAGTTTCACTTTGAAATAATATTTATATCCAAAACTTATTCCAATCAATGCATATAATCAGTGCGCTCATCGTGGAACTAATACATCTCTGTTCTTACGTCTGGTTACTTGTACAGGTACGTTCGTCACTTGGACATGACGGTGTTGTCTGTTCACATCAAGACGAAGCTGTGTCAAGTTGTCGAAGCCATGATGAGGAGACGAGACGATCTGGCCTTCAGACAGGTACGGTGCTCTTAATGCAATTGTTCATAGAAAATAGACGGTAGTTTGTTACAGTATTCAAACGTATAACAGTCGTTATGAACCACGAGAACTGTAAGCATTCGAAACTTTGGAAATGTCAGTAGCAGAAATATAATGATAATATATTGTTGCGCGCTAGGGTTCGGGATAAGTAAAAATTCTACCGAATCACAAGTTAACACTGTATTAGCACTTAAAACACTTCACAAACGTTCGCTGTTTCGCTTCGAGTAGTTCCGATTACTGACTGACCGCGTGCCATGTCTGCAACGCTTTTATACTCGATGCGGAATCCCTAGAATCGTCGAGAATATTGCACAAAAGTCTATTATTGTGTGTTTCCGCTATCTGACAATAGATGGCGTTGTACTTCTCGAGCTTTCTAGATACTACTAGATCCTTCGATATTTGTTCGACTATTCGGCGATAGATGGCGTTACTCTTACCGGCGTAACGATATAATGTCAATAATGTAGTGTCAATAATATAGTGACGATAATTTAATGAAAGTAATATAGTGACAACAATAAAATGATAACAATGTAGGGATAATAATATAATGGCAGTAATATAATGAAAATATATAATCACATTGCAAGCACAAAAATGCTAGATTAAATCATAAAATTAATTTTTATTGTTTGCGACTTCCAAAAACCGAAGAATAATACTATTTAATTGCTTCTTGCGGCAATAGGGATTTCCATTCTTTATGTCGTTATAGATAGACAAACATTTGGTCCGTGTGATGGTAAGAAATCAGCGTTGATGGTGAGCATCGGTAATGCCAAAGGCAAACTCAAGTAGCTGTATACTGTATACTAGAGATTTGTATACAGGGTGTTGTAAATAAAACTACACTTAAGGTTTTTTTTTCAAAATTTGTTGTATTCTGTTTGTTGTCGAATGCTGAAGTGGAAACCCTTTAAATTACATTACATTGCGGGGTAACATAAAATTAATAGAAAAAATAAATAATAGTTTTAAAAAAACTAACCAAATACGCTTTGTAGAAAATCCAACTAAAAAATAGACAAAAAAAATTATAAATTTGAATTAAAAATAGTTAAGAAAAAATGATTTTATTGTAAAAAAAGCGTGGAGTGCATGGTGTTATTTGTTATAAATATTTTTCTGACAGATATAAGTAGAAGAATTATTATTTCAATAATATCTTTAAAAGCACCCCACGCTTTTTTAAAATAAAATATATCTTTTTTTACACTATTTTCAATTTAAATTTATTAAAATTTATTTTCTATTTTTTAGTTGAATTTTATATAAAGCGGTTTTTTTTTGTTTTTTAAACTATTATTTATTTTTCATTTTTTAGTTAAATTTTCTATAAAAGCGTATTTTGAAAACTATTAAGTACTTTAACATCAATTCCTGCTTTATCGACTATAGATAAAAATTATATAAATTGGCAAAAATCGTATTTTGCAAATTGAATAATGGAATAATCTTATCAAATTAGTGTATTGTCATCGGTCCTCGATAAATCTACAAAGTTTAAATGAAATCTGGCCGTTTAGAGTGGGTCAAAATCGCGTCTAAAGGAGTCAGTTACAAACATACATACAAGTGAAGCTAATATAAAGCGTGTAAAAATAGAAAATAAACTTTAATAAATTTGAATTAAAAATAGTGTAAGAAAAAATGATTTTATTGTAAAAAAAAGCATGGGTTGCTTTCCAGAATATTATCAAAATAACCCTTCTACCCATATTTGCTCATAAAATATTTATAAGTACTGATACCATGCAAATTATTTATTTTTCATTTTTTAGTTGAATTTCAATTTTTTTTTAATATTGAATTGTCATCGGTCCTTAATAAGTATACCAAATTTCGAGTTAATCCGACGTTTTGAAGGGGGTCAAAAGCATGTCCAAAGATTCCGTTACATACTTAACATACAAACGTCTGAAGCTAATAAATGCGTATTAAAAAATCGAACGTTTTCTGGGACTTATGAAGTTTTGATTCTATGTTTGTTTGTCATCGGGTTTCTAGTATATTCCTAACGTTTTCGTTTCAAAGGAAATGAAGTTCCGTAACAAGATGGTGGAGTACGTCACCGACTGGGTGCTGGGCACCAGTCACCAGATCGCTCCGCCGCTGCGAGCCGACGCGTCCTCAATCACCAGGTAACGCGACAGGTTCTCATGGGAGTTGCATTAAGACTGAAACGGTGAGATGTCAGCTCAGCACCGGTGTGGTTAGTGTGAGTTTGACGTTCTCGATAGCGTAAAAGTTAACTCAATTTTTATGAAGTTGGATCGTTTGCCTACGTTTGCCGCTAGGGGCGCTGTTCCAATTGCATGAAATTCACAAACAAATCAAGACAGAAGTTCTAAGGTCTCCGTTTTTACAGTATAACAGCTGTGGCGTGTCTTATCTTTAAAATTCTTTGTTCGATAGGTGGACAAACGTGAGCGTGAAGCCCACCTGGTGTTAAGTGTTTACTGGAGCCCATAGACATCTACAACGTAAATACGCCAAGTATAGTTTCAACGGCTGCCCCGCCCTTCAAACCGAAATGCATTACTGCTTCGCGGCAGAAATAGGCAGGGCGGTGGTATCTACTCGTGCGGACTCACAAGAGATCCTATCACCAGAACGAAAAGATATGAGTTGGTTAGCCTCAAAGGTGGCTTTAATGTGGTTGGCAGAGAGCTGGACCAAGCGTGCATGGAGGCGGTGGCGGCGCTGCTGCACTCGCTCCCGCTTCAGCCTGAGGAGTCTGACCGCGGCGACCTTATGGAAGCCAAGAGCCAGCTTTTCCTCAAGTACGTAGCTAACGTTTGCTCTACTGTCCCTGGAAGTTGCTGGCTTTGGTCTGATGGTGTTGGTGCCTACCATTAGAAATTAATAGGTTCGGTTTCTAATTTAAACTATAGGTCTAATATTTCAAGTATAGTTGACATCAGGCCAACCCAATAAAGCTATATGGATGCAAAAAGTGGTAGTCGAAGTATAGATAAGAAATTATTTTTCCATAAGAAATAATTTTTTCCAAATCATTTTCCATAAAATCTAATTATATTGTTCGCCGATCAGAACTATGGATTTGGTACTCTTACGGGAAAGTATTGTTTTGAATTAAACAAATTTATATACATATAAAGGTTATGTCACACGCTTCAAACACACGGCGAAAAAAACTTGTTCACGGGGATCGAAGCCTTGACCTTCGGACCAGCAATAAAGAGCGCTTGCTACTGCGCCGCCGAGACACATAAAATGTCGGTTACCATCTTGTCTTGGAAAATTGCACGTATCATATTTGAATAATACAAATTTAAAAAAACTATATGCGAATTTAACCCTTAGTGGATTTCTCGAGATCTTCTCAGAGAGTCGCGACTCAGATCCGGTCGTAGATTCCAGTTCGGTGAAGCATGATAGCCTCAAATAATCGTAGACCCACGAAGCTACCGGTGATAATGGTAGGAAAAAAAAAGAAAAACAAATCTAATCGTGGTAAATTTGGTCGTGACTTTTGTTTTTGCTTCACAGATATTTCACTCTATTCATGAATCTACTCAACGATTGTCACGAAGGCGAAATGGAAACATTGAGGAATGCAACGATACAGGCCATGTCCAACCTCCTGTCTGCCAATATCGACTCCGGTCTGATGCACAGTATTGGTAAGAATTTTTCCTATTTAAATCGCCAAAAATATTCTTATTGCATAATAAGTAGGCTCGAAGGAACATTCCTTGTGAATTTGAAGTTAAACGATCCAGCCTCCACAGTATACTGTTCCTTCGTCATCTTTATCCACCTTTACTGGCAACACTTTTACTTTATATTCCGACTTAATGTCACGTTAGTAAAGTTCATATTTTATTGCTTCAAATAATGATTAAAAGGGTCTAATGCTGCCCATCATAGACGAACGTAAAAACCTGGAAACAAGATTTAGATAGCCTAAGATAGCTTTTAAGATTTGAGGGTGCACCAACGTTTTAACGTCCCTGGCTGCTGCTGGGCTGGAGGGTCGTGAGTTCGAATCCCACTTCGGAAAAACATTCTGGGTATATAATATCTATGTATATCATATTTATCTGAGTATATATTGAAACGTATATAAGTACGTATAAATATCGGTCTTGATGGAATCTTAGCTTGGGGCCAGATGACCGTGTGTGATTTGGAAAGAAAAGGAATTCCAGGGAAAAAAGTATAAACGTATAGATCTGACTTTATGCTTATGAGATGCATATATTCAAATGCAGGTTTGTTCGTGGTCAAAATGCATTAGTGTGACACAGTACTACAGAATTAAATTTTCGATAGTTTTATTGAACATTCTGGCAAAACTAATCGTCTTCACTTGGCCCCGGACAGACTTGGGCTATCACAGAGACCTGCAGACCAGAGCGGCATTCATGGAGGTCCTGACCAAGATCCTGCAGCAGGGCACCGAGTTCGACACCCTGGCCGAGACGGTGCTGGCCGATCGATTCGAGCAGCTGGTACAACTGGTCACCATGATCTCGGATAAGGTATTTTTTTATCTCGACTATTAATCCCATTTTTAAGAGACATTGCGTATTTTAAGCAATCATACACCAAGCTTAGATGCATTACTGGTGGTAGGACCTCTTGAGAGTCCGCACGGGTACCACCGCCCTGCCTATGTCTGCCGTGAAGCAGTAATGCGTTTAGGTTTGAAGCGTGGGGCAGCCATTGTAATTATACTTGAGACATTAGAACTTATATCTCAAGATGGGTGGCACATTTACGTTGTAGATGTCTATGGGCTCCAGTAACCACTTAACACCAGGTGGGCTGTGAGCTCGTCCACCCATCTAAGCAATAAAAAATAAAGTGTCTGAATAAGCTCACTTGTATTCTTAAGTCAATCGCGGAGCCTATGGAAATCACTATGTGCATGCGTTGAGGCACTCGATTCTATATTATAATGGCTGTCGCATCCTTCCAACCGAAATGAATTAGTGCTTTGCGGCAGAAACAGACTGGGTCGTGGTAGTTCCTCCTCCTCATTACTTAGGGACGTGACTCTCCCGCTGCATCAATCTTTCATGTACTATTATTCTCCATCTGCTGCGATCCTCGTGGAGCGTGGTGGTGGATACTAGTAAATCTAAAAGCATTAATTCCACGTGCAGGGCGAGCTGCCGATAGCGATGGCGCTCGCCAACGTGGTGAGTACCTCGCAAATGGACGAGCTGGCGAGGGTCTTCGTGACGCTGTTCGACGCCAAACATCTGCTAGCTCCTCTGCTGTGGAACATCTTCTATAGAGAAGTCGAGGTGAGTTCTGCGCGGAGTCGTGTGGTGACTGCGGCTCACACTCTGAAACCATTCGACTTATTGTCTTGTCTAAATGATGAATACAGACTCTATATCAATACGTATAAATAAAATTGGAGTGTCTGTTTGTAATATTGAAATAACCGTTTTTTACTACATACATATGACTATATATACGGCACATACACCAAAATAACATTTTTTACAATTTTTGTCTGTCTGTTTGTTCCGGCTAATCTCTGGAACGGCTGGACCGATTTTGACGAGACTTTCACTGATCGGTAGCCGATGATATAAAGAGTAACTTAGGCTACTTTTTTTAGACTAGCTTCGCCGCGCGGCGTCACTCGCGGCATGACAATAACTGCGGGTAGTATCGCGGGGCTCGGCTATCATCAATATTTAATGTTTCAGACGCGAAGCGAGGGCGGGTCACTAGTACACAAATAAAAGTTAAATGTTATTATGCGTAAATTAAAAAAGAATAGTAATTATAATACTTCATATATTTACATTTTGTTCTATGGAGAGATTTATATATAAGACAACAACGTGATGTTTTCTTTATATGAGACCTGAAGCACTTTTCTCTCCGTTTGTAGTTTGTTTAGTAACCATTTTGATGTTTTAAAACTTTCAATGTTACTCAATGTTAAGTGTTTGACCTTAAAGAGAACTTTAAGTAAATACCTAATCTATACTTCTATACTAATATATAAATCTACAGTGGATTTTACGAATGTTCCGTTATAACTACTGAACCGTGCATCCGATTGACTTGAAACTTAGTATCCATGTAGAAAATACATGTACTTAATGGATAGGATAATATTTACATTAGACTCCCTACACCTGTTGCGGGGGCGTTAATGTTGAGAATCTTTGTGGGGATGATAAATAATAGTTTTAATTTTAAATGCGCAGAAAAAGCGGGCGGGTACAGCTAGTATTTTATAAATCAGAGTTGTTTGAAGCTTAATTTAGTTTATGCATTTTAACAAATACTTGTGATATAAGTTGGGATTAAAATCACCTACACACTAATTATCATGCATTATCTCTGCACCACCCTATGGTCGACTGGAAGAGAATGCCCATGGCATTAAGTCCGCTTGTGTACAAGTTTTGTTTTGTGCATAAAGTATAAATAAATAATCAACAGGAAGTTTTATTTCGACCGAATGGCATAAATATACCAAATGAAATGACAAAGTTACACGCAGTTGATAAAAACTCAAATTAAATTATTAAAACATTAGGACCGTGGCGCATAAAACAAAACTATCTATTCAAAACAAAACTATTTCTTGTTCTCTTCCAAAATCTTCTCTGTTATTATAATAAAAAATTAACTAACACCTTTTTTATGTCTTGCTCATTCAATCGATTTCGCCGTCTTGCTATTTAGTCCCTGTCATTCTCTTTTCCCTTTCTTATCGTTCTCTCTCACTCATACCTCAACGTTCCGTTCACACTCTATTCATAGTTTTCGTCCATACCAATTCTACATTAATTAATTTTCATTTAAATAAAACATATTTGTTTTGATGGCAACTCATGCAAGATCCCGCGCTACACAAACTTAGCGGTCCTGTGTTAAGCTTCTAACGAAAAACAATATTTTCAGGTTTCCGATTGTATGCAGACTTTATTCCGCGGCAACTCCTTGGGCAGTAAGATCATGGCGTATTGCTTTAAGATATACGGTCACGGATACCTTCAAGCCCTGTTAGAGCCTCTCATAACATCGCTACTGGATAAGGCGGCCACGAAACCTGAACTCAGCTTCGAAGTGGATCCGGCCAGGTGCGGAATCTTTTTGTAACGTTTCAAATACCACCCTTTTTCCTAGTTGACCAGAAGTAAGCGTTTCAAGAAATATTAGAGCAAGCATAGAAATAACATCTGTATATTTTAAAGTTGACATTTTCCTTTATAGAGCGAAACGACTGGCCGATTTTGATGAAGGTTCCAGGATACCTTCAGATTGCCCTAACTGGTGATCCTTTACAGTTTAGTAGTCAAAGGATCAAAGCCAAATCCAAACTCGGTCAACAAAGTGGTCCGCTTTAACTAGTAACATATTAAAAAGTGAATAAAACTTACATATCATTTTTCTCATCTCTCTATGTGTCTAGTTACTAATAAAAAGGTGTGGTGTCGGATAGGAACGAAGCTCCTTATTATAAATATATTAATTTTAAGTTCTATTCGAGGTATAAAGGAAATAATTATTCTAGTATACATTTTCTATTATGATTTTTTTATTGATAAAAAAAAAACTTTATAAAGTTATCATTACATTAGACACTGTATAGCCATCATACTAATATAATACATACATAACTAATAAAAATCTTACGTTACGGACGTTTTTTCCCGGCTACCCCTCCGCATCGTCCATTAAAGAACTTCATTCCAAAAAGGATTGTAAACATAATGTCTTACATTATATTTGACTAAAGATTTAAATTAACTTGTATGTAAGTGCTTTAATAGTACAGCTAGCAAGATTGAAAGATATATTTAAAACATTCTAGTTTTTAATAGACTTGCAATTTGTACAGATTGGAACCGAACCAAGACATAGAAGCGAATCGAGCGAATTTAATCGAACTAACCAAAGAAGTATTCGATAGAATAGTGAATTCGGCTGACAAGTTCCCGCCCCAGCTGAGGAGCATGTGCCACTGTTTGTATCAGGTATATATCTCGACGACACACTCGTGGTCAGTAACAACAGAAAACACTAATGTTATATATAATAAGGGCGAATTTTTAAAGCGAAATATGAAAACGTGTTTTATTTTTTATAGCTTAAATGGGTGGATGAACTCACGGCCCACCTGGTGTTAAGATAGACATCAATAAATTAAATGCCCTTACTCACATTAAGACGTGATTTTAAATGAATAAAATCACCAAGTACAAGTTGTATTAACAAAGCAATGGAACTGGTGACAACAAGCTGTCGTTTGTAAATCTAACAGTGTCAATAACACTGATATGAATAATGTATAAATTTCAGGTGTTGAGTAAAAGGTTCGCCCAGTTCCCGCAGACCAGTGTTGGCGCCGTCGGAACCGTACTGTTCTTGAGGTTTATCAATCCCGCTATAGGTAAGAGGACGCTCATACTCTACTTCAAGTATGAAGGTCGCAGACGGAGTGAAGTGGTCATTGGACACCATGAGAGAGAGTGAGAGAGAAAGAAAAAAAAAAGAGAGAGAGGCTACATTATTGCACACCAAAACATCATTAATATGAAAAATCGACCAACAGGCAGATATAACTCATAAATAAACGTTCTTGTCGCTAAAAAAGCTCGGTGAGATAATTAACCCACAGACCCACTGAGTTTCCCGTCGGATCTTCTCCGTGGGTTGCATTTTGGATCCGGTGGCAGATTCTGCGGAGCACGGCTCTTGCTAGAGTCCGTGTTAGTAACACTCCCCGTTTGAGCCCCGTGAGCTCACCTACTAGCCCGGTGACGCTGATATGGTCTCTCAAGACCATCAGCTTAGATAGGAAAAAATATATATTGGCCTCTCCAATCGATTTCCAGTGCGGCCGGTCTGTTGCCACCTGCTTACAATGTGACCGCATTTTGACCAGGTCGCCCGTCCGTTTGGTAGGTGGCCGTGCCATATTGCGCTTGGCACTGCGTGGTCTCCTCTCAACCTCTGCCCTAGACAATAGAACGGTCAATCACTGATAGGCTTAACATTCCACACGTGTGTGCCCTCCGCGGCTACCTGACCAGTACCGCACGACTGTTCGCAGTGTCGCCGCAAGAGATGGGCATAGTCTGCCGTCCCGTTCCCTCCGCGTTCAAGCGGGGCCTCATGCTGATGTCGAAGATCCTGCAGAACATCGCGAACCACGTCGAGTTCTCTAAAGAGCAGCACATGCTGCCCTTCAACCACTTCCTAAGGGCCCACTTCGAGCCAGGCAGGAAGTAAGGATGCCCTTCTGATGGATAGGCATGGGGGCATTGGTACTTGGTGTTCGTAGTCAGGTGGTCGTCTTTGTAGCGCCTCTATCTCGTATTGGCACTTCGGCCGTGAAACGGCAACGTCATTCGAAAATGGACATTAAAAAGAGACAGCTATATAAGTCTATTGAATTTAGTTAGCGAAAGAATTTTGAGGTTTTTTTTATTGCCTGTTGTTGGCAGACGAACATACGGCCCACCTGATGGTGAGCGGTTACCGTCGCCCATGGACTTCAGCAATGCTAGGGGCAGAGCCAAGCCGCTGCCTGTTCACCCATTTAAGCAATAGATTAATTACACACTAGGCGAACGAGCTTACCATAACGTTGACTGAATACTCGCGTGACGCAGGTTCTTCATCCAAATAGCGTCGGACTGCGAGAGCGTGGACCAGAGCTCGCACAGCCTGTCCTTCATCAGCGACGCCAACGTGCTGGCGCTGCACCGCCTGCTGTGGAACCACCAGGAGCGCATCGGCGACTACCTGTCCTGCAGCCGCGACCACAAGGCCGTGGGGAGACGACCCTTCGACAAGGTCACCCAAAGAAACTGAGGGTTTTTGATTATTACTGTAGTTAACAGTAGTAACAATATCTTAGTTACACAATAAATAATTGAGACTATACCGAGACTGGTTNACGTGCTGGCGCTGCACCGCCTGCTGTGGAACCACCAGGAGCGCATCGGCGACTACCTGTCCTGCAGCCGCGACCACAAGGCCGTGGGGAGACGACCCTTCGACAAGGTCACCCAAAGAAACTGAGGGTTTTTGATTATTACTGTAGTTAACAGTAGTAACAATATCTTAGTTACACAATAAATAATTGAGACTATACCGAGACTGGTTCGCGCCAGAACTGAACAAGAAACTAATGTCCCATTCTTAGAGGTCATTTTACCCCCCACTGTTGATTTTTGAAATGGTGGTAATTTAGCAGAGTGGGCTACCACAGAGACTTACTAGACGGGTTCTCGCATCGATTGGCAGACAGACCGATATAAGCTAAGGATCCTCTGACTGGACTCTGACGGACTGAGAATTTCATCCTTAAGTCAGTCAATATACAGCTTACTTTACATTTTAAGAGTATCAATTCTAATATACCACTTTGTCCTGCCAATTCGTTGGTCTTCTTAATAAATAGTTGCCTGGAAGAGATTGCTTTAAGCGATAAGACCGCTTGAGCCGCATTCTTCGTCTCATTATAATATTTCCTGCTATGGGCATAGTCGGATAAATAAATAAAGGTTAACACGCCATCGCTAAAACGCGTCTACCTCTGTTCCAGATGGCGACACTGTTGGCTTACCTGGGCCCGCCTGAGCATAAGCCAGTCGAATCGTATGTATAAATAACCCTTTATTCCATAAGATCTTGAAAAAAAATCCAGATCATCATCAGATATGAGCTCGATTGTTGGCTGCGAATGACAGCTCACTATACGCCATAAAGTACGCCTTGCTTGATAATTGACCTCCACCGGGACTATTTGGCGGGAACGCGAGGAGTGAAGTTGTGTGATTTGTTTTATTTTGTCTATTTAGTGGTTCTTTAGGTTTAAATGCGTAATAACGGTAGTTTATTAACTGCTTAGTATAACTATGAAAGTGCACAAATGTGGGAAAATAAAACAAAGCCACTGAACGTAAATTCTCGGGATCCTCCAAAAAGTCCACTGAAAAAGTCTAAGTAAATGACCACCAGTGAATCTAAATGATCACATTGAGAATATATTTCATCCCATCATATCATCTCATTTCATTTCATTTCATATCATATCAATCCATATTATCATTTTTCATAAAAATAAGAATATAAATTAAATTAAGACATGACCTAAATAAAGGTCTTAGTTACCAGGTCATAAAATCCCTTAGAGAGTAGTGACCTCCACCGGCTTCTATGTTAATGAACTCTGAATGAAAGGGGAGTATTCTGAACGTCACCCCCCTCTTCTGCATTTCCAGTTCATCCGGCCTCCTGTTCTCGTCCTACGCCCGCTGGTCCTCGATCGACATTTCGTCGACCAACTTCGAGGAGTTCATAGTGAAGCACAACATGCACAAGAAGGAGGAGTTCAAGAGCATAAAGAGCATGAACATCTTCTACCAGGCCGGCACCAGCAGGCAGGGCAACCCCGTCTTCTACTTCATATCCAGGCGCTACAAGTAAGCACCGACGAACTACCATAGCATCATCATTTATTGAAATTTGGAAGTTGGAGAGGGAGAGAGAGAGAGAGAGAGAGAGAGAGAATAACACTTTATTGCACACCAAAACACAATTTACATTCAAAAAACAGTCAAAAAGTAGATCATTTGTACAATAGGCGGTCTTATCCCTAAAAGCGATCTCTTCCGGACAACCGTTTAATTATTCGAGGAATTATTTGAGATGATACTATAATCTAGATTTTACTATCGCACCGCCCGCCGTTGGAGTAGAGTTCATCCATACTACCTGAAGCCACTGCGGTCATCCACAGGACGCTTCCAGAAGTTTTTTTTGCCACGTACCATCCGGCTATGGAATGAGCTCCCCTCCACGGTGTTTCCTGAGCGCTATGACATGTCCTTCTTCAAACGAGGCTTGTGGAGAGTATTAAGCGGTAGGCAGCGGCTTGGCTCTGCCCCTGGCATTGCTGAAGTCCATGGGCGACGGTAACCACTCACCATCAGGTGAGCCCTATGCTCGTCTATCTACAAGGGCAATAAAAAAAGTAATCAAATAAAAAGAAACTGCTATCAATAAAACTGGGATCTACAAAGAATCCAATCTAACACTAACGTAGTCAATTGTCGGGCAGCTGCTCCCGGATTGGCGACATGAACGCGGACCTGCTCATCTACCACGTGATCCTGACGCTCAAGTCCTTCTGCCAGCAGCCGTTCGAGGTGGTCGTCGACCTCACGCACACCAACTCGGAAAATAGGTTTAGGTAACATTTAGTATGAATGGCGTGCACATTATGGTTTGCGGGCTTGTTTGCGGCGAGAAGTGCGGGCGCGACAATTTTTTTTTGTTTTTTTTTTTTTTAAATTGCCTTTGTAAATTTAATACATAGAATAGAAGTTTTTAGATATTTGGATTAAAAGCATAAGTTTAAAACAAAGTCAAACACGTTTAATTTTTAAGAGCGCAAATAGTTTTGGCTTAAACAGCACAACATTATTAGCAATAATAGCTTTGAGCAAATTTTCGTTTTTTTTTGCCAGCTTTTGACATAGGGCTGACTCAAAACTTTATTTTTAATTAAACACATTCAATATAGACATTTCGTATACTCAATTAAATTAGAGTAGATTTAAAATTATTTTAGACGCAGTCAACTTTTTATTAACATTTTCAAGGACCTCATTGTTCCCAAGTGTATTTTTTTATTATTAAAATAAAATTTAATAAATTAATTTATTNTTTTTTGCCAGCTTTTGACATAGGGCTGACTCAAAACTTTATTTTTAATTAAACACATTCAATATAGACATTTCGTATACTCAATTAAATTAGAGTAGATTTAAAATTATTTTAGACGCAGTCAACTTTTTATTAACATTTTCAAGGACCTCATTGTTCCCAAGTGTATTTTTTTATTATTAAAATAAAATTTAATAAATTAATTTATTGAGTTTGTGTTCCTAGTTTTTGAATTGTAAAAAAGTTGTTTATGTTGTATTATATTTGTACATAACGCGTTGTATGGGGTCCTACAACGCGGTTTCTATAACGCGGAATCTATCTACCGTGTTATAAAGGTATTACTGTGTATCGGTTCGCGGCTACCATACGGGTAATTCTGATTGCGAACCAATGTGCTCAGTGCGACAATTTGTATGGAGTTGGAACGTTTGCCTACATTTGCCGCTAGGGGCGCTGTTCCAACTCCATACAAATTTGAGTTAACTTTTACGCTAGCGAGAACGTTAACAAACTCGCACAAAGCACACAGACGAGTGTATATATGCGATTTATGTAAATTAATTTAACCATCTAAATATAGAAATTTCTAGACTGTTTTTTTGTTTTCGTGTGTTGCAGAACCGATTTCTTGCAGAAGTGGTTCACTGTTCTCCCTGAAGTAGCGTATACGAATGTCCACGCCGTCTACATATACAACTGCAACAACTGGGTCAGGGAGTACACAAAGTTCCACGAGACGATCTTGGTTCCGCTGAGGGTGAGCACCGATGAGTTTCGTACTGTTTTGATACTGTCTGGCTCCTAGCTTTGCTTCCATCATCAGTTTTCCCGAATAGCATCAGTACTCATGATCCTTTATTAGAGACAAATCTCCTCCTATCCAGCTAGTCCTATTCCTAACTCCAAACAGACACGTCATTGTCGTCATAATTCTTTATAACTTCTATTTTGATTATCAAAATAGTTTTTTAAAAATATTTTTTCTCAATTCCGTATAACAATACGTTTCAGTGGGCAATTTGAAATGAAAGGGCAGGTGTGCGCACTCGTGAGCATACAGCAATAGGTGCGGATGATTTTAGAAAAAAATATATATACATGAACTGACCGAATAAACACTTACCGTCCTGTCTTAATTGGCAGTGATTCTCAATAGACAATTCTAATTTTCAGATAATAATTTAGACTCACTTTTATGATTTGTCAGACCAGTGCATAAAGACTAGTCGAAATAAAAATTTCACCTACCCTCATTTTCAGAATCACCGCAAACTAGTGTTTATCGATAATTTAGCGAAGCTCTGCGATTATATCGATATGGAACAGCAGAGGCTACCGGGCGCGACCCTAGCGCTCGAAGAAGACCTGAAGGTGTTCAACAACGCTCTCAAACTCTCCCACAAAGACACCAGAGTGGCCATCAAGGTTAGTGGCTTAACATTAAAAAAAAACTTTGTTATCAAAATATTTTTACACGCTCAAGATTTTAGTTAATCAAAGCGCTTTATATGCCTTTTTCGCAAATACATACGTGAAAAGCTAACAAGGAAATAGACAATGAAAATGCTTAGTTTAATAAAAAAAAATCGACAACGGTATTCTACACAATTGTACTTGGTATATAGTTTTATATAGCTATATTCTTATCGTCAAGATTTATCGCTGCGTTCAAGCTGTGTTGCCCATGGGCTCTTGTAGCCGCTTAATATCAGTTGAATCCGGCTGAACTGTCTGCCCAATGCAGCAGTAATAGTATTCATTCTCCTGCCCTTCTCCCAGTCACCTGGGGTCGGCGCAACATGTTTTCTCCTTCCATACTCCTCTATCATATACCATTTCTTCGCTCACTCCCCTCTTACACATATCGTCTTTCACGCAATCCAATCATTTCTGCTTAGTTCTACCTCTTCCTCTAAAGCCTTCCACTTAGATAAAACTCTCTTAATAACTTAATTTTCATTTCGTCTCATCACATGTTCATATCATCCCAAACGCGCACTCCTCAACTTCTCTGTCTCAGGTGCCACTTTCAGACTTCCTCTAACATATAGCAATACTAATGATACTAATACTAATGATATTTTTGTTCTTGATCAGGTCGGTCCCACAGCTCTGCAAATATGCGCCATAGAGAAGACGAAAGTGTTGGGACATCCGGCAATACTGAACGACGTTTATTACGCGTCCGAAATAGACGAGGTAATGATACTCCCTCTCAAATGTTTTAGTGATGAGAGTCTTGTCGATATGTCGTCCTATCGTCGTTATGTCGACCTATCGTTGCCATGTCGACCTATCGTCGTTATGTCGACCAACCGTCGTTATGTCGAGCTATTGTTGCTATGTCGACCTATCTTCGCTATGTCGACCTACCGTCGTTATGTCGACCTAACGTCGCAATATCGACCTATTGTCTCTAAGTTAACCGATCGTCGATGTTTCGACTGTTCGTCACAATATCGACCTATCATCGCTATGTCAACCGCTCATCGCAAAATCGACCTGTTTTGTTGACCAGACGGTTCATTTGAGAAATCTCGTGATGAGCATGAGTTGCAATTGGGTTTTACATACCCGAATTATAGAAAGTAAACAATGTACAATACAGACGACAAAAGCATCTTTTTATTCGGGGAAAATCGAGTTTTGTGATTTAATACTCGAACGTAAGACGACGTTGCTCTGACGTCACCGATGACGTCACGCCGTCTGACGTCGGTCCCGGCCGCGCAGGTGTGCCTCGTGGACGACAACCAGTTCTCGCTGTCGATCATCAACGAGCCGGCGCCTCTCAGCTTCATCCACAACGACTGCGACAACATCGTCCAGTCGATAATACACATCAGGAACCGGTGGGAGCTGAGCCAGCCGGTACGTATCCGCTGTCCTTATGGTGTTTTTTTTATTGCTTAGGTGGCTGGACGAGCTCACAGCCCACCTGGTGTTAAGTGGTTACTGGAGCCCATAGACATCTACGACGTAAATGCGCCACCCACCTTGAGATATAAGTTCTAAGGTCTCAGTAAAGTTAAAAAAATGTGTGCGTGTACTAGTGTACACACGTAAGAAGTGAAACTTGTTTATGGCCTTATTTTTCGAAAAATGATCTACATGCAACTTTCTAGAAATTGGTTAAATAAAGTTAAATTAGATAAAGTTTAAACAAAAGGATTTTATTATCATAGACATGAATACAAAAAAGTTAAATTAGATAAAGTTTAAACAANATGTCGACCTATCGTCGTTATGTCGTCCTATTGTTGCTATGTCGACCTATTGTTGCTATGTCGACCTATTGTTGCTATGTCGACCTATCATCGTTATGTCGACCTATTGTTGCTATGTCGACCTATCGTCGTTATGTCGACCTATTGTTGCTATGTCGACCTATCGTCGTTATGTCGTCCTATTGTTGCTATGTCGACCTATTGTTGCTATGTCGACCTATTGTTGCTATGTCGACCTATCATCGTTATGTCGACCTATTGTCGTTATGTCGACCTGTCGTTGCTGTGTCAACCTATTTTGTCGACCAGACGGATCATTTGGGAAATCTCGTGATGAGCAAGAGTTCCAATTTTGTATTATATACCCGAATAATAGAAAGTAAACAATTTAAGACACTAGCATCTTTTATTCGGGGAAAAGCGGGTTACGTAATTTAATACTCGAACGTAAGACGACGTTGGTCTGACGTCACCGATGACGTCACGCCGTCTGACATCGGTCCCGGCCGCGCAGGTGTGCCTCGTGGACGATAACCAGTTCTCGCTGTCGATCATCAACGAGCCGGCGCCGCTCAGCTTCATCCACAACGACTGCGACAACATCGTCCAGTCGATAATACACATCAGGAACCGGTGGGAGCTGAGCCAGCCGGTACGTATCCACTGTCCTTATGGTGTTTTTTTTATTGCTTAGGTGGCTGGACGAGCTCACGGCCCACCTGGTTACTGGACCCCATAGACACCTACAACGTAAATGCCGCCACCCACATTGAGATATGAGTTCTAAGGTCTCAGTAAAGTTAAAACAACTGCCCCGCCCTTCAAACCGAAACGCATTACTGCTTCACGGCAGTAATAGGCAGGGTAATGTGGTACCTACCCGCGGGGACTTATAAGAGGTTCTACCAGCAGTGCTGCCAAGCTCTCGACAGTACCAACTGTCCTTATGGTATAGATGTGGTCCAAGCTGGTGGTTGCGTGTGGGTGGCAATTGCTGTCAGTGCTGCCAAATTCTGGATAGTACCGTTCTCGAACTAGGCTGAAGGTAGTACACTGCAATCCACCTCGAGATACGAGATATGGTATTATCGAAATCTCAATTGTATTGGATATGGTTGTTCTTATCTTCGAACTGGTACGCACGGCTCCTTCGCCGTAAAAATAGTAAATTCTATATCTGCCAAAAAGTAATCACGCGTTCCGTTTTTGAAGGACACGCCGAGCACTGTTTATATTAATAATAACATAACAACTGGGAACAAATCACGCAGCCATTCGGCCTGGACACAAAATTGCCTGTGTAATGTCAATCAGAGACTGACATACATATTTATATGCGTTTAAATGTATACACATATAGATAATAAACATCCAGACAAAGAGCAAACAAACCTGCTCATCACACAATATTTGTCCCATCTGGGAATCGAACCCACGACCCTTGGCGCAAAAGTCAGGACCGCTAAATACTGCACCATCGAATTTGTCGTTTATCGAGTGTGTTAAAAAAAACGCAATGTAATACACGCTTACATGTCGGGTCATTGATCCCGCCAATTTTGCATTACGTTGCTCGTTCGCGTAACTATTAACTAAAACGATAAATATTGTATTCTTGAAACAATAGTTAATCGATATTGCTTGTTACCGTTTTGGGAATATGGTATGTTGAATGAACGAACTCCCCTCCACGGTGTTTCCCGAGCGCTATGACATGTCCTTCTTCAAACTAGGCTTGCGGAAATTACTTAACGGTAGGCAGCGGCTTGTCTCTGCGCCTGGCATTGGTGAAGTCCGTGGGCGATGGAAACCACTGACCATGAGGTAGGTCGTATGCTCGTCTGCCCACAAAGGCAATAAAAATAAATAAATAAAGAAGTTGCGTATACATTTAGACAGCAGTTTAGATTAGACGTAACTTCAATAAAAGCTTTTTTTTAATTATTACAACCAGTGTGCTTAGTGCGAGTTTTGTAAAGTTCTCTATAGCGTAAAAGTTAGTTCATATTTGTATGGAATGGGATCATTGCGTACGTTTTTTTTTTTTTTTTTATTGCTTTGGTGTGTGGACGAGCTCACAGCCCACCTGATGTTAAGTGGTTACTGGAGCCCATAGATATCTACAACGTAAATACGCCACACACCACACGTTTACCGCTAGAGGCGCTATTCCAGTTGCATACAAAGTTGGCTTAACTTTTACGCTAACGAGAACGTTAAGAAACTCGCAATAAGCACACTGAGCTGTCGAAATTCGAGTCAGATAACATAAATGTGTCGTTACAATATTTACCGACAAAACTAGATAAGATTTTGGGCGACATCAATTAATTTTTTCCGCACAGGACACGGTGACGGTACATCAGAAGATCCGTCCCAAGGACGTCCCGGGAACCCTGCTCAACATGGCCCTGCTGAACCTGGGCTCGTCTGACCCGAACCTGAGGACGGCGGCTTACAATCAGCTGTGCGCTCTCACGGCGACCTTCCACTTGAAGATCGAAGGGCAGCTACTGGAAACTTCGGGTATTTTATCTCGCTAATCCTATAGCAATCTTTATTACTAAATGTATGAAAGGCGCCATGTTGTTTTTTAAAACATGTTTTTTTTTTTTTTTTTATTTATACTTATTGTACACAAAAAAGAAAATACAATAAAAACAGAATTAAAAGAATGTCTAAATACTATGTACAAAGGCGAGCTTAACTCATTCATGAGTTTTCTTCCAGCAAACAATTAGCAGAGAGAAATACGATGTATAAGAGGGGAAAAGTGTACAATATAAAAGGCATTACAGAATAACTGTTAAATAAGGTTTAAAAAAAAATACACAACCATTATGACACAAATAAATGCGCAATATATCTAATATAAAATGAAAAATACATATAAATAAACATACATAAAACAATAACTTAAATACAATTAAAGTAACAGGAAATGTTTCTTCATTTGACTCTTAAAAACTTCTAGAGAGGAACTAGCACGAATAGGTTGAGGGAGAGAATTCCATAATCGCACTGCTTGTATTGTGAAAGAGCCACTATAGCGACTAGAGCTGTGTATGGGAGTTTTNAATATAAAATGAAAAATACATATAAATAAACATACATAAAACAATAACTTAAATACAATTAAAGTAACAGGAAATGTTTCTTCATTTGACTCTTAAAAACTTCTAGAGAGGAACTAGCACGAATAGGTTGAGGGAGAGAATTCCATAATCGCACTGCTTGTATTGTGAAAGAGCCACTATAGCGACTAGAGCTGTGTATGGGAGTTTTTAAAAGAAGAGAAGTGGCTTGTCGACTAACTTTGCCGTCAGGAATCAGATATTCAAAGCATCAGCAATGTTGCCTTCTTTTAATGTCTTTATATTATTTCTGGCGTTACAAATATTATACAGTTGTAATCGATCGAAATATCGACGGATGACGTGTTATCCGTCGATATTTGAATATGGTGACAAGTACCGTCATTTTTCTTTAAAAAAACAAAAACTTATAGATTTTTACTTTTAGTTTCATGAGAAATTGCATGAGTCTGGGACAAACTCAAAATTCAATTGTAAACTTATTACGGTTAAAATCATGTGAACGATTTTTAATTGTTTGCCAATAGGGTTGTGCATTCCGTCGAATAATACAATATTTATAAAGTCGGTGAGCGAGAAGCTGGCCCACAACGAGCCACACTTGACCCTGGAGTTCCTCGAGGAGTGCATACAGGTACGTTAGAGGTTGGGGCCAAGGGTCCGAGGGGTATTTTTTTAAGACTTCTGTGTAGACAAGCATACGGCCTACGCGATACTGAATTATCAGCGATGCCAGGAGTACCAGCCAATTTGCTACTTATTGAGGATTCTCCACACACCCCAGAAAATGCTGTGGAGGGATTTCATTCCAAGGTCGGAGTCTCTGGAAACCGTTTAGCATCCTGTGCACGAGTCAGAGAAAATAAAATAAAGTCGACGCGGACGTGCCTTCACTGATTCTTCCAAAAAGTTCACAGATGTCTCAGTAGATAACCACGATTTTACTGAATCTTTATTCCATCCCAGTTCCTTTAATTTCATCTCAATTAATTAAAGTCTCAAACAAGCCAACTTACTCTCATTTAATATGTATGTATTTAATGATTGAAGATTTTTACAAACTAGACACTGGCAACATCAGCGTCGCAAGAAGCCGATTGCCATACTAAAAAATAAGATGAATGTCTGCTTCCATATTTTTTAAGTCACAGTTTGACAATGAGTGCCACATCTAGTAATGTGTATACTCTGTGCGGCGCCTTCGCAGGGCTTCAGGGGCTCCACGATTGAACTGAAGCATTTGTGCCTCGAGTACATGACGCCATGGCTGGCTAATTTAGTCAGGTACGTCATAACTTAGCAAATTGTCACGCAAATATGCGCCTTAAGTGTATAGTCGTAAGGGTGTCTATGGCATAAAGTTTACGAGCTTATGATCCACTTTGTGTTACCAGAGCCTGTAGATATCAATAATTATGAGTGAATTATGAGTGAACAAAGATAATGGAACCTAAGGTATTAGGTATAAGGTATTTAATAAAATACAAACATACAAATAAATTACAAATCAGACCTAAATCATCCTAAGAGTGAAATTCTAAAATTGCATTTAATTATTTTGCGATTGATAAATAAGATAATTTCAAGATAAGGTAGAGGGGGAAGAGGTCGACCGAAGAAGACATGGATGGAGTGTGTGAATGACGATATGAGAGAGAGAGGAGTGAGGGTTGAGATGACGGCTAATAGAGGAGAATTGAATAGAAAAATTTGCTGTGCCGACCCCACCTAGTGGGATAAGGTGTAGAAAACTGCGGTAGGTACTGAGTGAGGTCTGCACTGGTGGTAGGATCTCTTGTGAGTCCGCACGGGTAGGTTCCACCACCCCGCTTATTTCTGCCGTGAAGCAGTAATGCGTTTCGATTTGAAGGGTGGGGCAGCCGTTGTAACTATACTTGAGACCTTAGAACTTATATCTCAAGGTGGGTGGCGCATTTACGCTGTAGATGTCTATGGGCTCCCGTTACCACTTAACACCAGGTAGGCTGTGAGCTCGTCCACCCATCTAAGCTATAAAAAAAAGAAGAAGAAGAAATAAGATAATTTCAGTATTGAAGTTTGAACTCGCGCGCTCTAGATTCGTGAAGCCGACAGAAGATTCGCGACGTCAGAAACAGGTCGCCCAAATCCTGGAGAAGCTGATCACGTTGACCATCGAGGAGACCGAGATGTACCCGTCCGTCCAGGCCAAGATATGGGGCTCCATAGGCCAGGTGCCGGAGCTCATAGACATGGTACTGGACAGCTTTATGCAAAGAAGCGTCAACTCCGGTGAGCTTGTGTATGCATGTGACGGAATCTTTGAACGACTTGGAAACTCAAGATTTGAGGATGACACAATTTTTTTCTATTTGATTTTTTATTCAAACAGTTTACATTCGTTTGCCGCTAGGGGCGCTGTTTTAAGTCCATACAAATTTGAGTTAACTTTTATGCGATCGAGAACGTTAAAAAATTCGCACTAAGCTCATTGATCGATATCAAAAGGATGGAAAAAAAGAAAGATAAACTTAATTTTTTATATCGGTTATGCTATTTAAACGGTTTTTTTGTTGTTGTTGTCGTAAAATATCTACAATAATGCTGTGTAATAATAGTGCTGCCATCTAGTATGAATGTATGTGAAACTTTAATATAAAACTCTCTCTTTTGTTCTCTCTTACTGGTGCTAGGACCTCTTGTGAGTCCGCACGGGTAGGTACCACCGCCCTGCCTATTTCTGCCGTGAAGCAGTAATGGGTTTCGGTTTGAAGGGCGGGGCAGCCGTTGTAACAATACTGAGACTTTAGAACTCATATCTCAAGATGGGTGGCGGCATTTACGTTGTAGATGTCCATGGGCTCCGGTAACCCTTAACACCGGGTGGGCCGTGAGCTCGTCCACCCATCTATGCAATAATAATAATATCGAACACGTTTTATTAATAGTTGTTAAATCACGTAATAAGGTATGATTGTAGGTTTGGGTTCTCCTATGATCGAGATAATGGCGGACACCGCTGTGGCGCTGGCGTCGGCCAACGTTCAACTTGTATCGAAAAAAGTCATCGGTAGAATGTGCCGCGTAAGTAATCCTCAGAGTCGACTCGACTCAACCTCACTCGAGAATCCTCGAGATTATAATAATAGTAATAATAATTGGGAACGAATCACACACGGTCAACCGACCTCAAATTAGCATTACCTCTGTGTTAAGGCTATCAGAGACTGACAAACATGCGTTTAAATATATATATACATATTATATAGCTAATATATACCCAAAAAAAAACTAGAGTCAAAAATAGCGGCGATAATCTCTATCTTACAACTCGAACTCGCTTTTTTTTAATTTTATTTTTTATTTGCCACATTTTTTTCTGTATTTTTGTTTTTCTCCATCCTATCGCAGGCCCTTACCAAACTGCCAAATAACGTTCTGGGTCCGGTGACACCGGCTACCGTGAGTTCCTTATTTATTTTTATTTGTTTATGTTAATTTTATTTTCTTCAATATATCCTTTTTTTAATTTTTTTTTATTGCCGTATAAGCAGACGAGCATAAGACCCACCTGATGGTGAGTGGTTATCGTCGCCCATGGACTTCAGCAATGCCAGGGGCAGAGTCAACTCGCTGCCTACCGTTTAATACTTTACCTTATCCCAATAGTTGGGGTCGCCACAGCGTATTTTGCTCTTCCATTCTCCTCTATCAGCCGTCAGCTCAACACTCAACACTCACTCCTCTCCTTCTCATATCGTCATTCACACACTCCATCTATGTCTTCTTCGGTCGACCTCTTCCCCCTCTACCTTGCACTACCATTTCCATACATCAAAATATAATGTATTTTTTATAAGGTAGGCAACAAATTCAATAGTAAGAATTAATAAATATCCCACAAAAAAAGTATACTGTTGGTCATCGTTAAAGAAAAAAGAATTCAACGTTTTGGAGGGTATATTAACATAATCTAGTTCTTCATAACTCGCTTGACGCAGTGTCCATAGTTTTGGGCAGGATATCAGAAAACTGAAACTTCCAATAACTTTGTCTGAATGAGTTTACCATAAATTCTGATTACACATTCAATACGTCACCATTCGCGGTTATCTCTTAATTATATTTTTGGTCACTGTATTTTTTTTTTTGTTATTCTCATAATTATTATTCCTTTTTTTGTGTACATTAGTAGATGTCTTATATATGTCTAGGAGCTCCGGTGACCACTTAACACGTGAATGCAATAAATAAATAAATACCTGAGTGAAGGCGGTCGCGCGGTGATGCCCGCAGACTAGTCTCAACGGCGACCACTGTAGAACCACCAGTAAACCCAGACGTCTATTTCAGGTGGTCGACAAAACCTGCCACTCCCCAACCGCGATGCTCGAGCAACACATGATGTGGGATGACATCGCCATATTGGCTAGATACCTGGTGATTATTACGTGTAGTTTCATAGTTCACAGCCCTGTTTATATCAAAAGACGATTCATTCACGGTAAGGAATGCTTGATAGCTCGTTTGATATGGGACGTGGACAACATTGTGGATGGAAGCCGACTACAGAATTGGACTTAGCGGAGAATAATGGTATCTGTTGTATAAACAAGGTTTGTTGAATTAAATTTATTCCCAGAAAACTAAACCGACTAAAAAGGGGGAAGGTACTCACAAAGGCTTGCTTGATATATTTTGTGGTCTTCTGTCCCCGGGGCATTGTTCTGAATGCTGGAGTTTAAGACACACGGACACACGCACAAGTTGAATAGCAAAGTTTGCGAAAAACAGTATTTTTGAATTAAATAGACTTTTTAATGTTGCGCGTGCGGTGCAAAAACGGAATTTTAGTCGGTTCCCTAACAGTATCTAATAGCACATTGAACGCATGGTTCACTTCTGTATCGTTCCGTCACTGCTGATCGCGACCACATGTGACGTTCCGATTTCGATATGGTAGTAGAATCAGCAAAGCACTGCTCTTGCTAAGGTTGGTGTTAGCGATTCTCTCAGGTTGAGCCCCTGAGCTCACCTACCGGTCTGTGCCAAGTTAGAACAGCCCTTTAGGCTACCAATGATTAGGTAGAGAAAAAAAAGTAATCTGCCATCAAAAACGATTTGTCGTACTGCTTCACTCTTTTTGAATGTCATTATCATTGTGATTACAAGACATCTAAACTAGTGCTTAATTGCATTATCAGTTTGTTCTTTGATAAATATTTAAAATCGATATGGAAAAGTTAAATGTAAATTAATTAAAAACATGTTAAATTATTGAGGTTATACAATTGGCCGAGCATACTCAACGAACTTAAACGTATATTAAAAAAAAAAAAAAAACATGTGTGCAATTCACACGTGGTAGAAGTGAAACCTTCCAAAATTAAAATACAATTATCCTAAACGTCTTAAGTATATGTAAAATGTTGTCATTAGTAAATAATTGTAAGGTAGCGCCCTCTGTGAATTGATATTTTAATTTCACGTATAATCCTAAATTAAAATTCACTACAAGAGCTTTCATACACANCAAATTATAATTTTGCGGGTTTCATTTTATTACACGATGTTTTTCCTTCACCGTGGAGGTCAATCGTGAACATTTGTTGAGTACGTATTTCATTAGAAAAATTGGTACCCGCCAGCGGGATTCGAACATCGGTGCATCTATACACACGAATGCACCGGACGTCTTATCCTTTAGGCCACGACGACTTCATATAGAGCTGGCATAACGATATTTCGTTACGTGACGATTTCCATCATCAACTACCGCGAGCCCTAATAAGAAACATCGTTACGAAAATAAATCATCATCGCTTCATCATGTTTTTGTTGACGGCATCCATATATCAAAACAACCAGAACCGCCACTTGTGTGCTTAGTGCGAGTTCTTTAACGTTCTCGATATCGTAAAAGTTAACTCCAATATGTATGGAGTTGAAACAGCGCCCCTAGCGGCAAACGTAGCAAACGTTTCAGCTCCATACAAATATGAGTTAACTTTTACGTTATCGAGAACGTTAAAAAATTCGCATTGGTCTTCGTTTTTTAATACGACACCCTTACATCCTTAGTCACCGCATGTCCTGTCTTCCAGCTGATGTTATCGTTCAACAACTGTCTGGACGTGGCCCGCCACCTACCCTACCTGTTCCACACGGTCACGTTCCTCGTGTGCTCAGGGACCGTCTCGATGAGGGCCTCAACCCACGGCCTGGTCATCAACATCATCCATTCGCTGTGCACTTGCACAACGCCAAGCTTTAGCGGTGAGGGTTTCAAATGTCATTCGTATGGACTTATTAATGTGAGGATCTCATATCGTCGATGAAGTGCCAATAACTCCTAACTGATGTTTTTATTGCTTAGATAGGTGGACGAGCTCACAGACCACCTGATGTTAAGTGGTTACTGGAACCCATAGACATCTACAACGTAAATGCCGCCACCCACCTTGAGATATGAGTTCTAAGGTCTCAGTATAGTTACAAGGGCTACCCCACCCTTCAAACCGAAACGCATTACTGCTTCACGGCAGAAATAGGCAGGGCGGTGGTGCCTACCCGCGCGGACTCACAAGAGGTCCTACCACCAGTAAAGAATCCTGTCCAATCCTGACACATACCTACCATATAAGCTAACCGATGTTCACAAACGATAACGCTAACCTTAATTCCCATGTACAGAGGAGACGCAGCGCGTATTGAAGCGTTCTCTCGACGAGTTCGCGCTGCCGCTGTTCTATCAGATGTTCGGAATATCGAAAGTGAAGTCAGCAGCCGTCACGGCGTTCAGGAGCCCGTATTACAGACACACCCACGATTGGTGAGTTTTAGTTTTATTTTTATAAATGGAAAGGCAAAGGTATCACACCATACAGCCTAATCTTTTATATATATATTTTTTTTATGAAATATTATATTATGAAATGAAATGAAGCTGATTAATTTAATATGAAAAATGGCATGGCATGAAATGAATTGAAATGAGATGAGATGATATGGGATATTTTTATGAAAAATGATAATATGGAGTGAAATGAAATGAAGAATTTGAGACATTAATCAACAGGGATGAAATTAAATGAAATGAGATGAGATGATATGGGATAAAATATAATCTCAGTAAAATGGTGGTTATTTACGGAGACATTTTCAGTGGTCTGTTTGAAGGATCCCGAGAAGTTACGTCCAGCGGCTTTGTTTTATTTTCCTACATTTGTGCAACCCACTGAGTTTCTCGCCGGATCTTCTCAGTGGGTCGCGTTTCCGATCCGGTGATAGATTCTGCGAAGCACTGCTCTTGCTAGGGCCAGGGTTAGCAACGTCGTCAGGTTTGAGCCCCGTGAGCTCAGTTAAGGTTACGCTGAAATAGCCTCTCAAGACTATCAGCTTAGGTAGGTAAAAAAATGCAAGGGTCCTGTTGGATGTGTGGTCGGCGCAGGTACTCGGAGCCGACGTACGTGGGTTGCGAGTGGGGCGGGCTGACGGACCGCGAGCGGCTGCCGCTGCAGTCGCTGGAGACCATCGCCGACGCGCTGCTGGAGATCATGGAGGCCTGCATGCGGGACATCCCCGACTGCGACTGGCTTCACACCTGGTAACCTTGCAGATGCATGTAACCTCTATGACATAAATCTTAAAACAGGTTGTAATAAGTTATAGAGGTGACACAAATGGTATTTTGAATATTGAAACATTAGAAATATTGAAACTCTAGCCGTACTAGCTGGACATTTAAAATTAACATTATTATTTATTGTCGTTATTATTAGGGAGTCCAACAATCATATAAATATTAGCCTATCAATTAAGTACATGTATTTTCTACATGGATACCAAGTTTCAAGTCAATCGGGTGCACGGTTCAGTAGTTATAACCGAACATCCGTANTTGAATATTGAAACATTAGAAATATTGAAACTCTAGCCGTACTAGCTGGACATTTAAAATTAACATTATTATTTATTGTCGTTATTATTAGGGAGTCCAACAATCATATAAATATTAGCCTATCAATTAAGTACATGTATTTTCTACATGGATACCAAGTTTCAAGTCAATCGGGTGCACGGTTCAGTAGTTATAACCGAACATCCGTATTAACCACTAGATTTATATATTGGTATAGATAGATGAGAACTGGTGAAGCAATAGCTTTTTTAGATGTTTTGTCATAAATCATATTATAGAGGCTACATGCATATTGTGATACGTTTACAGGCAGCAGCTTGGCTCTGCCATTGGCATTGCTGATGAAGTCCATGGGCGACGGTAATCACTCACCATCAGGTGGGTCTGCCTATATGGGTCTGCCTACACGGGTTATAAAAGTAAAAAAAAAATATTTAACGCATTAACTGCTATGTAGGTCAACGGCGACCTACGCGACGCACAGAAATAAGCAATTATGTTGATTTTGTTACTACTTTGAAAACCACTGACTCCCCGAATACCGAATCGCTGGTGAAATCGTGAATGTTTAGGAATGCCGATAAAGGCGTGCCTGTTTTTTTTCTTCTGGAAAATTCTTTGATGCTCCCTTCCGATAACAGGACGAGTCTGGCGAAGAGTTTCGCGTTCTGCTTCAATCCGGCTCTCCAGCCGCGGGCGCTTATAGTCTTCGGCTGCATCAGTAAGTAGGACCAGCTATAATTGGACGATTTGACTTAATTTCATTAGAATTATATTACTAAGTGCGTAATTACTGGTGGTAGGACCTTTTGTGAGACCGCACCTGCCTATTTCTGCAGTGAAGCAGTGATGCGTTTCGATTCGAAGGGTGTGGCAGCCGTTATACTATAAGAACTGACATCTTTAAACTTATGTCTTAAGGTGAGCGGCAACTTTTACGTGACCACTTAACATCAGATGGGCCGTGAGATTGTCCAGCCATCTAAGCAATAAAACATAAATGTATACACCACGTATCTTATCTCAAGGTAAGACGGTAACGGACGACGAGATGAAGCAGCTGCTAAGGATATTGGTGAAGGCGCTGGAGTCGTTCAATGACCTGGCTCTGCTGGAAGCCATCATCATGTGCCTCACCAGGCTCCAGCCCCTGCTGCACCCCGTGAGTACACCGACAGGAGACCACCGAAATGTTATGCGGGGTCTCCCGATTAGGTTATTAAAAAAGAATTTTGAAAAAGAGATTTCACTTTTATTACTTCAATTACACAAACAATTAAATCATAGAAATTGGCAGAAAGGAGATATTGTTCAAGACCGCTCCCGATGGGTGACTGACTGAATACGACTGAGTGACTCTCGGTCGGTAACTGTTACCAAGAGATTTCCCACAATGTTTACTCAGCACCAGTGGTGATTGAAAGAGATGTATCATTACTTTAACTAACATGGGGAGTCTGCAACAGAAAGTCTGTAGCTGCTGCCGGAATCTTCAATTTCCATTTCCTTCCAAAATCTTCTTGATTCCTAGCTTACCAACAGTATGGCGTAATTAAAACTCCGTAGATTGGTAACAAACACTCGCTCAAACCTGCCGCGAAGCATTAGCGGGTACTATTGTGGGTAATATTGTCACTATGAGGAGTGTGGGCAACGGCATTTAGACTAAGATGGTCATAGTCTCTAATTACCACTGAATAACAGATATTCAGGTAGGCATATTAACCGTAATGCCTCGCGCGCCTTTCTCAAGGCGTAGTCTCCCGACAGGAATTGGAAGCAGAGAAGGACCTCAGTATTTCTCTTCTCCTTTTCTTCTCTGGAGGCGTCGGAGTCAGACCCGGTTTGTTACCCCCCCTCGACCGGATATCCGTATCCGTATAAACTTCACCTGAAGTTATTGGCTGCTGAAAGAGCATCGAATTGGAGAAGATGATATCTCTAGATAAGCCGTGAGCAACACCTTAGCTGTGGCAGTAACCACTCATCATAAAGTGGACCAAGTGCTCGTCTGCTGCAGCGGCTATGAGCAAAACTCCTAATGCCCTGCTGTTTCCAGGAGTCGTTAATCCACAAGGCGCTGTTCTGGGTGTCCCTGTCGGTGCTGCAGCTGGACGACCCCACCCTGTACGCGGCCGGCCTGGCACTCATGGAGCAGAACCTGCACACCTTGGACTCGCAAGGGCATTTCGAGGAGAAGGTGAGGTGGCTTGGTCAAAATTCCGTTCTGAAATGTACCGATCAGTGAACGTGTAGAGTCTTTGAGTAAACTTGTACCGGCTGCTTATAGGACCATTGAGGCATTTATGACTGGAAGGTGGGGCAGTCACTATACCATAGCTACAAAGAGAAAAATATGTTTGATTTTTTTATAACGCTTAGATGCTTTTTTTATGATTGAAGAATCACTGGTGGTCCTGAGGCCTTTCCAGGACAGGTGGATCAGCAAAGACTCAGCCAGGAGGGGTGGGATTTTCTAACAGCCGGCCGAGCGCCTCCGACGGAGACCTACGCTTAGATGTAGGACATACTTATGGACCACCTGGTCTCAAGTGGTTATCAGAATCCATAGAGAACGCGAATATCGCTAACCCCTTTCAGACATGAGGTCTAAAGCTTCAACTGTATTTTTAGCATCAAAAGTAAAAAAATGTATGAGCTTACATTATCATTGTCAATAGGCTCCGGTAACTATTTAACTGCATATATCTAAGCAATAGGAAATAAAAGGTTATACTAGTCACAGTGTTGACCTTGAATAGCCGAAATGAATATCAAAGGATCTACTACCGTCTAGAACGCTCGAGAAATACAACACCATCTATTATAAGATAACGAAAACACATATCGAAAATACTCGACTTATGAGGAATGTTCTCGATAATTTTAGAGATGTCGTCTCGACTATTAAAGCGTTGCAGAGATGGCATGCAGTCAGTCAGTAATCGGAACGAAGCGAAGCGGAAGTGAATTAAGAATTTTAAAGTGTTTTAAGTGTTCTAATTGTACTTCGGTATAAATTTTTATTAATCCCGAACCCCAGCGCGTAACAGTACTATAGTGGTTGAGGGATCGGAACATAATTGAGACATAAACTTATAGATATTTGTATTATTCCCAGACCCTGGAGCAGGTGATGATGGAGACGCGCGAGCCTCTGGAGTGGCACTTCAAGCAGATGGACCACGCTGTGGGACTGAGGTCGGGCTCTGTGCTTATATCGTATGAGGGGTATTGACTTGTGTGATGTAGGGTAGTTCAAAGAAATTTTGATGAAAATAAAAACGTGTGGTCTGAATATGAGACAGAGAGATAACTGCTCAGTGGGTCGCGTTTCCGATCCGGTGGTAGATTCTGCGAAGCACTGCTCTTGTTAGGATTAGTGTTAGCAACGTCGTCAGGTTTGAGCCCCGTGAGCCTACTGGCCTGGTGACGCATGGTCTCTCTAGACCAGGGATTCCCAAATTTATTTCGTCCACTGCCCACTTTGAGATAAATTATTTTTAGCGCCCTCATTTTTTCACCTACTTAAAAACCACTATGGCGAGAACTCATTCGTGTCTGAGTGAATTTATAAATGAAATTATAAATGGCCTGTATCCAACGCCCCCTTTTTTTCTCGGTCTCTTACCGCCCCCCTTTAGGCCCACAAGGGGGCGTTATCGCCCACTTTGGGAAATGCTGCTCTAGACCATCAGCTTAGGTAGAAAAAAGAGGGATAATGTGTGATGTCGTCGACAGCTTCCGCTCGAACTTCCACTTCGCGCTGGTGGGGCACCTGCTGAAGGGCTACCGGCACCCCGCCGCCGCCACCGCCACGCGCGCCGCCCGCGTGCTGGCCGCGCTGCTGGCGCTCACGGCGCGCCGCCTGCCCGACAAGTTCCTCGTCACTGCCGACACCGTCGCCTACCTCACCGGTACCCACCCACTCCTAGCTAGCTCTCTTCGAATCAATTGAAATCAAAAAAAATTGTGTGTGTGTGTGTGTGTGTGTGTGTGTGTGTGCAAGTCACACACGGTACGAAGTGAAACTTACAAGATATAGATATATTGACTATCCCACTACACAGTATACATATGGACAATGTTTAGTAGACGATAGTGGGGATGCTACGAAGAGTCGCACAAAGAGGAGACCGAGAACGTCTAATGTGTTCTATCTCATTCTCTCGCCGGCTGAATCCTGTACATTTATGTGTTTGTGTCTCTATGGACTTATTTTTTCGTTTCATCAAGTTTGAAAACACGACGATTCTAAAGAAGTTTCACTTCAAAAAAAAGAGAAAAAAAAGGTGGTAAATAAATAAATAAACTCATTAGTGTCCGGGCATGAGATCTCTCTCATCTGTGACCGTTTGGACCGCAGCGTCGGTGTGCGTGAGCGAGGAGGTCCGCTCGCGCTGCCACGTGAAGCACTCGCTGCCGAAGTGGCTGCCGGACAACTGCGACCACTACTGCCCCGGCGCAGAACACGTGCACGATGTGAGTCCTCCCCCCCCGCGCTCCCGTAGGGGGCACTCCATACCCCTGCACACCTACTATTGCGTCTATGCGAGAAAATGAATAAATGCGTTAACTTCTTCAAATACCCTTTATATTATTTTTAATTATTTTACAAAATAAAATTGACATGCGCGTCCATCTTTTTTCAAGAAAATATCGACAATTGGTGCCAGTATTGCGTTTCCTGATTTGTGATTGGTTCGTGCGATATGACGTCATCGTTGGCCAATCACAGCCATCAATGTTTGACGCGACGTTGATTCGTTAACACCTACGTCATCAGGTACTCAAGTTAATGAAACGTGTTGAAGTCCAGAGACATCATGTTGAGAAATTCCGTCACATAATTTTTTTTTATTGCCATTGTATGCAGACGCGTTAACGTTTTTTTTTGCCCCTGCAAGCCGACTAGCTTACGGCCCACCTGATGGTGAATGGTTACCGTCGCCCATGGACTTCAGCAATACCAGACACAGAGCCAAGTCGCTGCCTACCGTGACGATATATAGATACAGGTTGAAATATTTAAATTTAGAATATTGGTTATTTTTCTTTTATTTTGGCATTTTCGGCAGACGAACCACACGGCCCACTTGATGGTGAGTAGTTGCCATTGATCATGAACGCCACAATTCAATTACTAAAATCGCCAATCATTTGATTGTTAAAACTACCGTCAAACTTAATATTTCACTCACCGCAGTCCTCAATGTCGGTGCCGGCGCCCCCGGGCCGCGCCGGACGCAGGCAGCGCTCGTGGGACGTGCTGGACCAGGCTACGTGCGCGCATGGTGGTAAGTGGGCTTTAATTTGTCAATAATCCGTAAAGTCACAAATTCCTTGAAACTCTATTTGGGTGTTGTCAGGTGACAGTTAATATTATATTATAGTTACTAATTGTACCCCAGTAGTCGAAATTCGACTATAATTAATTAAAATTTAACGTTTGAACATTGTTATGGTTCTATTGTTTTTAAGGGATTTTATGACCTGGTAACTAAGACCTTTTAGTCATGTCTTATTTTAATTGTTATTCTTATTTTTATGAAAAATGATAATATGGAGTGAAATGAAATGAAGATGATTAATTTGAGACATTAATCAACTGGGATGAAATTAAATGAATTGAGATGATATGGGATGAAATATAATCTCAGTAAAATGGTGGTCATTTACTGAGATTTTTTCAGTGGACTTTTTGGAGGATCCCGAGAAATTACGTCCAGCGCTTTGTTTCATTTTCCCACATTTGTGCACTTTCACAGTTATACTAAATGGTTAATAAACCACCATTCTTGCACATTTAAACCTGAAGAAACACTAAATAGACAAAATAAAACAAATCACACAACTTCACTCCTTGCGTTCCCGCCAAAAAGTCCTGGTTCTATTGTCAAAGACTTATCACAGATTATACTTTTATGATCACAGATCTCGCCAAGACTACACTATAGACAAATAATATTGAAGACAAACAATATTAATCTATTCTCAATTTGACCACAGACTAATCAATAAAAATACAATAAACAAAGAGTATATAGTATAATATATAGTGTTGTGTCAAATCATGGTAGTGTGTGTAATGTTTTTTAATTGATTTAATTTATTTTTTATGCATAATTAAAAATAATATTACTATTCTTCACTCCTTCTCTGTATTCTCTATAAGTGTGAGAAAAGACATAGAGCTCCGTCCGCGCAATTTTCGTAAAAATGGTTTCAAAGTTTTTGCTTCACGTATTGCATAATATATAGATTATTTATTGACAGTAACAGCATAGCTTGAACCTTGTTCCACTAGTAATAAATATCAATATTGCATGTCTAAGGTAAATCGCCGACAATGCAACAGTCTGGCAGCGGCGGACACAGCCCACATTTAATGAACATAACACATCAGGTAACGCTATTTTTAAATAGCACGCGCTTATAACGTAGACGTTATTAATAAAAAGCGTTTATAACGGTCGGGCGTGTTTCACTTAAGTTTTTGGATATTTTAGATTATTGAAAATATATACATAGATGTATGTACACAATTTATTAATTAAATAATAATGCTTTAATCTAAAATATCCACAAGCTTATACGTTAAGCTAATTTTGTATTGATAAGTTGATTGTGATTAGTGTATTGTCATTTCTTATAGGTATCTGTTTCGACTATTCAATGCTACTTATAAAGCTAATAAAGCTAAAAACGATATGGCAACTTTTCTGTAGGCACATACGAAGAAAAAGCTTAACAAAGAAAAACAAGCTTAATCAAACGGAAACAAGAAGTCATCAACGTATTCGAAGTGAATTGAATATGCATTACTCATGATAATCCAAATACCACTGATCTTGGAATTTGATATAATTGAAATGAGAAAACACGAAAAACATCGGCTTTCGAAAGAGGTTCACCTCGAAAAATAACATAAAAAAATAACAGTAATTAAGTAATGTCATAACAATTCTAGGTCTAGTATTATGTGTAGTTAGCAACATTTCATATTGTGCGGTAGATGAAATTTTAACTGAGCTACTTCTGAATGTTACGGTCAATTCTCCCATTCGTCCTCTTCCAAATACGATCACAAACGAAATAATAATCTAAGAAACTGTGCTGTATCTTCTTCAGGTATTGAGAGTGAGTGAGAGAGAGAGAGAACGAGTGAGTGAGTGAGTGACTGAGTGAGTGAGTGAGTGAGAGAAAGAGAGAGTGGGAGAGAGGTGGACCCAATCAGAACATACTTTAACGTTTTTAAATCTCGCGGTTGATATTATCGTTATATCTAGGGGCGATAGGCTATTTCGTTTAAGCGACCTTTTCGCAACTTCACACAAGAGCTATAATAATTAAAATATAAAATTTGATTATGTCGTAACTAAAAACTTCTTCAACTATTTGAATGGGGTAAACTTAATTGAAGTTCAATTAAAAACGTCGAATTGTTGTAGTGATACCAAATAAAACGCACCTTTAATTGCAAAGATAAATGTCGCGTGTTGGTCGCTACTGGTGGTAGGACCTCTTGTAAATCCGCCGGGTAGGTACCACCGCCTCGCCTATTTCTGCCGTGAAGCAATAATGCGTATCAGTTTGAAGGGTGAGGAAGCCGTTGTAACTATACTGAGACCTTAGAAGTCATACCTCAAGGTGGGTGGTGGCATTTACGTTGTAGATGTCTTTGGGCTCCGGTAACGACCAGCTGGGCTGTGAGCTCGTCGAGAAACTACCAAAAAAGCGAAATATCGCTTAAACTAAATAGTCCTCCCTCGATAATATTATTTACGAAGTTTTACGTTACAGTTTTTGTGGTCGCAGTCTGTCGTCAGTAAAACTAGTTTTGAAATTTAAAAATTATACGAAAGAATTATTTCATCTACCGTCACAAAACATATATAACTCTAATATGATCTATTGTAAGTACAACTCATGAGAATGTATCTTTTAAAAAATATCACTCTGTGTTTTCTTCCACGCATCTTAAATCGGGATTCGATCCTAATCGTAATCGTTTGTATTAAATAAATAACGTTAATTATTACCGTTTAACGCACGTTATTTATAACACGTTATTTTTGTATCTCGCCTCGCCTAAACGCTTTTTTCTACCGTTAAAAAAAAATAACTGTCGTAACGGACATGCGTTAAGCGGATTCGATTTTTTCCTCTGTACGCTTTTTATTCGCACCGCTTTTGAAACGTTTAGACGTCAGCTAGAATGCGTTTCAAAACTCAGAGATCATTTTCGGTTCCCACTTCGAAAGACACGATCTCGGTTCCAAGGGTGAACTATAATATATTCTGTAGTAACGTGTTTTAGCAAAACGCTAAGTAATACGTTTAAGCACGTTATAATTCAAAAGCGTTTAAAATAAGCATTAGAGCAGCAAAAAGCAGCATTAAAATAAGCAAAATAAGCATTGTAACATATTGAGATTTAATAATTGGAACACAGCAACATTGCTATGCTCCTAGTTTTACTGAGACCCTTGAGAGAAAACTAAACTAATATGAATTAACATAATCAGAGATCTTGTAAATGAATAAAAGTTCACAATATTATTGAAACATTATTATATTATCGCGTTTCAACGATGTCCAAAATGCTTCGTGATTGGCCATTTGTACAACTTGACTATGGAAAGTGGATAAAATAATAAAAAATGCGAACTCCATGATAGTTTGAAGACGAATTTAAAATTTTTATTATAGCTTTTTTTTGAAAGCTTCAAAATACTTTTTAAGTATTCTACCCCCGCTTTTTATAGGACATTAGTTTTATCCTTAAATTTAATAGGCTGTCGTCAATATGGGCTATTAATTTAAAAATTTAACGCCTTGTAAACCTTGACCCCGATAAATTAGAAACCCCTGTTTGTTTTTTGAACCTGATTCTGACCTGCATGGTGATTACTACTGAACATTAAAACACTCGATGAGAACTCAAAAAAGCAGCGAAAAAACGATAAGCATTAGTGTCGTTATACGCTATAAATAACGAACGTTATCTGCTATTCACGATTATACATAGCAATTATTTTAAACGTTATTTGGAAATAAGTGAATTATAAAATTCTATGACTTTTGGATATTTGTTACATTTTCACCAAAAAAAAGCACACAGATTTAAATACACGTTTGCCGAAAGTGTAAATACAATAAACACGAGCGTACACCGAACAAAGCTTTCTTAGATGTAGCTTTTTATGAACAAAAAGCTTAGATGGTTTTTACGAAGTGTCACAATGGAGTTTTGAATTCGAAATAGATGCAAATTAATGCATAAATGATCGGCTGAATAGAAATATCGTCCTAAATGCCCACCCTTTTTTATATATACAGCTTTTGGTGTGATTTCGGCACTGACTTGAATAGAAAAGAAATTAAAATTAAAAGCCTAATGAATTGGATATAGTCAATTAACTTGATCCGGCTGTGTCCTTCATTAATTGGCCCTATCTAGTTGTGTAGCAACTCAATCGTGCATTCCCAACTTAAAAAAGAAGGGAGCTGTCTTATAAAAGTCACATAATATTTTTCTTGAAAACATAAAGAATTATCTTTTTTTACTAGTTTACAGTTGATTCTTAAACTTTACCAATTTAATAAGAACGGCCAATTAATTGTCACTAGTGAAGCGATCTCGGTCAAATAAGATTAATAAATAAATCAATAATTTAAAATAAAATGTTTGCAATTAACAACACCCCGTATCACCAGTCTGGATCGTTTTTAGTCTTCGACATTGTATAGAATTATATTCGACTAATAAATACAGGCCGAGTGGATAAATTCGTAAAATGTTATTGTACGAATCGGGCAGTTCCTAAATCACACTAATCCCCTTTTAGAACACCCTGTACACCCATTCGTATACAGTGTGTTCGAATACTAACATATCGAAAACGTATAGGATAGCGAAGGTCGAGCTCACAGCATGCAGCATGGAGCCAGTGGTGAAGCAGCCAGGGATATCATGGGAGACTCTGACAGTGGACTGGATGTGAGTCAGCCACAAAGAATACAATTTTTTTAACCCGTTTAGCTCTGAGCTTAATTTCACATATTTTGCAGAAATTGCTAAATGACCTTATAAAAAATATTAATGATATCTCAATTCACGTTCGCTTCGCTTCATGTAGTGTTAAGTGGTTGTTGTAGTCCATGGACATCAAAACTTGGTGGCCGACACGGGACATAGGCGGGATCACAAAACCTACCGATGATTACGTGAATGAAAAAAAATTTGCTAATCTCATTTTTGAAATGCGATGTCATCCGTCCGGTCTTGGTATGGTCTCCTGAAGGTGGTGGACGACGACGGCCGGGGGTCCCCGGGCAGCACCGACGACGCCAACGACCGACCCGCATCTACTAAATCCGGAGACAGCGACTACCCAGAGACTTCCAATAAGGTAGTTAACTAATTCTCTCATATACTCTTAGCTTACATAGCTCTTTGAGGCAGCATCTTGACTCTGCCCCTGGCATTCTTGAAGTCCATGGGCGACGGTAACCACTCACCATCAGGCGGACCGTATGCTCGTCTGCCGATAAGGGTAAAAAAATATATACTACCCTCAAAAACGTCGATTTGTTTAGAGATGTCTTTAAGTTGACAAGGCAGGGTAGTTGTGAAAACAATCAAAAATATATATAATAGTGCTTAATGACGTCACTAAAGTGCTAAAGAGATTTGGAAATAACGACCAAGGTAAGATCATTCACCGAGCGGGTGACATTGCTCGGCAGAATGACAGTCCGAATGTTATTGTTTGAAACTTGTATATATGCGAGCTTATCTTGAAACCGTCGTAAGCGAGATTCAGATATCTGTCGAATATCTTGTGTTGTGTGATAGCTACCGCCACGGAGATAATGACACGTTTTTGTTGCTCACTTATTATATATTAAATGAGTTTTATTGAGACTGTGAAGACCGCTACCCTTCAGTCTTGAGGTCCATATCTGATCTGCTAGTCTGCCTACAGTGGAAATTAAAAAATAACTTCTCACCTATGTCTCAAGGTGGAAAAGGAGGTAATAGACATCATAACGTAAACACCACGCACCTTGAGATATGAGGTCGAAACCTCAATTGTATATAGCGGCTGTTCCGCTCGGATCGCATGGTAACTTCGCGGCAGGTAAAAGCAGGATTCTTGCACCTATCCCTCTGGGTCCGCAATACATAAAAAAGTGCATTAGCTGGGTAACAAGAAACGAACTAGTGACATAATTTACTGGTCTTGTGAGTTCGCACGGATAGGTACCACCACCCTGCCTATTTCTGCCGTGAAACAGTCATGAAACAGTCAAAAAAGTGAGGCAACTCATGTCTCAAGGTGGGTGGTGGCATTTACGTTGTAGATGTCTATGAGCTTTGGTAACCACTCAACACCAGGTGGGCGGTAAACACGTCCACCAAACGAGCAATAAAAAAAAACCCTATTACAATAACATTTCTTCAGCAAAACTCAACCGACAAGGACACGTCATCGTCCGACATGAACTGCCTCCTCGATCCTCTGGTGCTGACAGACTTTACGACGCAAGCCCTGGTGCTGACGGTGCTGGCGACCCTCGTCAAGTACACGACCGACGAGAACGAGATCAGGATCCTGTATCAGTACCTCGCCGAGGGATCCGTAGTCTTCCCTAAAGTGTTCCCAGTCATGTAAGTACAATGATTCCCCTGGCACACGAAAACCGTGGAGTGTTCTATGTCACGAAAAAAAAACTAAAACGTTTTTATTTATTTATTTTATTTTATTTATGTACACACAAAAAAGAAGACGTAGTACAGAGTAATAGGAAAATTATGTACAAAGGCACTGCTTATTTCTTTAAGAAATCTCTTTCAGCAGACCTGCGAAAGGATTATAGATATTAAGGATTATTTTAATTACATTTAAATTACATGAGGAAGTATTGCAGACATATTTAAGTTTTTTTTAAGTAAATTTCGCGAAGACAATCAGTCTGTCATCAATTAAGTGATCGCTTTAGTGTATGGAGGGTAGAAGTAAGAAGCACCCTCTTGTATAGGGGACAAGTTGAAACAGTGTTCGCCTGTAAACAGCAAGTTGTTGTTGGAAGACTTACCGAAATAGCGCTAGTGTATGAACTGGAAATTATATGAATGTAGCAGTTTTAAACAGAGCGAAGTGTGCTGGATTGAAGTGAAGTGTAGTAGTTTATGGCGCCGTTGTTAAAATCTTTCCACTTGCTACTGTGGTGCTACTTTAATTGGCCTCTTTTGAACGTATACTTTTTAATACACTCAGATGGTACTCCTTAGTTTTATCCTTCATGCTTCAGTGAAATTTAAAAAAAAGCCAGCTGTTATAATTTCTAGTTTTGACGTTCAATGACTATGTCACATGCAAGGTGGACGTGAGGAGCACACTCCTTGTTCTCATGTAGAAGACTCCGACCGCAGTTCGGTGCCGTAGATAGGGTTGTCACTTCAAAGATAGCGCCAGAAGCTATTGTATTAAATTGTTGAACTTGGCCCATTTACAACTGCTACATTCATATCACATCACTTAGCGCGTTCGGACTCTGCCGCTAAGTTTTTAACTGGACATTGTCAACTTGTCCACTATGAGACAGTACTTACGTCTACCCTCAATAATATGTTATAATACAATTTAAGTTGAAATACATTTTGTTTGATTTGATCCGGCTTAGTTTCGTTCAGAAATGCGAGTCAAGGAACCAATGAGTTTATTGGTAATGCTCCGTGTACCTTTACAGCCACAGTCTACTGGACATGAAGATAAACCACGTTCTGATGCACTGCCACGATCAGCTCATACTGAGCGCCGTGCAGAGCATCATACAGGTGAAGGCCACACGTTATCTCTCTCATCCGTAACTCTAGTTGCTAGTTCAGGCTACCATAATCAACATGGTTTCCTACCATTCCTAACCTTAACCAGTCAGCACCAGTTAAGCTGATGGTCTAGAGAAACCATAACAGTGCCACCGGGCTAGTAGGTGAGCTCTCGGGGCTCCAACCGTCCTGACGATGTTGCTAACAAGAACCCTAGCAAGAGTCGTGCTTCCCAGAATCTACCACCGGATCGGAAACGCGACCCACTGAGAAGATCCGGCGAGGAACTCAGTGGGCTGTGTCTATGGCAGTGATTATCAAACTTATTTCTTTTACCGCCCCCTTTGAACATCAATTATTTTTCAGCGCCCCCCATTTTTTATACACCCCTAAAACTTTAAAACCACAATTTCATTAATTTAATTAATAAATGTTGTATTAATTTTAGTAAATGTAGTATCACGTAGTACATATGTATTTGTAGATGCTATTATTGTTTCTTCATATTATTATATGTCCATACATTGCTACAGAGCGTGTATTTACAAATTTGCAAAGTAAAAATGAATTCTTCTCATCAATATGTTTGTTTAAATTCAGAATTACCAAAATAAATTGCTAGTTCACTGTACTATTACTATGCTAATTTATTAGAACGAAACTATTTTTGTTGAATATCTTTCTCATTAATAGAAGATTCTCATCATAAGATAATTAAAAATTTATATTTCGACTAGTAAATAATACTACTAACAATAATAACTTATTAAACTACGAATAAGCTAAACCTGGAAGTCGTAGAGGATTTCATTTATCCGGACTCCGTCATAGCTAGTAATGGATCCTCCGAAAAGGCCCTCAGAAGGCGAATCAGTATGGCAAATAGAGCTATGTCCCAAATGAACCGTGTTTGGGCGGACAGAAACATCTCGAGGAATACCAAAAAGCAGCTCGTCACCTCCCTCGTCTTTTCCATTTTTCTCTACGGCGCAGAGACTTGGACCCTCAAGAAAGCCGACCGCCAACGCATCGACGCGTTTTAGATGTGGTGCTGGAGGGAAATGCTCGGGATTCGTTGGACAGAACAGAGAACCAACGAATCCATTCTTACCGAGCTCAAGATTCCAATGCGCCTCAGCACTACATGCGCGCGGAGGACTTTCGAGATCTTTGGAAAGTGTAAAAAAATTACCTCAAATATTCTTTACGTCGCGTACCCTACGAAAACTATTGATGATAGAATAAAATAATGTTCTACGACTTTGTAAAAAACATTATTATTTACAAAAAGTGTCGCGACAGCATATGTCTAACTACTATAGTTATGCCGCAATAAGTGTTCTTTTATTTAAAAAAAATGGCCCTGGTAAGACACAGAGTGCCCCCCTACCTTCGCCGACTGGTGGCTTCCTACTTGGAGGACAGATCGGTCACGTGTACTGGACACGGTGGGATCGTGCACAGGTTCCCGGTCGTGCGCGGTGTTCCACAGGGGTCGGTGCTCGGCCCCCTTTTGTGGAATATCGGGTATGGCTGGGTACTGAGAGGTGCCCTCCTCCCGGGCCTAAACGTAATCTGTTACGCAGACGACACGCTGGTCGTGTCCCGGGGGGGGGAATTTTGCTGAGTTTGCTCGTCTTGCCACCGCTGGGGTGGCGCATGTCGTCGGCAAAATCAGGAGATTGTGCCTCGACGTGACACTCAGTAAATCCGAGGCCATGTGGTTCCACAGGCCCCGGAGAGTGCCACCTGTCGATGCCCATATCGTGGTTGGAGGCGTCCGTATCGGGTCGGGGTGCAGTTGAAGTACCTTGGCCTCATTCTGGACAGTCGTTGGACCTTCCGTGTTCATTTTCAGAACCTGGTCCCTCGTTTGTTGGGGGTGGCTGGCGCGTTAAGCCGGCTTCTTCTCAACATCGGGGGGTCTGACCAGGTGACGCGCCGTCTCTATACGGGGGTGGTGCGGTCAATGGCCTTATACGAGGCACCCGTGTGGGGCCAGTCACTGGCCGTGGGGGTAGCGAAGTTGCTGCAACGGCCGCAACGCACCATCGCGGTCAGAATCATCCGTGGTTATCGAACCATCTCTTTCGAGGCGGCGTGTGTACTGGCTGGGACGCCGCCTTGGGCCCTGGAGGCGGAGGCGCTCGCCGCTGACTATCAGTGGCGGGCTAACCTTCGTGCCCGAGGCGTGGCGCGTCCCAGCCCCAGTGTGGTCAGAGCGCGGAGGGCCCAATCTCGGCGGTCCGTGCTAGAGTCATGGTCCAGGCGGCTAGCCGATCCTTCGGCTGGTCGTAGGACCGTCGAGGCGATTCGCCCGGTTCTTGTGAATTGGGTGAATCGTGACAGAGGACGCCTCACTTTCCGGCTCACGCAGGTACTCACTGGGCATGGTTGCTTCGGTGAGTTCCTGCACCGGATCGGAGCCGAGCCGACAGCAGAGTGCCACCATTGTGGTTGCGACTTGGACACGGCAGAGCATACGCTCGTCGCCTGCCCCGCATGGGAGGGGTGGCGGCGAGTCCTCGTCGCAAAAATAGGAAACGACTTGTCGTTGCCGAGTGTTCTGGCATCGATGCTCGGTGACGACGAGTCGTGGAAAGCGATGCTCGACTTCTGCGAGTGCACCATCTCGCAAAAGGAGGCAGCGGGGCGCGTGAGTGATGCACAGGCCCGCCGCCGACGAGCGGGGTCCAGGGAGGCGGATCTCGCCAAGCCCTGGCCCTCTAAGTGTTTCGGGTCTCCCTCACATGTCGGCCTGGGGACCGGCGAAAGGAGCCTAAGAAGACGACGTGCAAGCTGCTCTGCACACGTTTTACGCATGAGCATCCAGGTGATGGAAGGCCGGCTATCCTCAACCCACGCTGGTTCTGACCCAGCGGGGTATTCCGTAGGATAGACCATTCTAACCGGTGCCATCTAGGCGGGCTTCGGACAGCCTGCCGACCGAGAGGGCTGGTGGTCGTGGCGCCGACGACCGCCAGTCCGGTGTCCCGAGGGGGAGGGTGATGGGAGAGATGTGCTCCGCACTAAGCGCTTCACTTTCCTCCCTTTGCCTTTTCATGAGCTCTGTCTCATGCGAGGTTTGGATGCTGGTTGTTGAGCGACAGGAGTTTTTAGTCGGTTAACTTGTAATAAAATCTCTTTGGCTATACTATTTGTATCTGGCTAGTTTTGGTATCATTAAAAGTTTAAATTCGAAAGAAGACAATTCCAAATTAAAACTAGGAAGATGTGTGATTTTTATTTATTTTTCGTGCTGTCAAGATGACTGAATCTAATGAAGATATTCGATACATTTTAAAATTTTACTACAAAAAAGGTAAAAAAGCAACGCAAGCCGTGAAAAAAAATTGCGATGTTTATCTGTGAGAGTAGCACAAATTTGGTTTAAGCGTTTTCAATCCGGAAATTTTGATGTCAAAAATGCACGTCGCTCTGGTCGCCCTATTACGGATAAAATCGATGCCATTTTTGAAAAAGTGGGGCAAGATCAGCCTATCAGTAGTAACGACGTAACTGAAGAACTGGAAATTGACCACAAAATAGTTATGGCGCATTTGAAAAAAACTGGGTACACAAAAAAGCTCACTGAAAGAAACCTAATGAACCGTGTACTCATTTGTGATTCTTTATTACGACGTAATGAAACCGAACCATTTTTGAAGAAGCTGATAACTGGTGATGAAAAGTGGATCACGTACGACAAGAACGTACGAGAAAAGTTGTGGTCAAAGGCCGGTCAGGCTTCACAGACTCTGGCGAAACCCGGGTTAACTCGCAACAAGGTGATGCTGTGTGTGTGGTGGGATTGGAAGGGCATTATACATTATGAGCTGTTACCACCAGGCAGGACCATCGATTCTGAACTCTACTGCGAACAACTGATGAGATTAAAGCAAGAAGTTGAGAGAAAGCGGCCGGAAGTAATCAACAGAGGGGGTGTGGTTTTTCATCACAATAACGCTAGACCTCACACACCTTTAGCCACTCAGCAAAAATTAAGAGAGCTTGGCTGGGAGGTGTTAATGCATCCGCCGTATAGCTCTGACCTTGCACCTTCAGATTGTACCTGTTTCGGTCTCTTCAGAATTATTTAGGCAGTGTCAGGTTAACATCACGAGAGGACTGCCAAAACCAATTGTCGCAAAAGCCCCAAAATTTCTATAGCAATGGGATCATGTCCCTACCTACAAGATGGCAAAAAGTTATCAAAC